TTGCGCGTGGGTACGCAGTGATTCTGTAGTGCTGCGGCTCGCCTCGGGGGAGCGCTGCGCAGAGCGGTGCGAGAGTGGGTGTCGCGTGTGTTCACTCCGTGTGTGATACAGGTGCGCGAGTATAACGTGAGTTGAGTTGGAGTGCGCGGAGCGGCGTGTGTGTGGGCGTGCGTGCGTTCGCTCCGTGTGGGTTGCAGGCGCGCGATTAGGAAAGGGAAGTATCGTAGTAGAGAGGGGAAGAATACTAATCGGTAATTAACCATGCCCATTACGCGGACCCGCGGTGGAGGGGAATCCTCGGGCGACGGCTCCCACACCAGGGGTGAGGAACTTAGCAGCGGTTCGCTTAGCAGCGGGGGGGCGATTGATGATGCTAGCCCGGCCGTTAACATTATCGAGGGAGGGATCTCGGGGGCTAGCGACCTCGACAATATCTGGTCATCGACATGTGGTTGATGCAACCACATGTCAATGTTGACGCAACGTTGTATAATTACCGTGATTCTTTTCCGAATGGCTGGTGTTGATGTAAAGCAACAACTACAGTATCATTTTATGTTCATGCGTTTGATCCAGACAATTGCTGTGATGCCTCATTCGTATTTGTGAAAGGGGCGTTGAATCATTATATCTTCCATGGTCTGTTTTGGTTGAACGTAGTCGCACACATATTGGGGAGTTTTTATTTTCCATTTGTGCATCGAGTTTCCGCATAGGGGCCATCCATTTAGTAGGTACGCAAAAATCTGTCAAAACTTGACCCCTTCCCCCCTCTCTGTACGCACGTGGACTTTTTACACCCCCCCCCCACCTGCGTACGTACGATTGACCCCCCCACCCCCCCGAATCCTACAGAACGGCCGAATATTTAATCCACGCAGAAACGATCAAGGATTGATACTATTAACGTGTTTAAGCAAACAGATAGTTCACCGCCGGCTGCATTATTATTATCGAAGCTTCACCCCCACCCGTTTCCTATGCTATGTACATTGTCAGTAGACCCCCCCCCCCCATACGCAAGCGTACGCATTTGGGTTAACCCCCCTTTCCTCTCGATGCGTACGTACTAAATGGATGGCCCCATATGACATGGCATGGGAATGAGGTGGCAGAATGGGTAAGGAACAGACTTATTTAATTGGTGAAACATTATCAGTGGAAGATCCCCTTCATTTTATTTATTTATCCAGGAAAGCCACACTCGGTGGAATGACTTTTTTTCAGGAAGGTCCTGCATTGGGAGTTTAAAAAAAATATATATTTTCAGACAATAAATAATATATGTTACGTTACAGAAATATGAAAAAAGCCATGACTTTTTTTCAGGGGGGTCCTGCATTGGCAGTTTAAAAAATATATATATTTTCAGACAATTAATGATAGATGCTACGTTAGAGAAATATGAAAAAAGCCATGAAAAAAATGCTTGGCTTTCTTGAGACAGTTACCTATTTTTAAACTCCTCCAAACGTGTCCTGTTTATGTACTCATGCTGCGTGGGTGACCATTTGCCATTGTTTGACATTGCGTAAAACTTGCGAGATTGCGCAAACTTGCCCATATTTGGTCAGCAGCTGGCCTACCTTATCAGGATAACAGCTTGTTTATACATTCAGCCAAACGTATGCAATCGAAACATTCTGTGCCTTTCGATTGGCCCGTAAAATGATTCAGGATCATATATATGGGTTCACACCCACCCACTTCTTCAGGTGGTTGTCATGGTTTCACACCCACCCACTCGAATAGTTGTCATGGTTTCACACCCACCCACTTTCATCTCGTGGTTGTCATGGTTTCACATTCACCCACTCCAATAGTTGTCATGGTTTCACACCCACCCACTTTCCTCCATTGGTTGTCATGGTTTCACACCCACCCACTTTCCTCTTGTGGTTGTCATGGTTTCACACCCACCCACTTTCATCTCGTGGTTGTCATGGTTTCACACCCACCCACTTTCCTCCATTGGTTGTCATGGTTTCACACCCACCCACTTTCCTCCATTGGTTGTCATGGTTTCACACCCATCCACTTTCCTCCATTGGTTGTCATGGTTTCACACCCATCCACTTTCCTCCAATAGTTGTCATGGTTTCACACCCACTCACTTTCTTCTCGTGGTTGTCATGGTTTCACACCCACCCACTTTCCTCTCGTGGTTGTCATGGTTTCACACCCACCCACTTTCCTCTTGTGGTTGTCATGGTTTCACACCCACCCACTTCCGCCGCAGCGACCTTATATGCACCTCAAACAGTGTCACAGGAATGCGGACGGAGTTTTGTGGAGTTTTGTTCAGCTGTTGAAAAGAAGGTTCACGTGAAGGTGAGTTGCGATTACTTTTGGCACGTACCCTCGTTTGTTCACATACGAGTATTAACAGTTAAAACACATCTGTTTAATAAGTTTTGTAATTCGCGCTATAATCAATGTGGAGGTTAATCTGCCCGGGGCGATTAATATTTAGCTTTTATTTGAAAGGTTTTTTTTAAAATATTTGCAAACGATTCCTTGTTTTTAGTTTCGTCGTTTATTTCGCCTCTTTTGGTCTCTTCTCGCCTGGTTCAACAACAACAACAACAATCTACTTGATTTTGTTGTCTTCTGAAATCGAACGCGCTTATCGCATACCGTGTCAACCCATACGGTTAGTTAACCCGTTCTTCTTGCAGACGGGGAATTGAGTTAGCACGTCCATACGGCGGCCGTACAGCTGTTTCAATAGAGGCAACAACGAAACGTGTGTCCATTTGTTTGATTTGAAGCTTTCCCTTGTGATGGGACTTTTTACACGGCGTCACAAAAAGTCAGACCCCCCCCCCCCCATTCAAATATGACGTCACAAAGCTCTGCCCCGCCCCCCCCCCAAAAAAAAACATGCTTCAAATCGCTTTAAACTATTGTAGTGCATATTTTATGTGGCGCTGCACTCTGATGTAGGAGAAAACATCTATTAAAAAGTCTATTTTTTAAATAGATGTTGCGCATTTGGATGTGACGTCACATTTCTCACCCCCTCCCCTCGTCACACATCGTCACAAATGTCTGACCCCCCCCCCCATAGGTGCGTGACGTCATTTATGGACGGCCCCTAAATAAAACGGCGGTATTAATATACGCGCGTACCCCCCGGGTAGTTAAGCCCTAATCCGCAACACACAAAGGCTAATGCTAAAGGACTGTATGAACACGCACTGAGCTTTACAGTAAATATTTTTACATTTTAAATGGTAAAAATGTACATGATGCAATACAAATAACTGCATCAAACTGCCAAAAGGCGATAACTCTGCTGTTCACAATACTCAGGGCTTACCTTGCTGTAAGTACCACAGGTACTCCTTGACATACGCGAGAGATGCGTTCCTGGAAAAACGCGCGTAACTCAAAATCGCGTATGTCAAAAGAAATTTTCCCATAAGAAATAATGGTAAAGGAGGGGGTTATGGGATTTCACTCACACTCACAGACATAATCGTCTATATTATCCTAGCCTATATCAACACAATACATGTACATGCAATATAATACTCGGTCCTTAATTATTAACCAGCTGTGTTCCTTTGCTACATACAGTATCTTCTCATTAATTATCCATTCACCACCTGTGCCCCTTCCTCTCCGGATGTTAGACATCCGGCTACCTGTGTTCTAAATGATCCCTTCACACTAGTTATCGTGAACTGACTGCTTGCAACGCTATTGGGTCGTGGTGCCAGGCCCGGGTAGCGTATGTCGCGTTGTGGATTACGTTATTCAGAAAATTACCTTGCGTATGTCAATAAAATGTCTTCATACAAAGCGCGCTTTATTCCAAAATGGCATACCACAAGCGTGTAAACCGAGGATTGCTTGTATGTTGAACTTCTTTTGCACCGTACGTGCTAATCGGAGGTGCGGGGGAAGGTCAACTAAAAACAAAAGGCAGTTCTAAAGAGTGAGTTTTCAATATAGATTATTTAAAAGTGCATAGCTCCAGTGGCTTCCTAATATCAAAAGGAAGAGCGTTCCAGACGGCCGCAGAAGAGCTTTGTCGGCCATCGGATTCCTCCAGTATACAAATATATATTCTGATTTAGAAGCGCATCTGAAAACGCGTGATGCAGTGACCATCTTTTGTTCGATGGCGAGCCAAAAGACGCTGCGAGGATGACCGGAATTCGCGTGATGGTTTATGCTCCTTGAGATCAGAAAGGTATTGTGGTTAATTTGTGGCAAGCATGTGTGTTTCAAGTTTCATTTCAAGTTTCATTTATTAGGTATAGCCCTGTGAGCCATTCGGCTCTTGAATCGGGTGCAACCGCAACAAACAAAAAACATGAACAAGAAAACATCTTAAAGTGACTGTGACTATGTGCAAACAGAAAATCCAAGAAAAGACAGCAAAATATTGCAGAAAAAGCACCGTACACCAACACTGTGTGCAAAAATCCCAGTGGGATGCAAGTCAAGCAACAACAACAACAACCACAAGACAACTTAGATTAAGGCCATCAGTCTAATTCCGTACTACAACAAACAAACATGGCCAAACCAAAAAACTTTTCAAAAATCACCAAAATAAAGCCATAAAAGCAATGAAACAGTGATCATAGGAACAAACAGTGATCATATGAACGAGTACGACCTTATAATGTATTCGTTTGTCAACCACAAGCCATTCCAGCTCAGCGACAATGCAACGTTGCTGACAAACGTTGGTCCGGAAATCCTTTTCAGTTGTGACCTTAATGTTATGCTTTTGCAGTGTAGTAGAACAACACTACTGTATTGGCTCGGTATGGGGGCTGTAGGCAGGCGTCACGGGGGTCGTGTCGGGCCGTGACACTCTGCGTGAACCCAACAGGAAACGTGACCGGATAAAGGGGGGCCAGGGGCCCCAGGGGAGTCACGTGGTTGCGGTTCGGGCCTTCCCGAAGGATCGGGAAGAGGGGCGTGGCCTGGAGCGGAGCCGGCCACGCCGGAGTGGTTATAAGCGGGGTGTGGACAGAGAGCTGGGCTGATTTGGGCTGTTCTGCTCTGCTGCTGGGTCATCTCTGGGATGAAGCTCTCCGGTCTCCGCTAGTGGACCAGGCAGCGTGTGGGGCTGTGTAGTATCCCCGTGTGTTAAGTTAGGAAAGGTGGCTACCACCTTAAGTCGTTATGTTAAGTGTTAAGTGTCGTGTTATCTAATAAATAGTGTTGTCTCCAAAGTTCCAGTGTGCGTCTGAATTTAAGCCACTACACTTTTGTATGGACATGAGAAGCAACTAAGGTTTACAAACCTGTCCTGGTTTTTTCAGGATCATCGTGTTGTTGAGGTAGCTTGCCCGGACAATCCGTAAGTCTATCGGTGACAACTACCAGGTTTTGTCAGTTGTGTAAACATGTACAGTAGTTCTCGCCTCTTCTGGTATTATGAGATGTTTTTCCTCTCCATTGTGTGTCCTGGATTATTTCTAAAGGTGCCAATTATCGAAGCAACACAAAAAGTTGGCAAACTCATCTTTACAATCTGTGTTTATCCAGGCATTACTCAGGAAAGAGGAAGGCAATGTTATTTTAAATGTTTGGTGACAAACCATTCACATTTCTCTTTTTAATATTTACGTAACATACTCTTTGGTTCTTTCGGTAAAGTCACATAGGTATAAAATAAAATAAATCACGACGTTTCGGGCGCAACACAAGCGTCCATCATCAATGTTTTCCCACCTGATGATGGACGCTTGTTGCGCCCGAAACGTCGTGATTTATTTTATTTTTAAATCCTTTATATTAAGTTCGCTTGCTTGCTTACGACCGTGCAAATCTTTCGGTCGTTTTTTTAACCCACTTTCCGTGATCCAATCGAGCTGACATTTTCCACACAGACTCGTTGTGCGTGACAATTAATATTCGTGAAAAAATTTTCCCAAAATTTTACACTTTTTAGGACAAAAATATTATATTTAATTACCAATTGCTTAATGGTGCAATGCAATCATCTGACCCATAGGTGGCAGCCATCTCAAGCCAGAAGACGAGAGGACTCTAGCCGCCACGCATATAAAGGATTTATAGTGAAAAACTTTGTTTTTACGGGTTATACTTGTATACATGGCTTTACCGAAAGAACCAAAGAGTATGGATTCCTGCAGTCACGAAAGCTTCAAATCAAGATTTACATAACACTACGTCTTTATATAAATGCCCGCTATAACTACCAAATAAAGTCTCATTACTTTGCCGCTGTTGGACTTTGAGATGACGTGACAAACATGTTGCGATTGTGCCCCCCTCGCCCCCAACTATAGCCTGCTGCTTATGTTAAACCACAATATGACAATTATTATGATCTTGCTGTCTGTGTTCACAGATTCTTCACAATAATGGCTTACATGTCCAGCCTATCTGAGATTTCTCCCTTTACCCTGGTTCTGACATTGGCTGCCTTCATTTTGTCTGCAATGTGAGTGCTTTCCGCTTTACTGGAATGGTTTTATATTTATAGAAACATTTTTAAGGTTAGCAAGGTCACTGGTAAATTTCATGATAAAATGTCACTAAATAAGGGGACCGCAGCATGTTTGACTATATAATATTTTGGAAAAAAATAAAGGCGTGTGATATGAAACGTCTATGAAATATGATAATGAATAGGAAGTGTGTACAGGTATGTGTAGTGGTGGTATTGACGTGCGCCGGCAGTGATGGATCACGGGGCGCGGGGTTGGGCACGCGATGTGGGCGTGGCATGGACGCGCGCGCCGGTGGTGAGGCGCGCTCACACAAGCTGGGAAAAGAGGATCGTAGCGAGTGTGCAGTGATTGGTCAGATAAGTGGGTACTCTCAGCGACGTCCGCAGGAGGGGTATAAAGGGGGACGCGCGAGAGCACTCGTGGTCAGTGTTAACCAGTTGAAGACCGAAGACGGGGTGGAGGAGGTAGGGGCCCTGTGTGGCTCGGAGCCGAGACTGGGGGGACCGTAGTCCGACGCCCGTGTGGGTCGGGACGGTGGTACCCAGAGCCGAGACGGGCACCCCGGCTGGGTGTGTCCCGGAAGGCTACAGGGCGTAAGAGCCCGTGTCAGTACAGCTGAGTGGGTGTTGGTCACCCGTGTAGCTGAGTGGGTGTTAGTCACCCGTGTAGCTGAGTGGGTGTTGGTCACCCGTGTAGCTGAGTGGGTGTTAGTCACCCGTGTAGCTGAGTGGGTGTTGGTCACCCGTGTAGCTGAGTGGGTGTTGGTCACCCGTGTAGCTAAGTGGGTGTTGGTCACCCGTGTAACGAAGTTGTAGTTGAGTGGGTGTCCGTCACCCGTGTAGCTAAGTGGGTGTTGGTCACCCGTGTAACGAAGTAGGGTGTTAGTCATCCGTGTAACTACAAGTTGGTGAAAATAAAGAGTGTGCTACCCGTGAAGTCGTCTCCTGCCGAGTTACTACTTTACAACTGGCGTCAGAAGTAAACCTGTCTTCAAGGAGAATGGACACAAGGAAGACTTCTCGTTCCCACGTGCAAGACCGGGGAGACGACGACGTACCGGTGACACCACCCTCGGGAGGAGAGGACGAGGAGTTGCCGCCGATGCAGCACTTCGCGGAAATGGCCGATGCTCCGCCCGCCTCCGACACCAGCCTGCAGGACGCACACTCCCGCCTGGCGGAGTTGCTGCTCGCCGCCGCTGCGATCTTGGCGGAGATCTCCGTTCCAGTGGCCGGTGGAACGCCTGCGGGGTTGGAAGAGGCGGCGCGACTGGAGGGTTCCCGCCATAAGGCGTTTCGCGCCAAAAGTTTGGGAGTTGGCGCCATTTTTGAGGGTCCGCCTCCGGTTGGCGGGAAACGCGGACACCACGTGGCCAGAGGTCTCCACACAGCGCAGCCCGCGTCATCGGCGAGCGCCGGAGCTCTCCATTTTGCGCCTGCAGAGGGAGCCGACATTTTCTACAACCACAGCGGCGCGCGGGAAAATCGTTCCAACGACGACGACGACGATCGAGTTCTCCAGCAACGATTGCCCGCGCTGTCGGTGTTCAAGGCGGACGGGGGCGACTGGGGAGCCTTCCAGCGACGGTTCATCGCGCATCAAGAAATGTCGGGGTGGTCCGACACCACTGCCCTGCGCGCGCTGCCAGCGATGCTCGACGACGACGCGCTTGCGGCCTTCACGTCTGCCCCGAGGTCGTCCCGCTCAACGCTCCAGGCCGCGCTGCACCTGTTGGCCAAGGTGTTCGGGCCGCCCTCGACCTGTCGCCACCAGTTCTACGATCGGCGGAAGGTGGTTGGAGAAACAACGCTCGCCTATCGCACGGCGCTGCTCGCCCTGGCGGATTCAGCTTTTCCCCGCATGGACAAGGAGGGGAAGGACGCCATGGTGACGGAGCAGCTGCTGGCGCTGGCTCACGGATTGGGAGTTCCCATTAATACGGCGGACGAGATGGACATCTGCTCCCTGGGGATTGCCACGAGTATCCACGCTTACGAGGTCCTACAGCGGAAGCCGACGGTCGTCTGCGCATCGGTGGAGAACGGGGCACCGGCCGCCACGATCATCGGACCTCAGCCTGCTGTGCCTCGGGAGGAGGCCTTCGCTGGTTCGAGGCCGGGGGAGTGGAGACCGGGAGGTCGTTCGCCCACACGCTCCTCCCGCAAGCTGGAGCAACCGAAACCTACGACGTCCCTCGTCGTCTGCTACAACTGCGGCCTTCGGGGCCACGTCGCGGCCAGGGTGCCGGGCCCCGCGTCAACGCACCGCGGGACCACGTCCGGACGACGACCAGGGACTCAAGACATCCCAACTGAACCCGGCAAGTCGCGGCACCTCACACGTTCGGTCCACACGCACGGCACGTTCGGGTCGCCGCTTAGCGGTGGGGGGACCGTGTATGGGCGCCGGGGGTTCGGTTCGGCGAGAGGGGTCCGCGTACGGCCCGAAGGCAGTCGAGTGGTCCGAATTGGCCCACAGGATTGTGGCTGCGTCGGCCGGGTCGTCCGTGGTAACGGGGTACATTGACGGGGTTGAGGTCCGGGTGCTCGTGGACACGGGTGCGTCGGCCACTATTATTTCAGACCTTATTTATAATATTCTTCCCGTACAATGTCGACCACTTCTGCCGGTGGACGTACCATTTTACGCGGCAAACGGGGGATCTTTGGGAATCATCGGCCAGATTCGGGCGAATATTTGTATTGGCGACATTAAATTGGCGGGTCCTATTTTTGTATCATCATCGTTGGCCGTTCCTTGTTTACTAGGCACGGACTTTCTGTCTAAAATGCCCATAAAAATTCTCATAGACCAGGCCTGCATTGAGCTTCCGTCGGGTCGGCGGGTTGAGTTTTTGAAGAGTCCAAATAAGATACGCACGGCTTGTGCGACGGTGCAGGCGCTGGCAACCCGGACTGTACGGGTGCCCCCGGGATCGCAAATGTTGGTACCCCTTCGGTTGAGAAAACCCCTTGGGGCGGATGCGGGGGCGCAGGGAGTTCTATTGGGGCCGTCTAACAGGGCTAAAGGGGACCTCGGCTTAGCGGTGGCCCAGACCATGGTGAGGGGGGACAGTGAGCCGTTCGTTGTGGTCCTGAATACGGGGTCGCGGCCGGCCGTGATTACGCAGGGAACGGTGCTCGCTCACGCCGCGCCGCTACCCGTCGAGGAACAGCTCGTTGCTCACGCCGATTCACATGTCGATACGCATCCCCAAAGTGAGGAGGGGACGGAGTGGTTGGACGCGTTGTGTGCCGGGTCCAGTACCTTGTCCAGTGTGCAGTTGGGTGCATTGAGGGGCTTGCTGCTCGAGTTCGCTGACGTGTTTAGCAGGCACAAGTACGACATTGGCTGCACAGACCTGTTGCGCCACCACATAGAGACTGGGGACGCGGCCCCTATTCGACAGAATCCCTTCCGGCTCAGTCCAGCCGAGAAGGAGCATGTGCAGTCGGCAGTAAATGACATGTTGGCGGCCGACATCATTGCGCCCTCTTCCAGTCCGTGGGGTGCTCCTATCGTCTTGGTTAAAAAACAGGATGGATCCCTGCGGTTCTGTGTTGATTTCCGCCGCCTAAACAAAATATCAATGGCCGATGCGTATCCGCTCCCCAGGATGGATGAGTCGCTGGATGCCTTGGCAGGAGCACAGTTTTTTTCGACGCTCGATTTGCTTTCGAGATTTTGGCAATTGCCCCTCGATGACGAATCAAAACCTAAAACCGCTTTCCGGACACCGGGAGGCCTATTTGAGTTCAACCGATTGCCCATGGGTTTACATTCCGCTCCTGCCACGTTCCAGAGGCTCATGGAATTGGTTTTGTCAGGCCTTCAATGGGACACCTGTTTGATTTACCTCGATGATATCATCGTTTTCAGCCGAACTTTTGAGGAGCACCTCCAGCGACTGAGGGCAGTGTTTCTCAGGATGCGTTCCGCGAAGCTTAAATTTAAACCGGCTAAATGTTTTCTGCTTCGGGAATCGGTCAGGTATTTGGGCCATATCGTTAGCCGTTCGGGGATCTCGACGGACCCTGCTAAGACGCAATGCGTCGGCTCATGGCCAACACCGACCTCTGTTACTGAAGTCCGCAGCTTCATAGGATTTGCCTCCTATTACCGTCGTTTTGTCAAACAGTTTGCCACCATAGCCAGGCCCCTGCACGCCTTGACGGCTAAAGGGGTGCGGTTTCACTGGGGGCCGGAGGAGGAGGCCGCGTTCTGCTCCCTTCGTGACGCCTTGGTGCAGGCTCCCCCCTTGTGTTACCCCGATTTCACGCAACCGTTTGTGCTCGACACGGATGCCAGTAACACGGGTATCGGGGGAGTGCTCTCACAGGTGGTCGGGGGGGTCGAACGGGTGGTCGCCTACGGTAGCAGGGTTCTGTCCCCCGCGGAACAACGCTACTGCGTGACACGGCGTGAATTGCTGGCGATTGTGTTTTTTATACAGCAATTCAGGCCGTATCTGTATGGCCGTCACTTTACGGTTCGCACGGACCATGCGGCTCTCCAATACGCTATGCGGGTGGCGCAGCCATCCGGCCAATTGTCCCGATGGTTGGAGGTCCTTCAGGACTACCAATTCACGACGATTTACCGCAAGGGGTTGCGCCACTCGAATGCGGATGCATTGTCACGGTTGCCGACGCGTACGGAATGCGCATGTCAGTTGGGATCGGCGCGGTGTAAACCTTCTGTCGATGTCCCCGCGGAAGTGGTGCTAGCCGCCACGGATACTACGGGGGTCGACGCCCCCACGGGGAGGGACTCGCTGTTAGCATTGCCTCTCATCGAGTGGTGCCGTCTGCAAATGGCCGACAGCTCCCTACTCGCGCTACGTCGGAAGGTTAACGTTCCCGAGGGCGGGGAAACGCGGGTCGGTTCCTGGGTGTGCAGACAGGGCCTCTTGATGAAGTGGGACTCCATGTCCCGGCGTCACATGCTTGTGGTGCCGGTTGCTGTACGGGGGAAGGTCGTCCTGGCTGCCCATGAACGACTCATGCATCTGGGGTTTCACAAAACGCTCGCCCTCATTCAGCGAGACTACTATTGGCCTGGGATGGGCAGTGACGTGGCGAACATTCTTAAGGGGTGTGTAGGGTGCGCTAAAAGAAAACCGCCACCAATAGCGGCTAATCCACCGCTTCAATCCATTCAAGTTTCGCGCACGAACGAATTGGTCGCGCTAGACATCTTGGGGCCCTTTCCCACTACACCTCGGGGAAATAAGTTCCTGCTGGTTGGCGTAGAGTACTTCACCCGCTGGCCCATGGCGTGGCCACTCGCCAACCAGTCGGCTGCGGCAGTGGCGGACGCCTTTGTCCAAGGTTATGTTTTGGACAAAGGCGCCCCCGAACGCTTGCTGACGGATCAAGGGAAAAACTTTTCGAGTTTTTTGTTGCGCGAGGTGTGCGACCTGTTGGGTACAAAGAAAGTACGTACCTCCCCGTACCACCCGCAGACTGACGGTATGGTTGAACGTCTGAACAGGACGATTACGTCTATGCTGTGCCAACAGGTATGCGACGACCAGGTGGATTGGGACTTACAGGTACCGGGGGTACTAGCGGCCTATCGGATGGCACCCCATGCGGCGACGGGGTTTTCTCCATTTTTTCTGATGTATGGGCGGGAGGCTGATCCGGCCATGGACGTCCAACTGGGGATTTCACAGCCACGTGCTAAATCAAAATTGGCAGACCACATTAAGTTTAACATTGCCAAATTGGCTGAGGCGCGAGAGGCTGCGAGATTGAATTCACGCTCTCGGCAGATCGCGAACGAGCGATTGCATGAACGGAAGGTGCATACGCACAATTGGGAACCGGGCGATAAGGCCTGGCTGCATTGTCCACACGCACCGTTGGCTACGTCCCCCAAACTGTTGAGACCATGGAGGGGACCGGTGGAAATTGTGCGGGTTGCACGACCCCAGAGTATACAGATTAAATGGGGAAAACGCCGTTGGTACGTGCACCCCTCCCGACTGAAACCCTACGCGGCGCCGCGTGACCCCGGGTTGTGCCGTGACGACCGAGCGTCTGATGTGACCGTCGACTCGGGGAGGGATGTGTCGCAGGTTGATCCTCACGTGTCTCCACCTGACCCACCCCCAGGTGTCTCGGACCTGACGGCTGTTGACCGTCGGGAACCGGAACCCCGCGGCTCGCGCGGAGCCCCGATGCCTGGCCCATGCCTTCCTGAACGGCCGGCGCCGCCGGATGGCCAACTGCGTCCTGTGCCGTACGACGGTCCGGCAAGGCGGACTCGGGCAAGGACGCAACACTTTTCATGAAAAAAAAAAGAAAAAAAAATGTTTTTCTTTTTTTTGTTAAAGCCCGACTTCGTTGCCGGCTTCCCCCTCTGCCGGGGTAATGTCCCGTTCAAGGGACGCTCGGACATTGGGACGCTGCATGAGTCGGAGAGAAAAGAAGAGAAAATGATTAAAGAAATTTTTTTTATTGTTACTCTTTCCGCATACACAGTATCGTTGCCATTCGCCGGATTGTGCATGTTGTTCTTGTTGCGGGTGTGGCGGTTGCTGGGTTTTGCGGATTGCGGTGTTCATGTTGTGTTGTTAGGGTTTGTGTTATGTTACGGGGCACACGTGGGGGTGAAGGGGTGTTGTATGTTTTATTAGCAGCCGGGTCGGCTGCGAGCTATGTGGTAGGGGGTGATGTAGTGGTGGTATTGACGTGCGCCGGCAGTGATGGATCACGGGGCGCGGGGTTGGGCACGCGATGTGGGCGTGGCATGGACGCGCGCGCCGGTGGTGAGGCGCGCTCACACAAGCTGGGAAAAGAGGATCGTAGCGAGTGTGCAGTGATTGGTCAGATAAGTGGGTACTCTCAGCGACGTCCGCAGGAGGGGTATAAAGGGGGACGCGCGAGAGCACTCGTGGTCAGTGTTAACCAGTTGAAGACCGAAGACGGGGTGGAGGAGGTAGGGGCCCTGTGTGGCTCGGAGCCGAGACTGGGGGGACCGTAGTCCGACGCCCGTGTGGGTCGGGACGGTGGTACCCAGAGCCGAGACGGGCACCCCGGCTGGGTGTGTCCCGGAAGGCTACAGGGCGTAAGAGCCCGTGTCAGTACAGCTGAGTGGGTGTTGGTCACCCGTGTAGCTGAGTGGGTGTTAGTCACCCGTGTAGCTGAGTGGGTGTTGGTCACCCGTGTAGCTGAGTGGGTGTTAGTCACCCGTGTAGCTGAGTGGGTGTTGGTCACCCGTGTAGCTGAGTGGGTGTTGGTCACCCGTGTAGCTAAGTGGGTGTTGGTCACCCGTGTAACGAAGTTGTAGTTGAGTGGGTGTCCGTCACCCGTGTAGCTAAGTGGGTGTTGGTCACCCGTGTAACGAAGTAGGGTGTTAGTCATCCGTGTAACTACAAGTTGGTGAAAATAAAGTGTGCTACCCGTGAAGTCGTCTCCTGCCGAGTTACTACTTTACATATGTATAAAACAGACAATATGTAAGTAAATATTTTTGCCCATGGTGGATACTTATCACATTTGTCACCCTAGGTGGTACCAAACAAACCCCATTGGATAATGGGATGTATATATATTTCTCTAGTCAGGACTTGATTCAATTACAGTACTCTATTTCTAACCTTTGACAATGGGCTGTAACATTTGTAATCAGAATGCTTCTAACCTTGGGGTGAGCGGTGAAGCAGTGGTTATCACACCATACTTTGAACCTAGCCAACTGGAGTTTGATTTCTGGATATGGACAACATCAGTGGTGAGTGACAATTGAAACAGTCCTTGGCGTACCTCCAAATTTCACCAAGCCTGCGCTCACCAGCTTGCAGAAATATCGTCAAAACAACACTGTGGCTGCCACAGTACACGAGATCAAATAGTAGTGGATTTACAGAAAAGGATTTGTTGTATATTATTACTATGATTATTTCTAACCTTATAAAACTCACTCACACATCATACACTGGGAGTGTCATGCTGCCAGATATGGCTGCAAGTTTGGTCGTACATGTTACGTATATCGTTTATTGTTAAATTTGAATCAAAGTTCCTATGATTACTGTTGTTACATTGTATTTTATAGCTTTATTTTGGTGATTTTGAAAACATATGGTTAAGCCATGTTTCTTGCGGAAGTGCGGAGTTGACCTGATAACTTGAATCTAAATTGTCTTATGGTTGTTATTGTTTGACTTGCATCACACTGGGATTTTTGCACACAGCGTTGTAATACGGTATTTTTTTTCTGGAAGATTTGCTGGTTTACCCAGGATGTTTCTGTTGCGCGTCGTCGCTTTAAGATGTTCTCTGTTTATATTTTGTTTGTTGCTGTTGCACCCGACTCAAGAGCCGCGTGGCTCACAGGGCTATACAGTACCTAATAAATGAAACTTGAAAACTTGATTTGTACTCTCCCAATACAAATCTGTTCTGTCCCAGTTACTTGCTATGGCCATACCAAATCTTCAAGAAGATGGGAGTTCCTGGGCCAACACCTTTCCCACTCGTGGGAACTTTCCACCACTACCTCAAGGTCAGAACTCTAATATGAATATTAGATGCAAATGGGGGTTTCTAGAATATACTATGAATGATTGTGACCATTGGATCAGACATCCAATTACATCATGATGCACATAGGGTTGCCACCTCTCCAGGTTTTCCCAGGATCATCCTTTTGAGGTAGCCAATGCTGTAAAATATGTAAGACTTCCCAGTACATTATAGTCCCTGTTTTTGTCAGTTACTTAATAAGAATTAGAATACACCACTCAAAGCAACTCGTTTGCATGCACCTTCCGATATTGCGCAATATTCTTCGTTCCATGATATGTGCTGGTTTCTGTGCCTCAGAGTTGACAACCTTTTTGCAGTTTTACATGACATCAATGTGAGCATCATTTCACAAATACTACTGACCATTCAGTATTTGTAAACATTTGGTATGGATAATGTTTGGTAATTAAGTGATCTTTTTTAATTGTATGACCCGGGGATGAACCTTGAAAGATCGATTTTTAGCTCAATGGGACCTGTCCCTGGGTTGAACGAAAGTAAATAAATAAACGTACCATGTATAGATATGCAGATTGTCATGTTTACTGATTTCTTTTCACACAGGGATTTAGAGAATTTGATGCAGAGAGTTTCAGAAAATACGGCAGAGTCTGGGGGTAAGCTTCTATCACTTGGAATTTAAGCGTGAGGACCAGGGCTTAATTTCCCACTCGCAATTTCCCAAAATCGCTGCTAAGCTGGCTTGTTGTAGAGATAATTATCAACACAAGGCATTATTACCACTTTGAGTATAAGGTATACCAAATAATTGTTTACTTGTGTACCCGATATTCCTGTGAGTATATGAACACATTATTTGGTGATGCTGCTGCATTGGCAGTGGGGCACATGCACAAATAAAAAAAACGAAACATTTTATATCAATAAAATCTAAATATCTAATAGGTGACGTTTCAGGTAAAGGCCCTGCTTCACAGCACATAAAAGGCAAATTGTCTGAAATGTCGCCCGTTATATTTTTTCTCTTGAAGCTAGTTTTATTTATGAATTTACATTTTTTTGTATTGTGTATGATCCTGTTTGTCTCGGTGTAGTGTCTCGCTCGGTGTGTCTTTGTGTGCGTCTCTCTCTGCATGTGTGTCTGCCTATGCTGTTTCCAGTGTCTGTGTTTCATCATTCATTTTTACCTGATGATGTTTGCTTATGTTGCAACCGAAACGTCGTATTCTATTACTATTTGATTTTATTTTCTACGTGACTTTACCGAAAGAACCAAAGAGATGTATGATCCTGTGAACATGATTATCGGAATATAGGGCACAATGGGAACAAACTAAGGCGAGATGCATGCGGCAGTGCCAAAATACATCCTGGATAAGATTCGAACTTAAAAACAAAATCTAACCATTGGAAGCATTATTTTTACTCCAGGAATCTCTGGCATTGATTTGCAGTTTAATAGTTGTATCAATGGCCAAAGGTAAAGGATACTGACGCCTGCTGCTGGCAGGGATTGGCCTCCCCCCTACTTGAGGGAGCAATAGAAAATGAACAGATGGTAATGGTATTTTATCCTACTTGTCCACGCTGGCCAGACATCTTGAAAGAGGTGAGAGTACAGCACACTTTACAGCACCGCATGTAATCTGCTGTGTGGACAGAGGCAGATAGGCATTTAAGAAACATAACCGCATTATTGTTTTGACTGCCGTGCCCCGGCAAGCCTAATGTGCCAACGTATGCATCTTGAACTTCTTTCGCACCGTATGTAGCCAACCGTGCTAACCACGGCAGCCTCCTGAGATATGAATAAGCCATGTTATGTTAGTTTAAAATAAGTTATATACTTGGAATTGGTCATGTTTCTGATACTATTTCGGACCAGGAATACCACAGTAATCACACTGAGCGAGAAACTGAAGAAGCTTCAATGATTGACGTGTACATCGCAGAAATATGAGTAATATTTTTCGAACAAATCCAGCATCCTGCAATTATGTCTTTTTTCTCTGTACACCTACAAGGATTTACGATGGCCGGGTGCCCGTGCTCATGGTGACTGACACAAGCATGCTGAAACAAATCCTCATCAAAGATTGCCTGGAGTCCTTCACCAATCGCCGGGTGAGCAGTGCAGATAGAAGACAAATTAGCAACGCTGAGTTTTCCAACTTGAGGTTTATGTAATTTGTAGATATTTTATTTCTTGTGTTGTAACAGGAACTTGAGCTAATTTTACGATCAATGTGTGGGTTGTGGTGCTGTGAATCTAAAAGCCTCAACTGTGTCCCATTTTCCCAGCATCCGTGACGTAGTCTACAGTATTAATGAATGCAATTACGTACTGTTTTAATTTATTTTACCTGTAAGGTTTCACCTAATTTAACTTTTCTTTCAACAGAAATTTGGACTTAGCGGGCCCATCAAAGATGTTCTGCTCATAGCTGAAGATGAGCACTGGAAGCGTATCCGAAATGTGCTGACTCCGGCGTTCAGTGGCGGAAAAATCAAGCAGGTAAAGACGTGCGTTTGAAATAAAGCAACGTTCACAGCTCTATAGAAAGTTGTTTTATTTAAAGTTTTTTTTTTTTATTCGCGGTTGCTGAGCACCGGACAAAATACTCAAAATGCCAAGCAGCCAGCAACAAACAGTACTCTTGAATTAATCGATTTTTGTATCGAATTGTGTTCTTAAAAACATGACCTGGAACTAACACTGAAAACAACATCTCTCTCTCTCTCTTCCAGATGTGTCCCCTGATTCAGCGCTGTGCTGAAGTGCTGGTGCAGAACCTCCACGAACCGTGCCAGTCGGAACAACCAGTGGATTTAAAAGAGTAAGCTATAAAAGCCACCGTTGGGATTTCTTTAAATCGCATTTTACTCACGTGAAAGGTCAGTGTGGTGTGTGCTGTAAATGAACTTAAGGTGTTCAACACAGTTTGATGTGTGTCATCCCAGCAAGGTGTGGTGGGTATGTGTGTTAAAGCAACAGTTCATGTGTAATACATGTTGTTAATCACCATCAATACCAGTGGCAAGATTTCTAATTTTACGCAAGGCACACATGCATATTCATCCCTCTTGCCTTAAACAGCCACTATCTTTAGTTCCCAATGCCCACCCAGTTTTATATAATAAATCTGCATCCCTAACCAATGAGTGCCGATTTTAGCCTTTCTTCTTGTTGACTGATATTTACCGCTATTTTAGTAACCACTGTACCAGGATTGGTTATGCCAGTACCTGATCATACATTGCGACGTGGATGTATATATTGTCTAAATGCAATTGCATCTCAAAACGCTGCACAGAATAGTAGAACATGAGCATCCTGTGGAGATAAAGAGAGTCACGTGCAGATGAAAAGCAAGAAGGTCTTCTGCATGAACTTGAACAGATGTGGGGAGCTTACATTGCTGAGGGAGGGGAGTTTCAGACTTTGGGAGCAACAAAGAAAATTAGTTACCTCCCACTGCATGTAGGTTGACGAGGGGCTTTAATAACCTTGGTTGCCGGAGCTGAGAGTGCATGGGTGGAGTGAAATGGGAATGGAGCGGTTGTAGAGCTGACTCTAGAAAGGATCTTGAAGATAATGAGGGCAATGCTGAAGTTACACTGGGACCGATTTGGGAATCGGTGAAGAAATCTGAATATCGGGTTGTGGTTTCGTTTATGGGTGTGGGTGATGAGTTTGGCAGAGGCATTTTAGATCATTTGGAGTTTGAAGGTGAGGGATTTGAGGAAATTGTAAAGCAGAAAGTTTCGTTAGTCAACTCGGTATGTGATGATGGCATGGATGAGGAATGAGTCTTAGAAGTCTGCTTTGGAACTAGCCAGAGCTGACTGATAAGATTCATTGCGAGCCTTCTCTATCTGGGAGTGAACTTCAAAGCCAGATTTATTATTTTGTCTCCCAAGTTTACGACCAATTATTTCATCGCTCGTTGTGGCTGGTTTGAGATGCTTCTAGAAGAGGTTCGATCCATCAGCGGGGTGTGATCAGCATGGCATAGGGAAGTCCTCCAATCAGAAATGGTTTGACAAAGGGCTGAACATTATTATCGTTATTATTCCTAATTAGAGAACTCGTTGATCTGTAACGAAAAATTCAAGATCGCTGCCATTTTTGTACTTTTTCTCACAATCCTGTACCTAGAGCACTAAAATCGATTGTTTTAATGGAATAAAATTCCAAGATAATATGCATTGTCAGGCTTTTTAAAAATATTCTCTAGGATTTCAATGATATTTGGTGTAATAATTGCATTAATAGGAGCACACATAAAAATGTTAGAACCATTTCATATGAGCTGTGGTCAGTATTCTGTATTTGATACTCCCACCTCTGAGGTGTCGCTATCGATTAAATCTTTTCCGAACTTCTACTGCGGTTTCAATAAAATGTAATGTTCAATAGTCATACAAAACATCCCATTTAGCCAGTTACCTAGCTAGTTTGTTTAAGTGGCAACAGCCCACAGTCACTAACATTAGAGTTATTGTTGGGGTGGAGAGGAGTCCAGTCAGTGGCCAGCCAGGAAACTCGAGGCATCGGTTAATATTTACCATGAGTATGATGATCCTCTACAAGGTTCAGATCAACTATGGTTTCAAATGGACGTAATACACATGTGTTAATCATGCTGCATATAGGCAGGATTATAATAATAGGGTTTTCCCCCTTTTTTTCTGGCAACAAAACTGAAACCTTTTTACAAGGATTCATGTCTGCATTAACCACAATACTTGCAGTCAAAATGCAAACAAAAAACACACTCTGATGATATATGCATTACTTTGATAGTGCATTGTCGTTGAGCTGTACGCCTTTTGGCGTCATCTGGTCGAGCACTAATTGAGACGAGGCTCAAAAGAAAGCTGTCTCTGGTGTGGACCAATCAGTTTCAAGGACAATGCATATATTATCAGAGCGGTTTTTTTTGTTGCATTTTGACTGCAAGTTTTGTGGTTAATGCAGACATGAATCCTTGTAAAAAGGTTTCAGTTTTGTTGCCAGAAAAAAGGGGGAAACCCCTATTATTATATTTTGGTACTGGCAAAGGAGGTCTAGGCAGGATCAGTTTAACTTTCCAGTTCGCAGCAGGTATTTTTTGGCTAATTGTTGCTTCCATGTGAATTTTCACCTCTAAATAGAATATTTGGAGCGTACAGCATGGACGTGATCGCAAGCTCAGCCTTCAGTATGGACGTGGATTCTCAGATCAACCCCAACGATCCATTTGTCATAAATGCAAAACTTATTTTCAAAATAAACTTCGCAAGCCCTTTAATTGCTGTAATTTGTAAGTATATTTTTTACAACTATATGAATCAAAGCCAGTGGTGTTATCCTCACAATTCATGAATAACTCAGTTTTCATATTTTATAATTTACTTAAAACATTTTTCTGACAAACCAAAATGTGTTTTTAGGTTTGTGAGCTCGCAAAAAAATCTCTGCAAAGTATCAGTCAATTAATATTCTTGGATAAATTTTTGATGTTTCATTTGTATGAATTTTGAGTGACATGACATAATCAATGTAAATTCTTTCTTTCAGTGTTCTTCCCATTTTTGATCTCTCCACTTGAAAGACTGGGAGTGACTTTGTTTGATACAAAAGCGATACATTTTTTCCATAAAATTGTTCAGCAAATGAAAAAACAACGTCAGAAAGGTCTGAATGACATGGTGAGTCCATAACAAAATATTTTTTAAAATAACGTTTGAGGAGGAGGCCATTAGGAGAAGTTTTACTGGTAGAAGTTTTACTGGTAGGAACCTCCTGGTTACACCAGCCCACATGGGATTATTGTGTCCGTCGTGGGGAGGGGCTGGGTGGGGAGGGGCTGGGTGGGGGGTGTGAGAGGTGGGGCTGGGTGGGGAGGGGTTGGTCACCCCGTGGTGCCCTTATACAACTCAACGTTTAACCTACTCACGCCGGCTTGTGCCCGCCCTCACAGTCGGGCATATTTGCGGAACACACCACGCCGTCGTTGACCCTGGCCATTGACTGAGCAACCCAACGTTCCTACCAGCTCCCTCCGCAGGAATGTGTTTATCCGAAATACATCTCTTGCTCGTAAACCCCAGAGCATTTTGGAGGTCACCTTGCACAACGAATGTGACAGGACGTGGAAATTGCTGAAGACATGCCTAAGCAAATTACATGGAAGTTTAAGACGATTAAAATAAAACACCGACATCAGGAGGTGAAACTGTTTGCTTTCTGTTGAGAACAAAAAGTAAAAAATTAATCAAATAAGGTCGTCACAAAATTATTTGAAGAATTGCAGACCAATTAGACTGGTATCACATGCTTATGAGTTGCTCAAGAAATCGAAAACTGAATTGCAGACATTTAAGAGGTCACCCACACGCAAACAGGATTTACAAGCTTTCTTCATAATTGACCACGTCAGTGTTATTAATAAGATCCTACAAAAGCCATGCAATCAAAACACCATTTCCAAACCTTAAATATTAAATTCTGTCAAAAAACACAAACTGTTACACGTGAGCGTTGGATTTATTGTTCGTTCGAGAAAAAAAATGCGTTTACTTTGTACAAATACAGCAATGACTGAAGACACTTGTGTTTTAGTTAATAGACCGATGTACCCACTGCATACCTGTCAACCCCTTATCAGTGCCTACCTTAATACAGACAAATTCACACCTTATTGATCACCCCTTGCCCCTTTAAATCTCAACGTTCATCCTACAAAGTTCCCCGTATTTAAACGACGACTGTACGCCGTATGGATCCTGAACACTCAATTTCCCTGTACAAGAATACGGGTGAACCGTATGGATTTACAGGTGTGCTACGGTTGTAAAAATTTGAGATTTTCTTTTTGCAGGGAAGAGTAGACTTTCTGCAGCAGATGGTGAACGCTCAACTTTCCGAAAACATCTCGGATGGAAATGAAGGGAATACTCCTGCAGAAAAGTGTAGGCATTTTACGACAATATCCTCTCGTGTTGATGTAATTAATGTATTAGATAATTTACATTCCGATGAGCATTGTTGGCTACGTATGGTGCTAAAGAAGTTCAACATACATACACATAATAGAGTCTTATGTGTAGCGGTGTACAGGATGCGGCAACAGTCAGGAAGCGTAGTGAGTTCTGGACTGTGCTTTGTGTGTATTGTTGTTTGATGTGTACAGGGGGGAGATAGGTGTCCTCAGTATTGACCCTTATAATACTGAGGTCCCAATGAATGGCAATGAAAAGGTCACCGGACCTCCCGCCTCTTGGCGTGTATTTGTGGGGATATCTGTGGAGGTCAGTCATGTATGCCAACCGACCGAGAAACATCAAAATAACTGCGAGCGAAAATATGAGCTCAGTGCGCTAAAATCAACGTGGGCATGCTAAGGAATGGTCAGGCCTCATTTTGTGTGAAACAGAGATTGAGTCGCGTATCCCAAGCAAAGGGTGCACAGTTAGGGAACCCATTTACGGCATCCTTTTGGGAAGATTGAGGTGGGAGGATTGAAGACATTTCCCCATTGTTTCGGGCTACCGCTCTGGGAGCTCGAACTGGAAAGCTTGTGGATTGCGCATCCAGTGTTAACGTAGGGTAACGGGAATTAATTCAGTGTACAAAACCATTCAACCTGCAGTCTTCTGCGTTTACGGTTTCATTTGACAGATTTGACTGACGGTGAACTGGAGTCTCAGGCAGTGCTGTTCCTCATGGCTGGTTATGATACCACAAGCACAAGCATCACCTTTTTGGCCTATTGCCTTGCTTGTAACCCTGACGTCCAGACTAAAGTCCAGCAAGAGATCGACACAATTCTACCAGATGGCGTAAGTCAACTTATATTTACCATCTTCTTGGTTCTTTCGGTAAAGTCACGTAGAATGGAAATAATAAAATAATAAAAATAAAACATAATAAAATAATTCTCACAACGTTTCGGCCACAACGCAAGCAGCCGTCCTCAGGTGAAGAACAGATCTGCCATTCTACCTGACTTTACCGAAAGAACCAAGAAGATGAATCCTTGCAGTCACGAAAGCTTTAAATCGAAATTTATATTTACCACTTAAGTACTGCATGGCGCATTCATTGTAAGAGTATTACTCGCTGTCATACATCGCAGCATGCGGAACATGTTAATGTGAACGTACTTGTCAAAGGCTGATTGATAAATGTGTTGCACACTCCATAATTAATTGTGTGTTAAACAATTACATGTTTTCATGTAAAATTATATATTGGTCCGTGTCACCCTGAATGCAGAAACTGCCAGATTATGATACTTTGAAGCAGATGGAGTATCTGGACATGGTCGTGTGCGAGACTCTGCGGATGTACTCACCAACATCTCGTACGGACCGCGTCTGTAAAAAGACGACGGTTGTGAATGACATGGTCATACCCAAGGGTGTGGTGGTCACTGTGCCACTGTGGGTGCTCCACTACGACCCGCAGTACTGGGACGAACCTCACGTGTTCCGGCCTGAACGGTGAGTGAGTCTCACGATTTTTGAATAATGAAAGTTATTCATCAACATAAAGACATGTTGTGGTTTAGCAATTGTATCAAGGATCGAGGTTGCAGTCCAGGGCATGACACTGGAAGGAAATTTAGTTTCTTCATTCTTGCCCATTCATAAAAGGAGGTATTTTACATTGTGAATTGTAGAAGGACATTTTATTACGAGTTTACAAAACCGGAATTTTATATCTATATCTTTTTTTTAAGCAAACCTTTTCCAACAACATTGTCAATCTACGGGCACACTGAAGAATGTAACCTTTTTCCACATATGGACCCCCAGTTGTAGGGTTTTGACTGATCGGTTGCCAAATGGTAATCGTAACAATCAGAAGAAATTGTGAAACACCAGTTTTCGTGAAGTGCACTGTTAATACGTTTATATCACGATGGCATATGTTCAAGAGTACAGGGTGCAGAGAACACGATAACTCTTGCCACACATTTCCTAGTTACAACATCGTTGGCAGAGGTGTTAATGTTTATCACACGGCTGCCAAATAAGACATTGCCGCTCGACTACATTCACACGTCGATTCTGAAATCATGCTCGGACGTGCTTGCGCCACTGATTGTCCACCTGGAAAATCTTTCGTTCAGTGAGGGCTGCTTCTTCCCAGAATGGTTTAAAATGGTGCAGGTAACACTGCTGAAAAAAGTTGGCTTAAGCCATAGCGACCCCACACACTATTGTCTGAGTTCTCTTTCAAAGGTCACAGAACGCCTTTGTCTGAAGCGGTTACTTCCACACGTCGCTGCGACTGGCAGATTCAACCTGTTGCAGTTAGCATACTGGGAGCTCCACCGCACTGACATGGCTCTATTAAAAATCACTGATGACCTCTGCAAGATAATGAATGGCCGTTGCGCGGCTGCGTTGGTTGGCCCCAATCTCTCGGCTGCCTTTCGACACCATCGAGCACGAGATACTTATCGGGCGGCTACGGTTAAGGTTTGGTGTATTAGGCGCTGGGGTGGAGTGACTCGTACCTACCTGGTCGATCACCTGAGGATGGCTGCTTGCGTTGTGGCCGAAACGTCGTGAGAATAATTGTATTATGTTTTATTTTTATTATTTTATTATTTCCATTCTACGTGACTTTACCGAAAGAACCAAGAAGATGAATCCGTGCAGTCACGAAAGCTTTAAATTAGAACTGCAGCATACAAATAGGACAGAACTTGTCACTTGGCAGACTGGCGATCGTGGCTATCAGGAGTCACTGGTTTGTGTAACCCCCACGCTGTCCATCGATTCTGCGTGTGCACGACTGTGAATTGTGCAGATTCACCAAGGAGGCCAAGGAGGCCCGTGACCCCTACTGCTACCTGCCCTTCGGTCACGGACCCAGGAACTGCATCGGCATGCGCTTTGCCCTGATGTCCCTGAAGATGGCTGTCTGTCGCATCCTGCAGCGCTACTCCTTCCACGCGTGCAGCGAGACCACGGTACACGATCACTCCTCCTCCGCTCTTTACTGTTCACAAAGTGATTTTATAGTTTAAATCAGTGTTTGACGATTCCTGCAGGAATATTGCTTGAATTCAATGATTTCATTGTCGGTGATTGTTCATTCATATTCTCCCAAGGGATTAAATACATATTTATTCACTTTAATGGGATTTTAACACAGATTCTGTCATGCAGGAATTGCCCATCAACGTACATTTGTTTAAATGGCATTCCAAAAATATCTATGTAAATCTTTTATGTGGGATTTTCCAGGATCATGAGAATTGGCAGCATATTGAAAGGGGCATTACCAAATAACTTGAACCACATTCATTTAAATGGATATCCACAGTTTATCATTGAATTATTGATTATAATTATATTGAAAATTCCTAAGCTGTCAAAAAAATCTCAATAACTTAATGGAGATTCCTGGTTCATTTAAGTGAATGGGTAATTTAATTAAATGTATTTTGTTAACCCTCCATAATTCTAATGAATCCATGATGCTGTTGGGAATCATTAGATTCCAATAATTGCTTTGCGATCCTGGGCTATAATTTAAATGTTAATTTCAGTAATGCTCATACATATGGAAGCTCTGATAATGACTTTTTAACGTGCTCTGATCATTTTTAACGTTTGTTTATTTGGTTTACAGATTCCACCAAAATTTAACAAGAATACATTTTTACAGCTGGAAAAACCACTGAAGGTGAAAGTTGTGGCGCGAAAGGAGGCCGAGTGAAATATGAATTGGGTGATCGATTCGGAAGGAAGCAAGCGTGACAGCTCCATTCACATTGCTAAGTTGGAACACGTCACCTTGCCAATTAGCACCATTGTCGGTGATGGCTATGGGCAGCATTTTCCAAAAATGCAGAAAAAAGGAACGTTTGTCAATAAGTTAATCACCATTGGAACCTCATTTGCCAGTAAAAAATATGGTAATTGGTTTTTTACCCTTCTATCTGGCAACAAAACTGACACCTTTTTTACAAGGAGTCATGTTTGCATAGACCACAATACCTGCAGTCATAATGCAAACAAAAACATAACTCTGATAATGTATGCACTGTCCTTGAAGTTCATTGGTCCACACCCGAGACAGCTTTCCTTAGAGCCTAGTCTCACATGGGTTGGACCAGATGACGCCAAAAGGCGCACAACTCAAAGACAATGCACCATCAGAGTATGAGAGCTCGGGGTAAGCATTTACACCATTGGAACCTCATTTGCCAGTAAAAAATATGATAATTGTTTTTTACCCTTCTATCTGGCAACAAAACTGACACCTTTTTTACAAGGAGTCATGTTTACATAGACCACAATACCTGCAGTCATAATGCAAACAAAAAACATAACTCTAATAATGCCGTAAATTCTACATTATCAGAGTTATGTTTTTGTTTGCATTACCACTGCAGGTATTGTGGTCTATGCAAACATGACTCCTTGTAAAAAAAGGTGTCAGTTTTGTTGCCAGATAGAAGGGTAAAAAACAATTATCATAATAAGTTAATCGTGCCTCGCGCGTGTCTTAAAATAACAATTTCTGTGGTGCTAACATTTATTATTGCCAACATACATATTGAAGTTCAACTGTGCAGGAATATATTACTTCTACATTTTGCGAATATATTGACTCATAATTGTCTTTTTATATTACAGTAAGTGATTACATTAATATACTTGTTATAAGTTACTTTACATGTGGGTATCTATCGCGATTAAGGTCGGGTTTGTAATATGGGTCCATGAAGTAAGTATACTTGCTAAATAAATACGTGAATCACTCTGCTGTGGGTGGCGCTCATGGACTTTCGTGGTGCTAGCCTAGTGCCGAAAATTCGACATTCTCATGGTGGGGACAATGTGTGACCTATACTGGTAGGAACCCACTGGTTCTACCAGCCGACAGGGGATTATTGTGTCCGTCCGTTGTGCAGGGAGGGGCTGGGTGAGTAGGGAGGGGCTGGGTGGGGAGGGGTGGGGAGGGGCTGCGTGGGGTGAGTAGGGTGGGGCTGGGTGGGGCTGGGTGGGAAGAGTGGGGCTGGGTGGGGAGGGGCTGGGTGAGTAGGGAGGGGCTGGGTGGGGAGGGGTGGGGAGGGGCTGCGTGGGGTGAGTAGGGTGGGGCTGGGTGGGGCTGGGTGGGAAGAGTGGGGCTGGGTGGGGAGGGGCTGGTCACCTCGGGAAGGGTTCACTTCGGGAGGAGAGGAGACAGGGCGGACCGGCTACACAATGTCACGCAGTTCTGCTGTACTGCACTTTGCTTCAATAGCACTCGTGATATTTCACTATGAACATTTAGCTCCAAGGTGGATTGCGGCAATTGTAATGTAACTTCGTGCATCAAGTACATCCCACCGCCCCTCCCCGTATATATTCTTAGGTTTTTTCGGTAAAGTCACGTAGGTAAAAAATAAAAATTAATAAAAGTGAAATAAAAATAAAATAAAAATCACGACGTTTCGGAGGCAACACAAGCTTCCGTCTTCAGGTGGAACCGTCACAGCACGATAGCTGTATCAAGTGTATACCCTATGTGACGTTAAAAAGTGCATTACCCACAACCCACGAGCCATATCAAGTCCAAAAGCAAATCAGTTGCGTTCACAATACAGCATAATGCATCTAGGAGCCGTTCATTCCCTTGTAGCTAATTGTCCATTCATCCCAGTGTAGGACCCTACTCGAAATCTCGACTCTTGTAGGTGGCTCGTTATATCAGGAAATGAAATGTCATGCATGCAGTTTCTCTCACGGCACGTCACCGTTACATAAGCCCGTGCAACATCATTGCAATCGCTTCATACTGCACTCTGCAATGCCCCTAATTGTTACAGCTAACCGGGCTCTCAACCGCAGTGTCTGATTACACATACTGTGACTGACGTCTCAATGGGTATTCTGGTGAAAAAAATGACACGGATCGCATTAAAGATAAAAAGTTATTTGCCATTTTTAAATGGAGCGTGTAAATCTTCTGTTTTCATTACTCCCATCTCCATGGCGCAGCTATTTGTGTTCCGAACTTTACATAACAAAAGGGCTTTTTTTGTGTCGATCTTTTCCCACCGTTACGGTGGCAGCGGCTTGAATTACAGTACAGTATTGCATTGTTGGTGCGGATCGGAGCCTCAGCCAGCCGCCAGCCAGGAAACTCAAAGCTTAGATAATTATTTGCGATATTAGTATGCAATAAGCAGTACAATTTTTCACAGCATAAATATCAAAAACTACACGAACGATCTCTCACTCCTGAAGAACTTCTCTCGTGGCGAGCAGACCTCAACAGTATTGGCCTTAAGCTCCCTCCTGAACAACATTGCCATAATCTTAGGTTTTTTGGGTAAAGTCACGTAGGTAAAATTTTTTTTTAAAGTTAATAAAAGTAATAATGGAAATAAAATAAAATAATAAATCACGACGTTTCGGAGGCAACACAAGTCTCGTCATCAGGTGGGACCGTCACAGCTAAAATGACTGCATCAAGTAACGGTCCCACCCGATGACGGAGACTTGTGTTGCCTCCGAAACGTGATTTATTATTTTATTTTATTTCCATTATTACTTTTATTAACTTTAAAAAAAAAATTTTACCTACGTGACTTTACCGAAAAAACCTAAGAGTATGAATCCTTGCAGTCACGAAAGCTTCAAATCTAGAAACATTGCCATAACGCAGAGAATGGAATTACCCGTAGTGAAATGATCATTGTCATTGACACGTTATGGTGCAATTACCAGTACTCATACCTGGCAACACCGTATCAGTGCCTACCTTATTACAGATCAATTCATACTTGATTGGTCATCCCGTGCCCTTATAAATCTCAAAATTCACGCTACAAAGTCCCATCACAATGGAGACACACAGACACAAAAGAAAATCTTGTTTTTATCACCTAAAATAGTTGTGTGTACTCATACATGTCAACACCTTATCAGTCCCTACCTTATTACAGACCAATTCAGACTTTATTGCTCACCCCGTGTTCTTTATAAATCTCAAAGTTCACGCTACAAAGTCCCATCACAAGGGAGAAACACAAACATTAAAAAAATGTGCACGTATTGAAACGTCTGTACGCCCCATGGACTTGAACACGACATTTCCCTGTTCATGAACACGGGGTCAAGCGAAAATGGGTTGACCGGTATGAGCACTGTATTGGAAACAGGAAGAGTTTTGAGCTTTACCTTGATGCAACAGTCATTCATTTTATTTTAAATGATCCAGAAGGACTTTCTTAAGCCCGAATGCGTATTCTTAAGCCTCGCATCAATCTCTTAATTAACACATTCCTGCGGAGGCAGCTGGTAGGAACGTTTGGCTGCTCGGTCAATGGCCAGGGTCAACGGCGGCGTGGTGTATTCCGCAAATATGCCCGACTGTGAGGGCGGGCACAAGCCGGCGTGAGTAAGTTAAACGTTGAGTTTTATAAGGGCACCACGGGGTGACCAGCCCCTCCCCACCCAGCCCCATCCCTCGCACCCCCCACCCTCCCCACCCAGCCCCTCCCCACCCAGCCCCTCCCCACCATCCCCTCCCCACCGAGCCCCTCCCTCCCCACCCAGCCCCACCCCTCCCATTTTTGGATGCACGACGGACGGACGGACACAATAATCCCCTGTGGGCTGGTGTAAGTAACCAAGAGGTTCCTACCAGTATGAACCTCATAACGGAACGTGCGTCTGTCACGGGGGAGCATTTCCAACGCGTCGCGTCGCGCGAGTCGGTCATTGACGGGCAATTCGTGAAAATGTCCACCGTTGGGAATTATTATTATACGTGTGTAGGAACATTGCTGAATTATTACACATTGTGTAGGGAAAAAAAATGCGTGTTTAGGTTGTTGGCTGCACGGAACGGGGCGGGGGGGGTGATGACATCCAGGGTGTCTGATTTTTGCCAAGACTTTATTACATAACTTGCCAACCTCCCAGTGAGCAGTCATTATAATTTGAGCAACGCAGACGATCGAGTTGTCGACCAGAAACGCTGCAAGACGGACACACAGAGAGACAGAGAGAGAGACATACAGAGGGCGGTTGCTGTTCAACTTGCAGGTTGTCTTGGGGTAAGGTTTTGTGGATGTTGCTGTTGTTGTTGGTCTCTGCCGAAATCGTACTAAAACCAGTAAAGTTACACGGAAAAAGATACTTACAATTGTCCTGCCACTTCGGTGTCGTCGAGTGACTTGGGTGGTTGTCGAAAATTTGATTGAAACCCACTTTACAACAACTTTACCATTATCTACTGCAGTGACGGTGCAGCCCTTTCGTTAAAAGACCCCTTATTGCATACCGTGTCAACCCACACAGTTTCAACCCTGTATTCTTGTACAGGGAGATTTCGTTTTCAGGTCCAGGCGGCGTACAGCCATTTCAATACGGGAAAAACATGTTTTACTGGAAGGAACCTCCTGGTTACACCAGCCCACAGGGGATTATTGTGTCCGTCCGTCCGTCGTGCAGGGAGGGGCTGGGTGGGGAGGGGAGGGTGGGGAGGGCTGGGTGGGGGGGCTGGGTGGGGAGGGGCTGGTCACCCCGTGGTGCCCTTATAAAACTCAACGTTTAACCTACTCACGCCGGCTTGTGCCCACCCTCACAGTCGGGCATATTTGCGGAATACACCACGCCGCCGTTGACCCTGGCCATTGACCGAGCAACCCAACGTTCCTACCAGCTCCCTCCGCAGGAATGTGTTTTGGTCTATTTGTTTGTGTTTCTAGCCTCGCGATGGGATTTTGTAGGATGAACGTTGAGATGTACAAGGGGCACGAGGTGACGAATGCGGTCTGAATTGGTCTGTAATAAGATTGGCACTGATAAGGGGTTGACAGGTGTGTTATTTTGCATACAAAGATTGGGAATTAATGTACTTTAATGCACTCGACATTAAACTCGCTTGTATGCCATTTGAAAAATGTGTTTACCCCCTCTCTCTGTGTGTGTGTGAATGTTTCAGTTTGGGGAAGTCATTGACAGATGCTGAGCATAGCTCCTACCCCCAAACGTCCAGCGTGCGGCCAGACACATAACCGCACACTAATCGAAAGTTGTCACAGGTGCGAGTTTATGGGACAAGCACCCAGCCACGTGTGACAATCGTGGGAAGTTCAATCATTTGGCAATCGTGGTTGGGGTGTGTGTGGGATTTGTGGGGAGCGGTGGTGTCGTGGTTAGCGCACTGTGCTGCAAACCCGGCGAGCCGAGTGGCGATTGTCTGAATTGGTCCTGGGCATTCCCCTGGATCGACTCGGCCTCAAATGAGTATGTAACCATCGCCACTGGGGGAGACAAAGGCGGCCGGGCGGTGGTGCTGGCCACCTACCCACCTTTTTTACAAGGAGTCATGTTTACATAGACCACAATACCTGCAGTCATAATGCAAACAAAAAGCATAACTCTGATAAATTATCAGAGTTATGTTTTTTGTTTGCATTATGATAAATAATCAGAGTTATGTTTTTTGTTTGCATTATGACTGCAGGTATTGTGGTCTATGTAAACATGACTCCTTGTAAAAAAGGTGTCAGTTTTGTTGCCAGATAGAAGGGTTAAAAACCAATTATCATATTTTTACTGGCAAATGAGGTTCCAATGGAGTTTGAGTTTATTCGAGGATTTCATTATACCGGATGGTTCAGTGCAGATCGGTTTTGTTTTTCTTTTTCCTGGTTATTTTACACGGGGAATCCGTGGAAAGTACAACAGCAAGCAAGCGGTAGCAGCAAATAACGAAAACACCAACACTGCAATTGCAGTGAACGCGTACCAGGCTCCAGAAGGAATATTGCACGGGGCATTTAACGGATCGAAAAGAAAACGACAGTGGATGGGTTGAACTTCAGAATCGGAATCTTTCTTTTCAGATTTGGAGGAATCCGATGACCTATGAAGCTCATTCCCTCCCCACCCCCACCTCCCCCCACAGATATCCAGGAGGGGCGGGTGAGCGAGTCGCAACAATAAACAATAACAACGGCAAAACGTCGCAATTATTCGGTACATTTCTTTAATAACCTCGAACTTGTTTGGAGGGAATCTGGCGTCTCGCTCCCAAGTGCGTCCTTTGTTTTTTGAAGCGGTAAGTTCGTGAAAGTCACGCGAAGTGTCGTAAAGGACGTGCGTGCCACGTGAGCTGTCAGGGCAAAAATGTATTTTGCATCATTGAAATGTAACACAATACAGAGTGGTCTATATGTCTTGTGACCGCCCCCCCCCCCCCCATTTAATTCTCTAAAACTTGATATATTGTTTGAAAAAATGTTTCTTTAGAACATAAATTAATATTCAACGGGGGGGGGGGGGATGTTAAGAGGTCAATTAATTGGCGGGTCACAAAACATCTGGATCACCCTGTACAGCCCCGTGTAACATAATGAACGTGCATCAAATGAAGCAACTCCTGGTTTGTGTTTACAAAAATGTTGGGCATTCATTTGATTACTTTTGGTCGGTTTCCACGGCGTTTTATTTTCCCTGATAGCTTATTTTAAAGAGTTTAAATGAGTTTCTGAGCACAGACTCAAGTTTCATCGACTATACAGCCTGACCAACTAAAACATTACGGCTAAACAAGTACTGGAACCCCACTAGCTGGACTGATCATTAAAACAAAATGAAAGATTGAATTTCAGGGATAGAAATATTAATATATATGTTTCGATTTAAAGCTTTCGTGACTGCAGGGATTCATCTTCTTGGTTCTTTCGGTAAAGTCACGTAGAAGGGAAATAATAAAATAATAAATATTAAAACATAATAAAATAAAATAATTCTGAGGACGGATGCTTGCGTTGTGGCCGAAACGTCATGAGAATTATTTTATTATGCTTAATTTTTATTATTTTATTATTTCCCTTCTACGTGACTTTACCGAAAGAACCAAGAAGATGAATATATGTTGTATATATAATTATTTGTATGTGCCTGCAGTAATGATGCACATATAGCAGCTTCCTTATGAACCCATGAGCGACATCCAACCTTGAACTCAATGCCCGGTCACAGCTAACATCATTGGCCAAGTGATATCTGAACCGGTTCACCACACTGACCAGAGTGTGGTGTGAGAGCGTGGTGGACTAAAGCAGCATGCCCGATGCGTGTAACACGGCATTGAGAGGACGTCATCCAGCAGTGGACTTAGAGGTTTGTAAATCGGTTCATCGGTGCAACTGCAGAGAGAAGTTGAATGGATTCGTTCATTTAGCATGAAAAAAAGATAACCTAGAACATGTCTGTCGCGTCTGTAGTTTGCTGTCTAATCGACACAAACACATTCCTGCGGAGGGAGCTGGTAGGAACGTTGGGTTGCTCGGTCAATGGCCAGGGTCAACGGCGGCGTGGTGTATTCCGCAAATATGGCCGACTGTGAGGGCGGGCACAAGCCGGCGTGAGTAGGTTAAACGTTGGGTTTTATAAGGGCACCACGGGATGAACAGCCCCTCCCCACCCAGCCCCACCAATCCCCTTCTCCCCACCCAGCCCCTCCCTCCCCTCCCCACCCAGCCCATCCCTCCCCACCCAACCCCTCCCTGCACGACGGACGGACGGACACAATAATCCCCTGTGGGCTGGTGTAACCAGGAGGTTCCTACCAGTATTATTTTCGTTGATCGACAGCCAGTGAGCGTGCAACGTTGGCAACGTTGTGATCGGACATTGTATGTTCATAAAGTAAGCAACTCCTGTATTGCACTGTGATTGGCCCCCATTGGACTTTGAAATGCCCTCACAAGCTTGTGCAGTTCGCCAGATACAACAATCTGACAATGGTATGTGTGTTCACAGATTATATCTTCACAATGGCTGACATTTCCAGCCTGTTTGAAATGTCTCCCCTCACCCTGGTTCTTATATTGGCTGCGTTCATTTTGTCTGCAATGTAAGTGCTCAGCATCGGCTACTCTTAACCTTTACCTTACTTAACCAATCTTGATTTGAAGCTATTTTATACTTACTTAACCAGTTACATGTATCGTGCATTTTTGTGAAAAATTATCTGCCATGAATTTCCCTGCACAGTAACGTTAACCACAATAACTTGCCGATCTCACCAATGGAGCATAAACCATCACGCAAACTCCGGTCGTCCTCGCGACGGCTTTTGGTTGGCTATTGAACAAAGACGGTCACTGCATCGCAGCGCTTTCAGATGCGCTTCTGCAGCCATCTGGAAAGCTCTTCCCTCCTATATATTCGGAAGCCATTGGAGCTATGCACTTATAAATCTAGATTTAGAACCCCTTTCTTTAGAACTGCTTTTCACGTTTTGTTATTGTCCTCCCTCTGCACCTCCGATTAGTATAGTTGGCTGCATATGGCACAAAGGAATGTCAACATACACACACATACTAACAGTCCTTGGCGAAAATAAATCGTATTTAGGACCACAGTGAGTCAGGCCTGCTGAATTATTACATTTTGTCAGCTGACTTCTTAGGAGACAATTATGAAACAAAAACCCCACATTCTTAACCTTTGGAGGCCCATCCTGGTTCTGACATCAGCTGCTTTAATTTGGTCCGCAATGCAAGTTCTGTACTTTGTGCTCATTGTTTGTGGTCTCGTTTATTCACTGCCTTCATGTTGCATGACCATCGTTTTAGCCAAGGGACCTTGATTACAATTTTTCTAGCAAGGAAGTAAATTGTGTGCATAATTTCTGACATTTCTTACACTCCAACACAATTCCAGTATCTGTTTTCTCCCAGTGTCCTGCTATGGCCATACAGAATCTTAAAGAATATGGGGGTTCCTGGCCCAACACCTGTGCCAATACTTGGAACCTTCCACCACTACCGCAAGGTAGGTTTTCCACGTAACAATAATGATGTTTAGCTGTATATATACTGTAGTGTCATTAATGCAAATTTAATCCCACAATAGTTAAGGAACCACAGACAAACCCGGAAGTCAAACAGATTGGTGAACCGGCACAAACAATTGCCCCTGCACTGCAGTCCTCTATGTATTAAGATGTTTATACACGTTGGAGGAAACCAGAGCACTCGGAGAAAACCCCGATGGAGATTAGTCCATTTGGTTCACTGCCTTCTGGCAAGCCAGAGTATGGAAGCCGTGATGCCCACGGGAAGAGACGTTTCACAATCCTTGCGTGATCCACCGACCCTATTTGCGTTCACAGTGCGGGATTACAGGAATGCGCCGCCACCACCCGGCTAATATACGTGGTACATTTGATCTTAATTTTTGGAGCTTTCGTGACTGCAGGAATTATTCTTTGGTTTTTTCGGTAAAGTCACGTATAAAGATAAAATATTCTATGTCGCTATTTCATTATACCTGATGATGATTGCTTGTGTTGCAATCGAAACGTCGTATGCTATTATTTAATTTATTCTTTTATCTTTATACGTGACTTTACCGAAACAACCAAAGAATAGTGGTACATTTGCTTCAGCAATACCAATGAAAACCTGTAATTTTAAGCGGTTAAAGTCACGTGGCAAATCATTTTTCTACATTGTTTTTAAATATATATGAATGTCAAAAGTTAAAATTTAGTTTTAGAGTATTTTTTATTGGTGACAATCTTTATGCCAAATGTAATAAACTGAATGTTAATAGTTGAATGCGCAAATAGACACTAAACAGAGAAAATGGAATAAAAGCTGAATAGTGCAAAAAAGCATCGAGAGATACATTTATAGAGTCACATTGAGGTATAAGAAGAGGAGCCTATGGATCAGAGACAAACTAAAATTTGATGCATCATATTGACTGTAAAGCAAGCAACGGTATCCAAACATGTCCCAGAGGATGCACACTGCGGAGATGGAGCCATGAATTCGGCTCTTGTGCAGCAGTTCCATCACGATACTGGCTAAGGTGACAATGGCATTCATCCAGCAGTGGTTAGATTATGATCTTAATTCTAGATTTTAAGCTTTCGTGACTGCAAGGATTCATACTCTTAGGTTTTTTTCGGTAAAGTCACGTAGGTAAAAAAATAAAAATAATAAAAGTAAGATAAAAATCATGACGTTTCGGAGGCAACACAAGCTTCCGTCTTCAGGTGGAACCGTCACAGCACGATAGCTGTATCAAGTAAAGAGAAATTTCAAGAGACCCGACTTTGTATATATACTGGTTGAGGTGGGAGGAGCCAGGGTAGGCCCCTGGATCGGAGTTTTTTTTAATTATGGTAAGGTTGGTGCGGCTGAGGCTGCTGCTAGAACTGAGCCTTTGTTATGTAGACTGGTTGGGCTGGGAGGTGCCTCTAAAGCTCCACTGTGGTAAAACGGAGACTTGGTTTGCACTCTCGCGCAGTCGTTCACTACCTGTGGTCCGTCGGCCACGTGTGGTCAGCAAGGCCGTGGAGGAAGTGATCGGCGATGTAGACGAGTCAATTAAAACAGAATATAAAAAAAATAAACTCTCCAGTGCGTGACTGTGGTTATCCAGAACAGACCGAACAGCGTATAACGACGCAATGCCCGATCGACAAATACGACGGAGACATCACAGCGATGCACATTTTATCGGCCTTTTATAGTATAGTTTATATAAATAATATCCTATTGGTGCGCGATCTTTTGGAGGGATGGCAGTGGTGGTCTGGGAGTCAATAAAGGTTGCAAACCACTGCTATATATACCGAGTATATGCACTGCCATTTATAAAAGCCACACGTAAAATTTGTCAAATGAATATGTAATTCAAAGTGCATAAGTTGTTCCTATGTATTCTAAACAGGGGTTCCGAGAATTGGATGAAGAGTGCTTCAAAAAGTACGGGAGAATCTGGGGGTAAGTTTCTCTTGTTATACGTTTTAGAAAAGAGTCTTTTTGTGACATATAAATAAAATAAATTCGCATAACACGCAGAATAATCCCATGAACTGTTAGTACTTTAATAAAACTGTATTACAAACAAAAGTGTATTTAACCAGGTAAGGCCCACTGAGCTATATAGCTTTTTTTCAGAAGTGACCTGGCCACAAATGATAGCTCAAGGAAGTGGCTTATCACGTGGAATTTGTATCCAGCCAAATGCTTTAAATGCACGTTTCTAAATGTGGAGGGGAAAACCAGAGGACTCGGAGAAAAATCCACGTGACCACGGGGGAGAGAGACATGCGAACTCCAAATATACAGCAGGAATCAGGGTTGGGATCGAACCCACGAAACTCCTGCATACCAGGCGAGGTAGTTAACAATAATAAAATAGATTTTATTATTTTCAAATTAACATATTTAGATGTGTTTTCTTTTAAAAGGCTCTGTACACGTAACGTTAAGATTACAAAGGTAATTACGTTCTTAAATAGTTCCCAATACGTGTGTTTCACGTTTTAATTTTCACATATGGTCCAATAGAACCTGGGCTAGCACATTCCTGTGGAGGGAGCTGGTAGGAACGTTGGGTTGCTCGGTCAATGGTCAGGGTCAGGGTCAACGGCGGCGTGGTGTATTCCGCAAATATGCCCGACTGTGAGGGCGGACACAAGCCGGCGTGAGTAGGTTAAACGTTGAGTTTTATAAGGGCACCACGGGGTGACCAGCCCCTCCCCACCCAGCCCCACCTCTCCCACCCCCCACCCAGCCCCACCCTCCCCACCCAGCCCCTCCCCACCCAGCCCCTCCCCTCCTCACCCAGCCCCTCCCCACCTTCCCCTCCCCACCCAGCCCCTCCATCCCCACCAGCCCTTCCCTGCACGACGGACACAATAATCCCCTGTGGGCTGGTGTAACCAGGTTCCTCCCAGTAACATGTTTAACTTGGAGGTACCCTGGCAACGTGTAACGTGAAGCCAAATAACTCTTGACAGTTAACGTCACGATAACAAGTAGACAAAAAGTAGCTGTTGTTACTTTTCAAGCCGTGTATTCGATTTAAGGATTTGTCATGATTGGGCATTATATAAGAAGACGAAACATGTCTGTAGCAATGCAATGAAAGACTTCCGTAGAGATGATTCACTCGAACAATCGAACCAATTAAACTCAGGCTAGGATTTAGGGGTGAGCTAACAGGGTGACTGCCTAGGATGCAACGCTGTGAAGGGCACGAGATATGTGTCAATACAGAGTACAGGATATAGGTTTTTTGGGTCAGATCTCGTTATTTATAAATGTGTCGTAACCCTCCACCACCCGACACGGCCAAACAGTAAAAATGTGTCACGTTTTTCAAAGGACAAAATAATTCTAAGAAACGTGACACATTTTTACTGTTTGGCCGTGTCGGGTGGTGGAGGGTTACGACACATTGATAAATAACGCGATCTGACCCAAAAAAACCTATATTATGAATAATATTGGTCGCGAAAGCCTACCTGTTAAACAGAGTACAGGAGTTTACAATTTTACGTAACTTTACGGATGCACCATAAAGTATGCATGCAAATGAGCAGCACATACACATTGCACGATAGACACCAAATGTAAACTAGTGCAATCGTTATTACCAGAGATTTACATTCAGCGTTAGTTGAACTCTATGTTTACTCAATGCGCTATTAACATCAAAGGCTGGGATTATTATGTACGGTACATTAAATTGAATTTGGATGTTTAAAACAAGTGTATCAAAAACTGCAGCAGTCTTTAATAAGCCAGCTTTCATACACTACGTGCCAAGAACCGGAACAATGAAATACTGCTTCTCTTCTCTAATTATCTTCAGGCTTTACGAAGGTCGGCAGCCTGTGCTGATGGTGGCTGACACAGGCATGCTGAAACAAATACTCGTCAAAGATTGCCTGGAGTCCTTCACCAACCACCGGGTAAAGCGGTGCAAACAGCAGACAATGATGATAACATAAAAAAGAGGGTTTCCCATTTCTGGCAATAAAACAGGAGGTGTTAATATGTACACACATCAAAATAGATACCATTCGCAAGGCATCAAGTATGCATTAACCGCACATAAGAGTGTGCTCCTAATCTCAGCTCGTTACCTGTATAAAATACACCTTGGAGCCAGAAATCTTTCTGATTGAGAGGCGGTCAAATACTTATTTCCCTCATTAAAATGCAAATCAATTTATAACATTTTCGACATGCGTTTTTCTGGATTTTTGTTGTTATTCTGACTCTCACTGTTCAAATAAACCGACCATTAAAATTATAGACTGATCATTTCTTTGTCAGTGGGCAAACATACAAAATCAGCAGGGGATCAAATACTTTTTTCCCTCACTGTATGTTACAGTCGGCATCATCAGGCGATCGGCAGAGTTGAAATCTTGCGGTTTAAAAATCTCCTGCAATCCTGGGCATGAAATAGGTGACGGTGACGTCATTGGCACGCCCACACCGGTGACGTCATTGGCACGCCCACACAGGTGACGTCATTGGCACGCCCACACCGGTGACCAGGTGGTGCGTATAATGGGCAGAGTGCGTTTCTATCGAACGACGTTTTAGCCCAGGGCGCATCGTAACAGGGGCTAACGGTCGGGGGAGCATTGTGCGGACGTGTCAGATTGTTTTAAGATCTGATTGCTGGTGAATGCCTGCGATCTTGAAACAATCTGAACACGCGCACCTGACGCTCAGCGAGCGGTGAAATCTTTCTCAGTGCAATCGGTTCTCAGCCAATAGAACCCTTTCCCATGACGCACACGCACGTCTATTATTTTAGTCTCTCTTCCGATTTGATTTGATTTTTCCTTCCACATCTGTTCCGATGACGTACGTGCGCGCACTACAAGCAACATGCTTTCGTTGATGCTGGAGGTTAAATATGCTGCTATTATTATTATTTGTATTACTTTAGCTGGCATTGGTGGAGCTAAATGTGGAATCTGGCAAGCTGGAAACCAGCCAGCTGGGATTTCACTGCATTTATTTATATTTGCTAAAAATCGAACGTCTACTGATGTAGTGAAATAATGTTGACCATGTTTAACTGATACATTGCATACCCTAAAAACCACTTATGTTACTAAAGCACGTCTGTTTAACCACAATCTAAACAGCTTCCTGCGGCCGTATAGTGGCGTGAAATGCGTTCGGTTATGTTTTGCCGTGGAGTATTTGAACATGCTCTTTGGTTCTTTCGGTAAAGTCACGTAGGTAGAAAAATAATAGATCACGACGTTTCAGGTGGTACAACCACAGCAAGAAAGCTGTCGTTGTCCCACCTGATGACGATTGCTTGTGTTGTGATCTAAACGTCGTAATCTATTATTTTTCTACCCACGTGACTTTACCGAAATAACCAAAGAGTATGGATTCCTGTAGTCACGAAAGCTTCAAATCAAGATTATTTTGACATGGTTTCACAGAATTTTCTTTTCTTAGGTCTTTACAAATAATGGGATCTTCGATGACGCGCTCACCACAATAGAAGACGAGCAGTGGAAGCGTGTCCGCAACGTGCTATCCCCAACCTTCAGTGGCGGTAAAATCAAGCAGGTAAAACATACAGTGATACCTCGGTTCACGAACGCTTCTGTTCACGAACAACTCGGTTCACGAACAGAAAAGTTCATAAAAATATGCTCCGGTTCACGAACTCCGCTTCGGTTCACGAACAGGAGCCGCGGCCATTTTAATGCTATTTCCAGGCTGTCACATGGTCGTGACTTACTGTAGGAAGATCGTGGAGAGAAGAAGAGACGCAGAAAGAAGTACTGTGAGTACTGTGAAGACACTTTCAGTGACTTTTTGCTTTTTGGTGTGCTTTTTAGCACATACAGTACTGTACTGTACTACTGTACTGTACAATACTGTACTTACTGTATTGTACAGTTCACCCATTTGAGTGCTTACTGAAGTCATCTCAAGCAAGGTTAGTGTTCTCTCTTTATACATTACTATACTGTACAGTACTAATATGTATTGTAATTTGTTTCATATTTTTGTGCTTCAAAAAAAAGGTCAGAACGGATTAACTGGATTTACATTGAACCCTATGGGAAAATGTGCCTCGGTTCACGACCAATTCGGTTCGCAACCAGAGTCAGTTCACGAATTAAGTTCGTGAACCGAAGTATCACTGTATATATTAATACAATGGTGTTTAACGGTCGTCTATAAAGTAATGGAAACGTTGTTTTTGTTCCGACTAACTAGACATTTCTCCCTCTTCCAGATGTGCCCTCTGATTCAACGCTGTGCTGATGTGTTGGTGCGTAACCTCCATGAACTGTGCCAGTCGGGAAAACCATTGGATTTAAAAGAGTAAGCTCATAAACCCACTGTTGGATTTCTTAAAACCCTTATTTTGCAGGCATGTTAAGGTCAGAGTGTTGTGTATGGTAAACTAGCTGGCTGTATTCAACAGTCTAGTATGTGCGCGTGTCATCTCATTGTAATAAAGGTCGTGGAAGCGACTTCTGGAATCCGGTCTTTATTTGTCTTTCTTTACAACACTCCTTCACGCTGCTGACAGACAGCGTGAGAGGGATAGAGAGAGAGAGAGACGCGCGCAGCCACGTGGCAGCCTGGACCTCCGCTCTCGCGTGGCCACTCCCTCCGTTCGTTCCAGTTCTGACCACGTGTTGTTCGTCTGCACTCCTATTTAATACCCGGGTCACGTGGTACCTTTCCACCAATCCTGGTTAGCCTCTATGGAATCTCTCAGACTCCATTGTAGGCTCCCGGGACCACGCCCCTGACTCGTCTCCCCATTGGCTGTGGCTAAAGCCAGCAGAACCAATCTTCTACTTACAGCTGTCACCTTCCCATTACGTCAGGGCCACGCCCCTAGGCTTCCCCCCATTGGCTATGGACCAGGACCGGCAGAGCCAATCATCGTGACGAGTTGTGATCCGTCAGCGACCCGGATATATCCTCACATTACATCATTAAGGCATGGGTAAACGTGTTAGTGTAAAATGCAATGTCATATCTAAGACGGTGTGAGGGAGTGGCGTGGTGGAGAGTGGGGGGGAGCACCCAGGAGCAATTCAGATTTTGCTCTCCACTGACGTTAACCAGGGCCGGGAATCGACCTTGGGTGGCCAGCTTCGTCGCTCAGTGCACTAACTGCTGCACCACCACCTCTTGTTATCAAGTTCAGTATCGGCAAATCATTTGTTGATTTCTTGGTCAGTGGCGGTGAAATCTCTCTCCAAGCTGGACTGACTGGGAGGGGGGGGGGGTGTCTGGAAAATCAACATTTATGTAATAACCAGCGGGAAGTACCCGACGTTGCCCGGGTCTTAAAAATATTTCAAAACTACTTTTAAAAATGTAATAGCAGTGCGTACTGACTGTAGTGGTACCTGCTATGATTACAGCAGTGCATACTGACTGTGGTGGTACCTGCTATGATTACAGCAGTGCATACCGACTGTGGTGGTACCTGCTACATCTAGTGACTGTATAGTAGTAAAACCAGGACGCATCGGGGTGGGGGAGACATCACACAGTGAAAAATTTACCTGAGCATTTAGTGTATTTTTATAGCATTTTTAACGCGCAAGAAAATGTCCCCCTCACTGCCACTGAAGGCGTGCGACTTGGCATGGGCCGTTCCCCCTACCAAAGGCGCGTGAGTTGGTATGGTCGTGCACGCATCATAAATACATAAATAATAGCGGAGCGCACAAAAATCACACTAAATCGCTAATTATACTAATTGGAAGTTGACGGAGGTAAAAAGGAATAGCGCTTGCTGATCGCGGGGCTTACGGCGTGGTGCCTGGCTATTTTTTTTCACGTAAACTCCACCGTTGGAGAGTCAAGCGCACGACCACACAGAAATCCACACACAAACCCACAATTTTTGACGTTTATATATATAGATAGAAGAAAGAAGATATAGATAGATATATAGATTGATCGCAACTGTGTGTAATCTCGTGGGTATGGGTGATCATTCAAGCGCACATAGTTGTTTTTGTCGTTGTTGTTGTAAATTCGTATCCATATTTATATAGCGTTTTATTCAAAAGAGTTTTGTATCAGTTATACAATTGAATGTAAGATGATAGCAGTCAAGAAAAACAGTGGGGTTCTTCAAAGTGGTGGTGTAGTTATGGTGACAGTTGGGATAACAGGTAGGAGAGGTTAAGCAGGGGTTGGGGTAGTGATAGGGGTAGTGATTGGAGTTGGGGTAGTGACAGGGGTAGTGATTGGAGTTGGGGTAGTGATAGGGGTAGTGATTCGAGTTGGGGTAGTGATAGGGGTAGTGATTGGAGTTGGGGTAGTGATAGGGGTAGTGATTGGGGTCGGGGTAGTGATAGGGGTAGTGATTGGAGTTGGGGTAGTGATAGGGTAGTGATTGGAGTTGGGGTAGTGATAGGGGTAGTGATTGGAGTTGGGGTAGTGATAGGGGTAGTGATTGGAGTTGGGGTAGTGATAGGGGTAGTAATTGGAGTTGGGGTAGTGATAGGGGTAGTGATTGGAGTTGGGGTAGTGATAGGGGTAGTGATTGGAGTTGGGGTAGTGATAGGGGTAGTGATTGGAGTTGGGGTAGTGATAGGGTAGTGATTGGAGTTGGGGTAGTGATAGGGGTAGTGATTCGAGTTGGGATAGTGATAGGGGTAGTGATTGGAGTTGGGGTAGTGATAGGGTAGTGATTGGAGTTGGCATAGGCCTGGTCGTAGGTGGGGGGGGGGGGGGGGGGGGGGGGGGGGCAGGGAGTAACAGTTGCATAGGCAAGGGAGAAGAGGTGGTTTTTAAGGGAGGAACGGACGCAGGTGAGTGAAGAGGGTTGCTCTGTGCACTGCAGTGGGGAGTTTGTTGCCGTGAAGGGGAGCAAGAAGGGATAGGAACGAGAGAGAGAGAGAGTGATTGGGCGCAGGGTGACCGAGGCCCATAGAGGGACAGTAGAGATTGGGAGCATGGATAGGACAGAGTAATATTTCAGAGAAGCAAGATAAACCACTTCGTGGAGCTATAATTCGTGGCCCGGGTCACATCTGAAGAAAAGCTCTACAACTTCGTGGGTCTTACCTGGTCAAATAGAAATCGTTAATAGATGTATTCACTGATTCCCCACCCGCCCGCCTGCCTCCGCAATTCATGACGTTTCTTCCCTATCGCTCCCCAGCGTTTCAGTCCTCTCACCCTGTCCCATGTGTCATCTCCCTCCTTGTATCATGTTCTTCGCCAGTCTCATCCCTCGTTTTTTTCAGTGTTTCAAGACCTTGTTGTATTTTTTTATGCTCTACGAAATAAAATGATTGCGTTACGTATGTGCATATGGATGCGATAAATGACATTTCCCATTTTTCCATTGCTCAGTTTTGTACATAATCATAATAATTCATGTGGGCAAGGCACAATGCAATAATATACAGTCTACATAGGTCATTTGTAAAACTTTGCACGTGTAATGTCAACTGGAGTTTTCCATTCACATGTCAGTTTTGTAGATTGGTGCATTGCGGGTCACTTTACCCGAACGCCGTGGTATTTTTGTGACCGTTGCCTTTTTTAGGATTTTTGGGGCGTACAGCATGGACGTGATTGGAAGCACAGCGTTCAGCATGGACGTGGATTCTCAGAACAACCCCAAGGATCCATTTGTCGTTAATGGCAAAAGCATTTTGAAGATCAACTTTTTGAATCCACTGGTTATTTTAATTTGTAAGTATAGGAATTTGTGAGTGACAAATCCAGGCATATCGGTTTATCATTCACTGAACAGTTGTGGGTAGCTCAATACAAGTTGGGAATTTAATTCATTTTGTTTATTAAAACCCATTCATCCCAGTAGCAGTCAAAAGAGATGTCCTCGTGGAATAGGGTTCCCCTATTAAGCCACACTCAAGATTGACTCATCCCCTTCATTCACCAGAGTTGTAAAGTTACTACCGCGTGTGCAAGTCAACAGAAAACATTCTGGACATTAGCAAAATAATATTTGCATTGTCTTACATTTGTAATGAAAGGTGATCAGTAGCAGCAGCAGCAGAGTACAGCACGTCATCGCGAAAAACGAGTTAAAAACACGTTAATCGAAAATGTTTTCTCATAAATAATGTAATGATAAAGTTCGGCGAGATACGACGTACACACGTTAAGATCGCGGGACAAATAACCGAGGGTACCTCGCCACGTTACTGTATCACTCCGTGTAATGTATCACACCGCTTAGCTGTGCAGTGCATCAAAGTAGTGTTTGTCTTTGACCGCTCAGAAACCGCGTTATAAAGGAGCGCGCGTTCCGTGCTGCGCGAATATTTACCATCGAACAAGAACGGTCACTTGGCTGCATCGCACGCTTTCGGATGCGCTTCTGCGGCCGTCTGGAACGCTCTTCCATCCGTTATTGGGAAGACACTGGAGCTTATGCACTTTTAAATCTAGATTGAAACCTCATTTCTTTAGAACTGCTTTTTGTGTTTAGTTTGTTGTCCTTCCCCCGCACCTCCGATTAGCGTGGTTGGCTACGTACGGTGCTAAAATAAGTTCAACATACGGTACATACATAATGGAATAACCACGTTCTAATTCTAGATTTGAAGCGTTTAACAGTACTGATTTTTAAATCCTTTATATTAAGTTCGCTTGCTTGCTTGCGTGCTTGCGTGCTTGCTTGCTTGCTTACGACCGTGCAAATCTTTTGGTCGTTTTTTAACCCCATTCCCGTGATCTAATCGAGCTGACATTTTGCACACAGACTCGTTGTTTGAGACAATTAATGTTCGTGAAATTTTTTTCCAAAATTTTACACTGTTTAGGGAAAACAAATTAAATATTTAATTACCAATTGCTTAATACTGGCAGACAATCATCTGACCCATAGGTGGCAGCCATCTCAAGCCAGAGGACGAGAGGACTCTAGCCGCCACGCATATAAAGGATGTATAGTGAAAAACTTTGTTTTTACTGGTTATACTTATTAAATCCTTTATATTAAGTTCACTTGCTTGCTTGCTTGCGCGCTTACGACCGTGCAAATCTTTTGGTCGTTTTTTAACCCACTTCCCGTGATCCAATCGAGCTGACATTTTGCACACAGACTCGTTGTGCGTGACAATTTATTTTCGTGAACATTTTTTTCCAAAATTTTCCACTTTTTAGGGAAAAACTATTTCATATTTAATTTAAAACACCAATGTGATAAAAATGAAACTCTTACTCAAGAAAAACAAATATGAATAATAAAATAAAACCGATGCCACGCATATAAAGGATTTATAGTGAAAAACTTTGTTTTTACGGGTTAATTTTTTGTATTTGGATTCTCAACCAACACCGGTTTAGGTCGAGGTACACCGATTGTTCTCTTGCACATGACGACGTTGGCCAATTTTTCTTGTAGCCTCGCCCACCACCCCCACGTTCCATTCCCTTGTTACTACATTCAGATAAGCCCCTCCCCCCTTAACTTGTATTTAAGGGCTGGTCTTTAGGAATTTTTCCTCACTTGATGCAGTAATTTTAGCTGTGACGGTCCCACCTGATGACGGAGACTTGTGTTGCCTCCGAAACGTCGTGATTTATTATTTTATTTCTATTATTACTTCTATTCATTTTATTTTTTACCTACGTGACTTTACCGAAAAAGCCTAAGAGTATGAACGACGTTCTAGCAAAAAAAAAAATCGCGTTGTGTGAACACACGTTGAACGAGGACGTGCCATACAATGTGCATTTTCTCTCTTCCAGTTCTCTTCCCATTTTTGAGCCGACCGCTGGAATCAATGGGTGTGTCTTTGTTTCCAAAAAAAGCATCAAATTTTTTCACACGAATCGTTCAGCAGATGAAAAAGCAACGTCAGAAGGGGCTCCATGACATGGTGAGTCCATTTTAATGTTGACGTTATTATTTGAAGTCAATTTGCTTGAATATTCACATTCAATTTTCACTGCAGCGATTTCTTATTCTGCGAAGTGTAATCACTGAAGGCACCAGGGGCGGTTTCTTCATTAGGGCGATTGGGCGACGCACCACCAATGTCATTCAACCACAGAGTCACGCTAGTCGTCACTGTCAGCCTCTGGATATAGTCCAATCAGCGTCATGTCACGTTCTGTGGAGTACCGCCTCTTTTTGGGCGATTTCACTCCGGCTGAGAATCGCCCCGAGTGGCCCCATAGACTTACATTCAAAGATGTTTTTTTTCGAACGGGGGCGCTGCAATGCATTCTCTATGGCTTCCGGGAGGGCATGCACTAACGTGCTTACGTCATCATACGTGCTAACGTCATCATACGTAAGCACGTTTCATCCAACAATATAATTTATCGCCACCTAGTAGAATCTTTAATAAAATAAACTTGAGTGGTTTGTTTTAATAGTGAGTATATAAACAAACAAGATGTATTGTAAGAGTCACTTTATTTTTCATTAATATTAAAGAAGTGAAGTTGCCTTTACATGCTTAAGCTGTTAATTTATCCATTGCATGGGTGGACCTTATCCTTATCAATCATCCAGACATTTGCCCCCCCTGAGAGATTTTGCAGGAGCCGCCACTGGAAGGCACCATGCTTGAATCGTGAGCTTGTGAAAAGTAACAAATGTCATTTTTTTTTTCTAGGGAAGAGTAGACTTTCTTCAATTGATGGTGGATGTTCAGCTTTCAGAAAACGCATCAAATGGAAAGTTGTCGAGTTCAGAAAAGTGTATGTATTTTACAACACAGCTTATGTCACACCTTTATCAATGTACCATAATTGTTATTTGTGCACATGGAATGCATATGCCGTACAATATTATATCTGTGAGAATCGTGTCGTTTGTTTTACAAAATATCTTCACGTTGTTGCTCACTTAAGTTTTTGGAGCATATCTAATTTCCTGGCAAAATATGTGTGAAAATTAAACACAGTCATTATCCATAATAAACACATTCCTGCGGAGGGAGCTGGTAGGAACGTTGGGTTGCTCGGTCAATGGCCAGGGTCAACGGCGGCGTGGTGTATTCAGCAAATATGGCCGACTGTGAGGGCGGGCACAAGCCGGCGTGAGTAGGTTAAACGTTGAGTTGTATAAGGGCATCACGGGGTGACCAGCCCCTCCCCACCCAGCCCCACCCCTCCCACCCCCCACCCAGCCTCACCCTCCACACCCAGCCCCTCCCCACCCTCCCCTCCCCACCCAGCCCCTCCCCACCCTCACCACCCAGCCCCTCCCCACCCTCCCCTCTCTACTCAGCCCCACTCCTCCCATTTTTGGATGCACGACGGATGGACGGACACAATAATCCCATGTGGGCTGGTGTAACCAGGAGGTTCCTACCAGTAAGTTTTTTTTAGGTTAGATCGCGTAAATATAAATGTGTCGTTAGACCCGCCACCACCCGGCACATCTGACTGAGAATTATTACAACACCACCGTTTCCAATATCAAACCGTACATTGTGTATGCAATAAAAACTCAAAGAAATTAACGAGAACATAGTTCGACTCAGTGAGATGAAAATAAATTGCATACCGTTTAAATAGCGGTAACTCCTCAACCCAAAGCAGACCGTTGATGGTAATTAGGAGTCAACCATCACATTTTAGGGTTCAGTAATTCAGATAAAATTTCTCAGCAAACGTTACAACTCTCGAACCACTCCCAAGTTAAAGATAACTCCAATACAAGTCCCCGCTTAATGCGGAGGTTGCGTTCCTGAAAATTGCCGCGTAAAAGAAATTCGTGTGAAATAGTAATTTTCTCGCATCTCCACCGCTGCCCTCACCTACGCTCCCTCAGACCCGCTCACCCGTCTGTCCCGGGCGGGGGGTTCAGCCAACACCCGCCCGGCGACGGCGTGAGGGCTGAGGTCCTGTTGACGGCTGGAGCGGCAGCGGCGAGATGTCTTCTCTCTTGATTCCCGGCAACAACTCCCCTCACTCATCACACACTCCCGCTTATATCCCCCTGCCCATCCCGAGTCCTCACGTGCTTCTACTTAAGCTGCCGCCAGCCCGCCGCCAGTTGTCCCATTAATCTCTTATCACCCCCCATCTCCCGTCTCCGAGGCGCCAACCTCCGGTCACAGCGTAGCACCTGTTCGACCTCGGTTGCACCCGCTTCTCCCCTTAATTACTGGCGGCTTGTCTGTGTAAACATCACGTTGCAACGCGCACACCTGTTTGCCCTCCGTTTCACCCGCTTAACCGTGTGCACCGCATATTTCTCTCCTCTACACGTAGATAGAAATAATAATGAAAATAAAGTGAATATAAATATCACGAAGTTTCGATGGCAACACACGCGGTCATCATCAGGAAAAGGGGTTAGCCTCTAAAGGCACACTGTTTATAAAGGTTTGGAGATGGGCGTAGCCCAAGTGTATCAACAGCACCAGCAATGCCATTGCAGCAGCACCAACATTGCCAATGCAGCAGCAATGCCAATGCAGCAAAGGCCGTCAGGAAATCACTGCACCCCGCTCCACACTGCTGACAGTGAAGGATGATTGACAAGAAAACACAAGTCAAGTCATGACCCAAAGTGGTTGATGACATCTTTCCAATGATTGCTGAGTCTATACGGCAGAAGTATTGGTCCTACCGTGTTTCAAATCTGCCTTATGCTCACGAACACGGTCCGAGACATGTCGCTTAGTTTCCCCATCAACATGCGTTTTAACAGTATTTGGCTGCGATACGTTTCCACGTGAAAAGCCACTTCGTTGAGCTATCATTTGTGTCCAGGTCACTTCTGAAAAGGAGCTTTACAGCTCAGTGGGCCTTATTTGGTAGAATACTAATTATAGTTTATTGCCCATCGCTAGTTACCCTAAGAAGGTGGTGGTGGGCCTTCTTCGTCCGTTGAATTTCTTGCGATGATGTTGAGCTACAATTCAACTTATGGTCTTCTGTATTCATTTCACAGATCTAACTGACAGGGAACTGGAGCCGCGGGCCGTGCTGTTACTTCTGGCTGGCTTTGACACCACAAGCACAATCAAAACAAGATGTATTTCACACTGCATCTTCCTTGTTGTCTGTTTAATTGCACAGATCTGACCGACAAGGAACTGGAGGCGCAGGCGATTTTGTTCCTCCTGGCTGGTTACGACACCTCGAGCACAGCTATCACCTTCGTGGCCTATTCTCTTGCTTGTAACCCTGACGTCCAGACTAAAGTCCAGCAAGAGATCGATACAATACTGCCAGATGGGGTAAGACTTGCATTTCACGCCTAAATACTGTTTGGAACATTTATTGTTACAGTTGCACACTGCACAGAGGAATGTTTAACCAAACGAGTACTTTTAAAAAGCTGATGAATATGCACGAACGTAATCTCCACATGCTGCTTCAGAGTGATTTGAACCTGGCGTCCTAAGTTAAATTCCCAGCCATGGCTAACGTCAGTGGCTTTCTCCTTCACCAACCCAGACTGACCAGCGTGGTGAAGTATGGTCAAACAACCCCCATGACCTACACGACATGCATATGCCTTAATCCAGCAGTGCATAACAGCACTGCAAATATCATGACTCTGGAATGTCTTTATAAATAAACTCCGTTTCAAAATAAGTTATTTTCGTCTGACCATTCCATCTGCGTGTAGAAATCCCCAGATTACGAGACTCTGAAGCACATGGAGTATCTGGACATGGTCGTGAGTGAGAGTCTGCGGATGTACCCACCATCATTTCGTACGGACCGCGTCTGTAAAAAGACGACGGTTGTGAATGACCTGGTCATTCCCAAGGGTATGGTGATTAACGCGGCAATATGGGTGCTCCACTACGACCCGCAGTACTGGGACAAACCTCACGAGTTCCGGCCGGAACGGTGAGTGAATCTCACGATTTTTTTTGTATTATTCTCGTTGTGGTATAAGCACGTAAGCCCGGTACAACGCGATGAAGGTTTCGGGGTAGGGGCAATGGCAGAGCGAGGATTTTCAGGTAGGGGGGCAACCCCTCCAGCAATTAAAAATTATAGGAGTTGTTAGAAAGTAAGGACTTGTCCCCTGCATTTTATTCGACGCGTGTGCGGTGATGGCACAGCCATCGATCGAGGGACCAATTCGAACCGCGTTGTGTGATCGGCATCGTGCTCGCTGAAGGTGTTGATGCCTTCAGGGAAGTCGTGGACTGAATACGCAACTGCGCACAATTCTGAGTCACTTAAAACCGCTTTGCCGTTACTTATTGCCAATTATGGACTCAGACTATTGTCCTATCATCTCATAGAGTCCCTGGTACGTAATAATATGCTACACAGTGGCAGTTGGGGGGTCTTAAAATGCCGATTTATTACTAATAAACCCCAATGATCCGATCAAAATTAGGGATTTCTATCGGATCATTGAGGGGCGGGGGGGGGAGGACTTTCGGTGCTTCAGAATCGTACGTAGGTGGGGGGTGGAAGGCCCCAACTTGCGGGGGTCTTCCGTCGGGGGGGGGGGGGGGGGCTTATACAGGGGCCTCTGGAGACCACCTGGAGACGATTCCAGGCCACGCGTTGACAATTGTGACTTTTTGAAGCTGTTAACATACATTGGGTATCATGTTACAGTGTATTATCCGTTCTTTTTCCATTAAAAACGATAGTCCCATATAAGTGTTTTAATGTTTTTGAAGCACTCTGTATATATATGGGAGGGGTGAGTGGGGGGAAGAGGTAATCAACATTCTAAGGGGAGACCAGGTGGTGGGTGGAGGGGGGGGGGGAAATCTCACGATTTTTGCATCTTTGAAATTATTTGTGTTTTGAATATATTAATCGTCATTGGTTTCCACTTTCCTCTGTCTTGTGCCAATATGCTCATGTGGTGCCACATCTTTCTGGCACAAATCGCTTACGATGTCGCCGACAAGCCATTCTATAGTAATAGGTGTTTACCCTTTCAACTGGTACAAAAACTGACACCTTTATACAAGGGATCATGTTTGCAATAACCACAACACAAGCAGTCAAAATGCAAATAAGTATAACCCGTAAAAACAAAGTTTTTCACTATAAATCCTTTATATGCGTAGCAGCGAACTTAATATAAAGGATTTAAAAATATATTCGCCTGTGGAGGACGCGGGGATCGATCCCGCGACCTTTGGCATGGGAAGCGAGGGCTTTTCCAACTGCGCTACTCCGCCACGGCCTGTGGAGGGGTTACGCTCTGGGCTCTTATACTGTGACGTTCAGCCAAAGCCATGAATGAGTTCTATTTGAATATATGTAAAATATATTTTTTTTGTCTAAGAAGTGTAAAATTTTGGGAATTTTTTTTCACGAACATTAATTGTCTGGCACAACGAGTCTGTGTGGAAAATGTCAGCTCGATTGGATCACGGGAAGTGGGTTAAAAAACGACCGAAAGATTTGCACGGTCGTAAGCAAGCAAGCAAGCACGCAAGCATGCGAACTTAATATAAAGGATTAAAAAAAAGAAACAACTCTGATAATGATAATGATATGCACTGCCCTTGAAGTTGATTGGTCCACACCAATGCCAATTATGGACTCAGACTATTGTCCACACCCAATCAACTTCAAGGACAGTGCATATCATTATCAGAGTCGTTTCTTTTTGTTTGCATTTTGACTGCTTGTGTTGTGGTTATTGCAAACATGATCCCTTGTATAAAGGTGTCAGTTTTTGTACCAGTTGAAACGGTAAACACCTATTACTGTATTTTGCCACTGGTAAAGGAGGTCTCATAGTGCAGCCATTCTCTGTTAGGTCTTCCTCTCTGTCCGGTTGCTTCCATTTTTTCCAAACAACACTCTTGTGATTTTCCTGTTGTTGCCCATCCTACACAAGTGTCCAAATAGTGCCAGTTTCCTTCTCACATGTAACAATCAGTGGGAAAAAATACGTTTTGCTCTCCTCGTAATGCGTCATTCCGTGAGCGTGACACGCCGAATTCGTTTTCGATTCGTGCAAATATGCGCACGCGTTTATTTGCACATATTTGATATTGTAGAGCTGGAGAGCCTATTATAGAGTGGCAAGAAATGTACGTAAGTGGTAGCAGAGGAAGTCAATTGGGAAAATGGTGAATTTTTTTTTTCACCTGATGACGATTGCTTTCGTTGCGATCTACGTGGCTTTACCGAAAGACCCAAAGAATATGGTGAAAACAGTTAATCAATTTAAAATGGGGTGAGAACAATAGTCCGGGCAAATAGAGGAGTGACAGAAGACGTTAAAGAGCTTTTTTGAATTTAGACATTTACGGAAGCACGGTCTGAGTGGGATTGTGTCTAAGGGGTCCACTCATCACGTTGATGCCTGCCATTGCTACAAAACAGTCATTGGCGACCTTGGCTGTTGAGCCTTACGGGTTATGTTAAACGGTAGAAAAAAGTGTAACATTTTTTTTTGTGCAGTTTTCTCGCAAAAAAAATCTCTTTTTAAATCCGTTATATTAAGTTCGCTTGCTTGCTTGTGTGCTTGCTTGCTTGCTTACGACCGTGCAAATCTTTCGGTCGTTTTTAACCCACTTCCCGTGATCCAATCGAGCTGACATTTTCCACACAGACTCGTTGTGCATGACAATTAATTTTCGTGAAAAAAAAATCCAAAATTTTACACTGTTCAGGGAAATTTTTTAAAATATTTAATTACCAATTGCTTAATTGTGGCAGACAATCATCTGACCCATAGGTGGCAGCCATCTCAAGCCAGAGGACGAGAGGACTCTAGCCGCCACGCATATAAAGGATTTAGAGTGAAATACTTTGTTTTTTACGGGTTAATTTTTTTGGGAGTGGATTTCGTGATTTAAGAAAATAGTGTATCGATAATTTCCAGTAATAACGACGAGCAAAGAGAGCAGCAAGTTTGCAGAGTGTACGGCAACTCTTGCCACACAGAACTTGGCATCATGGCGATCGTGGCTATCGGGAATAACTGGTCTGTGTAACCCCCACGCTGTTCATCGATTCTGCGTGTGCACCACTGTGAATTGTGCAGATTCACCAAGGAGGCCAAGGAGGCGCGTGACCCCTACTGCTACCTGCCCTTCGGTCAAGGCCCCAGGAACTGCATCGCCATGCGCTTTGCCCTGATGTCTGTGAAGATGGCTGTCTGTCGCATCCTGCAGCGCTACTCCTTCCACGCGTGCAGCGAGACCACGGTACACGATCACACCACCTCCTCCTCCGCTCTTTACTCTTGCACGAAGAAAGGTCTTCGTGGCGTTCACGTTGATTCTGCTATTGCACCAGCGTATGGAATGACTGACGTTTAAAAACTAAAAACTAAATTTCGCGTTTTGTATTTCAGATTCCACCGCAATTCCAGAACAACCCCTTTTTACAGATTAAAACGCCACTGAAAGTGAATGTTGTGGAGCGAAAGAATGCCGAGTGAAAAACCAATGAACGTAAAAACTGTAGGAAGAAACACGGAGGAATGATGACTGGAGCGCCAATTAGGAGCACCACCTAGACCAGGGGTCGGCAACCAAAATAACAAGAAGAGCCATTTCTTTCCAATTCGGTACAAAATTCAGTATTTCAAGAGCCGCAATGCATCTGGTACATACGTACTCATCGTCAAGAAGCAGCCCGTAAAGAGCCGCATCCGGCTCCGGAGCCGTAGGTTGCCGACCCCTGACCTAGACAAATTGTTCTTTAAGTACATTTAACAGACATGATCCATTTGTGAATTAATTTTCGCACGTACATATTTGATTAAATATGATCGATATTTTACTTATTCACATCCATGTGTTTCTTATAGCAGTGCATGCACTGGCGGAGCCAGTGGGGGTAGGGTGGGGTGGCACGTGCCCCCCCCCCCCCCAATGATCCGATCGAAATCTCAAATTTCGATCAGATCATCCCTAATTTCGATCGGACCAATGGGGTTTATTAGTAGTACATCGGCATTTTGTGACCCCAACTGCCACTGTGTAGCATATTATTACGTGCCAGGGACTCTATGAGATGATAGGATAATAGTCTGAGTCCATAATTGGCAATAAGTAACGGCAAAGTAGTTATAAGTGACTCAGAATTGTGCGCAGTTGCATCAACACCTTCAGCGAGCGCGATGCCGATCACACAACGCGGTTCGAATTCGACCCTTGATCGATGACTGCGCCATTGCCGCACACGCGTCGAATAAAAAGCAAGGGACAAGTCCTTACTTACTAACAACTCCCCGATCATTTTTCATTGCTGGAGGGGTTGCCCCCCCCTACCTGAAAATCCTGGCTCCGCCATTGAGTGCATTTAGACGATGTTATCTGCCGTTATGGTTTAGTAGTTGATAAACAAAAACATGTAATAATACACTGCTTTTAAAGCGCACGCATTCCTATGATGTACGATTATTGGGTGGCGGTTCTGAAAAATTGTGTAGATTCAATATTCTTATTAGTGGGGACCAATAACCCCTGTTCATGTTCCACCAAATGTTCATCAAGATAGTGCTAGATTTACAGATGCCACAGAGTTTATGGGCTCAGTAAATCACGATTGATTTGAACCTTTGGCATCTATGACTGAGCGCTAACTGCTATATAACACATATGCCATTCCGCCATAACATCTTTCATTTATCGACAAATGATTACAGCTGGGCGAATAAACAAACCATATAGAATGGGAGGTTAAATGGGTTTGCAAATAACGACGACTGACGGGATCGATCTTTGGCCGCACAGCGTTTTCCGCAATATGAGACCTGGGAATTAAGGGCCAGAGCCAGCGTTCGGCAATCAGAGCTGTATCGGAGTGTCAGTGGCTCTGGATGAAGAGGAAAGACCCCAGCTGGGCCCCGAAGTGAGAAGGCCAGGAGGTATGCAGTCAACAATGCTTGACTCAGGGAGGAGGACGTCCCTGCCATGCATAGTCCCATGGGATGTTGGCTATCAACAACAAGGCAACTCCTACGACTAATTGGGCATGGGACGCAAGCGTAGGATTGATCACCCTGTCGCTGGCCGCCTTTGGGGAGGGTGTATAGTGTGAAAGGCCGAAACACCCGAGGAACCAAAGGTACACTACTGACGATGCGCTCCCCAAATTTCACCAGGCTCATTGTTCATGAACTCTTAGAAGTGCTTGCACAAAGGATAGTAACATCTCATCCTGTGTTCTTGGAATCAGACGCAGACTAAGTCTTGTATTGTCGAATCTTCTGGTCGGGTGTTTTTTTTTTCTTCGGTCAGGAGCCTACCGCTTTTGGGTTTCCTCCGTGTGCTTGTACTGTAATCACAAATTGCCTTAAAAACATTGGGATATCGTTTATACTGTTGATATGATTATGCATGATTTTTTTTGCCAAGTCGATGCTCTGCTAATAGTACATTACACCGTATGAACTAAAATCATGTTGAATGTTTTTGCGTATTGATTTAAGAAAAATATAAAAGCATCTTTTTTTCAAATTTGAAGTTCAACAAATGTCGTGTCTATTTGTTTGCGTTTCTCTCTTGTGATGGGACTTTGTAGGATGAACGTTGAGATGTATAAGGGGCACGGGGTAACCAATAAGATCTGAATTAGTCTGTAATAAGGTAGGGCACTGATAAAGGGGTTTACAGGTATGACAGACCTTCGCTGGAATGTCAAAGTCACGACGTATTGAGTCATGTGAGAGTTTTAAATGTCTTACGGCCGCATGCTTGTACAGCTAGGTTCCGGCGGTCTCTTCGTCAAACATTGCACAACACTCGATTGCTGTTTGGTTGCACGCGGGTATGCGAAAAAGAACAAAGTCCCCATTGGTTGTCACGCTCTTACACCCAATAATTCCTACCGCAGAAACTTGATAAAAGGCACACACAGGGTTGTCGCAAGAACATAGAAGGCAAGTTGGGTGTTGGCTACAGAAGGTTCATTTGCGGTGAGTGTTGCATTATTTTGGCAGCTGAATTATACGGTGTGTAACCGAAGCGTATATAACAAAGCACAGTAATTGACATCAAACAGTGGTACTGTGATCATGTCTCTACGTCTTTCCTGCTTCTGTACACACCTACGATGTCTCGTAGAAAGTTATGATTGGAATGATATGAAAAAACCCAATCGGTATTGCTTTCAGTGGTTTGTACAACTGTGTAGGCACGCATTTTGTACTATTTTTGTGCAGATATACCGATAGTTTTCCATCAAATTTCAACGAATAAATGCTTTCCAACTACATTCCTTTTAAACTTGATCATCGCAACTTAGTTGCAGGCTAACTGGATGGAATTTCTGCAGGTCAATTACAGCTACATTTTATGTAATCAGGAATATACAGAACAGTACTGTACTTCAGTTAGTGGAGTGTTAAAGCAAAGAGTGAATCAAAGCACAAGACCCCCGTAGCAACCATTCATGACAATTGTCTGCTTGCGTATGGTGAGTTACTAAACATATTCGAACATAAACATGAGTTTATGTTCGAATATTTCCTACTCCATGGAAACCCGGTGCCTCTTATAGATTAAGCGACTTTCCTTCCAATCTCCTAAATGATTGTTTTGGTTGAAGTGTCTTCCTAAGTGTTATCATATAACACACACTGTAACATTACGTACTAAGTATTGCTTTGTGGTGAAGTGAACAGTGTTGTTTCTAATGTATAGCCTTGTCCCCTGCCATAGGATTGGGGAATTTCCACCAGCGGCTCTGAAGCACTGGATGACACAGGAGATTAGCACCGTCTCGATACGCATTTGAGCAGTAAAAAAAATACTTGAACATATCTGTCAACCCATACTGTTTACCCCGTATTCTTGTAAAGGGAAATGCTTTTCTAAATCCTTTATATTAAGTTCGCGTGCTTGCTTGCTTGCGTGCTTGCTTGCTTGCTTAGGACCGTGCAAATCTTTCGGTCGTTTTTTAACCCACTTCCCGTGATCCAATCGAGCTGACATTTTCCACACAGACTCGTTGTGTGTGACAATTAATTTTCGTGAAAAAAAATCAAAAATTTTACACTGTTTAGAGAAAACAAATTAAATATTTAATTACCAATTGCTTAATGGTGGCAGACAATCAGCTGACGCATAGGTGGCAGCCATCTCAAGCCAGAGGACGAGAGGACTCTAGCCGCCACGCATATAAAGGATTTATAGTGAAAAACTTTGTTTTTACGGGTTTACTTGTTTCAGGTCCATGCGGTGCACAGCCGTTTCAATACGGGCAATTTAAAAAAATATATTTGTGTTTCTCTCTTGTGATGGAACTTTGTAGGATGAACGTTGAGATTGATTGATAAGGTCTGAATTGGTCTGTAATGAAGTGGGGGGCACTGAGAAGGGGCTGGCAGGTATGGTATAGTGTCGGGCATAATGTAGTGTGAAGTGTAGTGTATAATGTAGTGTATAGTGTAGTGTATAGTGTAGTGTATAGTGTAGTGTATAGTGTAGTGTATAGCATACCTGTCAACCCATACGGTTTACCCGTATTCGTGTACAGGGAAATTGAGTTTTCAGGTCCATACGGCATACAGCCGTTTCAATAGGGCAAAAAAAAAAACATTTGTTTGTGTTTCTCCCTTGTGATGGGACTTTGTAATGATTATTGTTGAGCTCTATAAGGCGCGCGGGGTGACCAATAAGGTCTGAATTTGTCTCTAATAAGGTAGGATTCACTGAAAAAGGGTTGACAGGTATGTTTGAACACTACGTAACATTACACAAGCACCGATATTTTACCCGCACTGGACTTTGAGATGGTCAGGCAAAACGCATACAGTTTGCCCACTCTCGACTTGCAGAACCTGCTCAACAACAACAACATATAAATAATTATTTGTTTTATCATTTCGTCGTTTTGTGTTCACAGATTCTTCATTCGCAATGGCTGACGTGTCCAGCCTGTCTGGGATGTCTCCCTCCACCCTGGTTCTGATTGTCGCTGCGTTCGTTTTGTCTGCAATGTGAGTACTCCGCTGCTGCTGGGCCTCGGCGACTCTCTCGCCGTCACTTGACGTGACCGCTGTGGGCACATCTTGAGCACTTTGTGCGAGGTCTCGAATCGCGACGATGAATTTGTCTGTGCAGAAGCGTGAGCGATTAACTTCGGGGACAGCGAGTCAAGGCTGCTGAATGAGCATTGTTTTGAAAGCTGAATTATGATTTTTTTAATATATATTATTATATATATAATTATATAACGCAAGCAGCCGTCCTCAGGTGGAGAACAGGTCTGTCGAGGAGACAGCGTCTGTCCGAAACGTCGTGAGAATTATTTTATAATGTTTTATTTTTATTATTATATTATTTCCCTTCTACGTGACTTTACCGAAAGAACCAAGAAGATAAATCCCTGCAGTCACGAAAGCTTTAAATCGAAATTTTATTATGTTTTATTTTTATTATTTTATTATTTCCATTCTACGTGACTTTACCGAAAGAACCAAGAAGATAAATCCCTGCAGTCACGAAAGCTTTAAATCGAAATTATAATTATGTTTTATTTTTATTATTTTATTATTTCCATTCTACGTGACTTTACCGAAAGAACCAAGAAGATGAATCCCTGCAGTCACGAAAGCTTTAAATCGAAATTTTATTATGTTTTATATTTATTATTTTATTATTTCCCTTCTACGTGACTTTACCGAAAGAACCAAGAAGATGAATCCCTGCAGTCACGAAAGCTTTAAATCGAAATTAAAATCTCCACATATACACAACATACATCGAACCAAAACCATCAGTCGTACGGTCTTCTGCGAACTCTGCTTGTCGTGAATCAATACTGCTGGAATTACGCAGTCCCAGAAGACCGTGCTGCTGATGGTTTGTGGAGGATTATTTTGGTTAAATGTGAAGAGCTGGCGATTTGTGAAGCAGGAAATTCTTTGCCTATCCGTTTTGTATGGACGTATGTTGAACTTCTTTCGCGCCGTACGTAGCCAACGATAGCATTGGGTCCACAGGCTAATTGTGGCATGGAGCTTGTGCACTGCGTATGCTTTGTAAAGTTCAAGTTCATTTATTAGGTATAGCCCTGTGAGCCATTCGGCTCTTGAATCGGGTGCAACCGCAACAAACAAAAACAAAAACATGAACAAAAAACATCTTAAAGTGAATATGTGACTTAGTGCAAACAGAAAATTCATGAAAAGACAGCAAAATATTGCAGAAAAAACACCGTACACCAACGCTGTGTGCAAAAATCCCAGTGGGATGCAAGTCAAACAACAACAACAACAAAAGGACACTTTAATGGTTACATGCTCGGAAAAAATCGGTATAAAAAATTTATGTATGGCAACTTTATTTAAACAAAACATTTGGACACATTAAGAGAGGAACACAGAGGTACCGTGACATTTTACACAACAAATACCCCACTAAAGAGTCGCAGATCATTTAATTTGATCAAAAATTATTGGTTCAATTATATCTAACATTTATAACCTATATCGCCCTGCAAAATAAAACATCTGTTGTCTCCCAGTGCCATGCTATGGCCGTACAGAATCTTCAAGAAGATGGGCGTACCTGGGCCGACACCTCTGCCATTCTTGGGAACATTCTTCCACTACAGCCAGGTATGTTTCACCTTCTAGATTTTGAAGTTTTCGTGACTGCAAGGATTCATACTCTTTGTTTTTTTCGGTAAAGTCACGTAGGTAAAAAAATAAATAAATGAAACTTCTTGTCTCGTTGTCTGTTAAAAACTCTAACAGATAAGTGGAAATCCTCCCCGTCGAGGGCATTCATTCTAGATTTGAAGTTTTCGTGACTGCAAAGATTCATACTCTTTGGTTTTTTCGGTAAAGTCACGTAGGTGACATACAAGGTTTCACCTTGTATGGGATTCGATGAGATTGAGTTCAAACTACGCGAGAGCCCCGTGGAGATGACCTGACCACTCTTTTTTTCAAGGAAGAACTGGGAACATTGAAACCAATACAATGTATCATACCAGGGGCGGTTTCTTCATTAGGGCGATTGGGCGACGCACCTACCAATGTCATTGAACCACAGAGTCACGCTAGCCGTCACTGTGCCTCTGGATATAGTCCAATCAGCGTCATGTCACATTCTGTGGAGTACCGCCTCTTTTTGGGCGATTTCACTCCGGCTGAGAATCGCCCCGAGTGGCCCCATAGACTCACATTGAAAGATGTTTTTTTTCGAACGGTGGGCGCTCCAATGCATTCTCTATGGCTTCCGGGAGAGCTTGCACTAACGTGCTTACGTCATCATACGTGCTAACGTCATCATACGTAAGCACGTTTCATCCAACAATATAATTTATCGCCACCTAGTGGAATCTTTAATAAAATAAACTTGAGTGGTTTGTTTTAATAGTGAGTATAGAAACAAACAAGATGTATTGTAAGAGTCACTTTATTTTTCATTAATATTAAAGAAGTGAAGTTGCCTTTACATGCTTAAGCTGTTAATGTATCCATTGCATGGGTGGACCTTATCCTTATCAATCATCCAGACATTTGCCCCCCCTGAGAGATTTTGCAGGAGCCGCCACTGTATCATACATATTCGGAGAGTTGCATGGCATTTACATGCAACCACAAAGCCTAAAGCGAAATAAAGTAAAATCACCAGGCAGATTGCAAATCATGTCAAACTCAAATTAAACACAATTAAAATAGATACATATTTAAGTGAGATATACGTTCAAAACACATTCATATATTACAGTAATTCAATTGAATAGCCCGATTTTAAAGTGCATGCAATCTAGTTTCATTTATAAGTCATCATGTATGGCAGGTTATAACAGTAGCTTCCCAAAGGCCTACATTTTCCTATTTTAACTCATCCTTTATGCTGTCAACCCAGCACAAGGATGAGCATTTGAGGACTGTTTCATGAATAGAAATGAGTATCCTCATACAGTAGTATCCAAAGTTATTGTATCAGGATATTGTTGAGGAATCCTAAAAGAATACAGAGACAAGGTGTGAACTACCTCGCCTGGTATACAGGAGGTATTGGGTTCGATCCTGACGCCTGCATATTGCAAGCTTGTATGTTCTCCCTGTGGTTGCGTGACATTTTCTCCGGGTCCTCCGGTTTTCCCTCCACATTTAGAAAAATGCATTTCGAGTATTTGGCTGCGATATATTTCCACGTGATAAGCCACTTAGTTAAGCTATCATTTATGGGCAGGTCACTTCTGAAAAAATTAACCCGTAAAAACAAAGTTCTTCACTATAAATCCTTTATATGCGTGGCGGCTAGAGTCCTCTCTTCCTCTGGCTTGAGATGGCTGCCACCTATGGGTCAGATGATTGCATTGCACCATTAAGCAATTGGTAATTAAATATAATATTTTTGTCCTAAAAAGTGTAAAATTTTGGAAAAAATTTTTCACGAACATAAATATCAGCTCGATTGGATCACGGTCGTAAGCAAGCAAGCAAACTTAATATAAAGGATTTAAAAAGAGCTATATAGTTCAGTGGGCCTTAACTGGTTAAGCAAAAATAGTTTAATAGTTTAAATGTGCCGGCTTACCAGCTTGGTTCTATTAGTGACGAGACTGATACCAAACCTCAACAAATTATGGTTGTCAACGTCATCAGCCATGATCAATCCACTGCTGGATAAAGGCTTCCCCAAGCTAATTTCAGCTAGCACCCGTACACAAGCCGATGGCATTGCTCTATCTCCACAGTGAACGTCCCCTCAGGAACATTCCTTCACTTTGGCTGCCACTTTATCCGTATTCGTGACCATCAGTCATTATCTGCACCTCAACCTGATTGTGGCTGATGGCATCATTTCTGTCAGCACCGGGACAAAACTGGCCTTTTACCCCACTCCACCCTACGACAATAATGTGCATAAGCCAACGGTTAAACTTATGACATAGAACTCACACGCTGTTTTCTTCTTGATTGTTTTCACAGGGTTTCAGAGAATTTGATGAAAAGAGTTTCAAGAAGTATGGGAGAATCTGGGGGTAAGTTACTATTGTTTGCTCGACATTTTATAAAAGTCGCGCGTATGCGTGTGTATACATGTAACGTATTTTGTGTAATGCTACTTTAAAATTTGTAAAAATTTAAACAACCTCATAAATCTATGTTTAGTTAGACAGTGCAAGATGAGTTTGGTAAAGCACTGAAACCGCTTACAATTCTTTTTGTGGTGTGGAGTGATATGTAGTGAGGATAACATGCTGTTATTCAATAAAGTTGTTGCTATGTTGAAGAGCGATCCACAAATATTGTTAAATGTGTGTGGATCGCTCTCCAACATACCAGTGCGCCGAGCAATAAACATTTGACGTGTTAGTTCACGTGACATTTTTTTTGAAACCAGGACTTACGATGGCCGGTTGCCTCTGCTCGTGGTGGCTGACACAAGCATGCTGAAAACAATCCTGGTGAAGGATTCCCTGGAGTTCTTCACCAACCGCCGAGTAAGCGAGCGCCAAGTCACCCAAATACGAATGAGAAATGGCAATGTGAGGTTCATGGCATGTGTCTATGTATAGATAACTAGACATTTCATTCATACCTAACATCATATATCTTAAATTGCCTTGTACCTTTATTTTATTTTATCCTCATTTTACCAGGTAAGGCCCACTGAGATATATAGCTCTTTTTCAGAAGCGACCTGGCCACAAATGATAGCTCAACGAAGTGGCTTATTGCGTGTAAATTTATTAGCAGCCAGATACTCTAAACGCGTGTTTCTAATTGTGGAGGGGACCCAAAGAAAAATGTACGCGAACACCTTAATGAAAACAAAAAAACATTGTGTATCAGCCTTTTGCAAGTCCCACTGCTAAACGAAGGGCTCCTACACTGCATTGGTCATTGGAGTTTGTTTGACCAAACCCCACAACGCCGGCCACCATAGTATCGTAAACAGCGCGCATGGGACCAGTTCAAACATCACTCACTGCTGGTGTTAGCCACGCCATGACATCGAATCAGGTCACTAAGTGCATAGTCACTATACTTTGCACCTATCTTATACTTTACACTCCTATCGTTTTTTTTTATTGTTTGTTGTTGCAACGTTCTGACCCGCCCCGACTGGACATCTGTGAAAAAGAGCTTTATATCTCTTCGGATTCCCCTAGTATAAATAAATATTATGATTTTGATAGGGACGTTCATTAACCATTGTGCCATGATTCCAACCGGAATGTAATGTCACTCTTCTCCGAGTCCCAATGCCTCATTGTCCAAATGTCCCGTCGTACATTTTATGTGCCGATGTCACATTAAGCTGAGCTCCAGGAAAACTAAATGCATATTGGCTTGGGTAGACAGAAACATTTCACCCTCCATATATGACTTTAGAAATCGCCATGTCTGCATCGAAACACAAGAATGCATATGGTTGAAATATGTTTGGTTTTGCTGTAATGATGTCAATAAATTAATCCGGTGCAATAAATATAAAGTGTGTATCTTGCTTACTTTTTGTTGAGAAATAATCTGTTGCTCTTTGCAGCTTTAATGATTCTGATGTTTGTCTGCAGTTTTAAAATATTTCCAACAGTTTACTACAAGTTGAATGGCTTTTTAAATGATAATCACCTAAATATCCAAGACTATTCTTAAAATATGTGTGAAACTACGAAATACATTTTTAGGGTATACACATTACTAACAATTTCATTATCCAATTCCTGCAACTTTATGAAATATATGAAATAGTATTTTTTGGTAAACTGTATTCCCATGTTAATGTGTTTGATTATTTTAACTGTTACATGTGCTTTCCTTGTTCTGTTATTTTTTACATAGAGTTTCGGGCTGAATGGACCCTTCAAGGAAGCTATGAGCTTAGTTAATGATGAGAAGTGGAAGCGCATCCGTAGCGTCCTGTCCCCAACTTTCAGTGGTGGCAAAATCAAGCAGGTAAAAGAACCTAAAAAGTCGATGATTGTTTCTTTTTTCAGTCGTGTTGATAGATCCAAAGTACGTTTGTACCAAATACTAAACAAAAGTTCCTCTCTTTTTTTAGATGTGCCCACTGATTGTACGCTGTGCTGATGCACTCGTGAAGAACCTCCACGAAAAAAGCCAGTCTGGGAAGTTAGTGGACCTAAAAGAGTAAGTGCATGAAGCATTTGAGAAAACACATTTCAACACGATAATTGGTTCTTTACCCTTCTATCTGGCAACAAAACTGACACCTTTTTGCAAGGAGTCATGTTTGCATAGACCGCAATACCTGCAGTCATAATACAAACAAAAGAACATAACTCTGATAATGTGCACTGTCCTTGAAGTTGATTGGTCCACACCCGAGACAGCTTTCCTTAGAGCCTAGTCTCATATGGGTTGGACCAGATGACGCCTTTTGGCTGTCTCGGGTGTGGACCAATCAACTTCAAGGACAGTGCACATTATCAGAGTTATGTTCTTTTGTTTGTATTATGACTGCAGGTATTGCGGTCTATGCAAACATGACTCCTTGCAAAAAGGTGTCAGTTTTGTTGCCAGATAGAAGGGTAAAGAACCAATTATCATATTTTTACTGGCAAATGAGGTCCCCATAGTGTACATTTCAACACGTCCTGTGAGTGATGAGAGGGAATGGTGAGTGGAGGCTGGAAAACAAGTAAAAGTAAGACATGCAAGGCGATTTCTCGACATCAAAATGTGAGATCGTAATGCTCACCTCGGTCCTTCCATCATGCCTTGCATGTCACGTGACATCACCAAACTTGCATGTATCATGCAAACTGCGTGTATCATGCAGTACGGTGATGGTTACCGTCGTGCATTTTACTTCCAAAAAAGCCTTTGGTGGGATTTTTGGTCGTACATATCTTCATATGGATGGATATCGGCAGGGTTAATTGAAGATGTTATTGTACATAAGTATTCAATGTACACTTCAGTGTGATACATGTGTGCATTTGGGAAAAGTTCAATTGTAATTTCCAGTCCACGTGTCAAGTTTTATAGATCAGTGCATTGCGGGTCAGTATACCCTAACGTCGTGGTATTGATGTGAATTTTGCCTCTGCTAGGACATTTGGGGCGTACAGCATGGACGTGATCGCAAGCTCGGCATTCAGTACAGACGTGGACTCTCAGAATAACCCCAACGATCCATTCGTCATTAATGGGAAAAGCATTTTCAAGATCAACTTATTGAACCCTTTGGTTGCAATAGTCGGTAAGCATGGTAACTTTACAATTGACACATCTAGGCAAATGGTTTTGTTTTACGGGCATTAAGTACATTTCTGCAAAGAGGCAATTTTGCCAATACAACAATATATCTTGTTCCATCTCTATTCCAGTGTATGTTTATGACCAAGTCATTGCCTGATTTTGAGATTGGACATGGTGCAGCAGGTGAAACGGAGATAGGATAAAGAGAGGTAATATTCGGACGTGGATATTTTAAGACGGAGTTTGAGATTACAAGGATGCCACCACCCCTTCCAGAGGAGCCGTTGTCCCGTGTAGAGGTGGTGTGTCCTGGGAGGGTGGCTTCAGAGAGGGCATAGAGCTCAATGTGTGTGCCTCATCTCACGTTGGCCAGTGTTGTGGGAACTGTGTGAGTTGTTGGTTGGCCAGTGTTGTGGGAACAACACAGTGTTGTAGGAACAACACAGTGTTGTGGGAACAACACAGTGTTGTGGGAACAACACTGGCCACTGTGAGTTGTTGATGACGCGCGTGTGAGTTGTTATCCTTCCCCAACACCTCCGATTAGCGCGGTTGGCTCCATAAGCAGACTCGGTGGCACGCGGCTAGTAAATCATAGCCTGGAGCAAAACGCCCTTGGCAGGGATTAAGTAGGGAACTCAAATATGCTCGGCGAGTTCACCCCGTGGTGCCCTTATAAAACTCAACGTTTAACCTACTCACGCCGGCTTGTGCCCGCCCTCACAGTCGGCCATATTTGCGGAATACACCACGCCGCCGTTGACCCTGGCCATTGACCGAGCAACCCAACGTTACTACCAGCTCCCTCCGCAGGAATGTGTTTTAGGGGGTAAACGACTCTTTTGTCCTTGGGGCCCCAGTGGATATCTGTGAGAAAAAATCAGCTTCATAGCTCATTCGATTTCTCCAAGATAAGTAAATATTCTGATTCTGGGGACGTGTGGGGATTCCCAGTGGCAGCGGAGTGGTTAAATTAACGCAGAAACCTGAGTTCGATCCGTGGTCTTGGCTCACAGTGGCAAGTAATATATTTGAACTGATGCTGGGCCTCCCTCCCCCATACCTTCAGCAACCCACACACTAGCATGGTGAGGTGTGGGCAAAAAATAAAAACCCCACACGATGCGGGGAAGGCCTTTTATCCTGCAGTGGATTTACAAAAGCTTGTGAATAATGATGTTATTTGATATACAGCTCTCCCTCTCTTCATGAGGTAGATGCATTCCAAAAAAAGAACACACAAAGCGAAATCGTGTAGCATGTGACTGCACGGTCACCTAACCCACAATGCACTGCATGAGGCAGCTGCCTGCCAAAGAGTGTATCCAGTACACACAACGTCGACCCACGCCCGACGCATAGCTGCACATGTGAATTCAAACCGTGTGTAGGGGTGTCAGCGGAAGGATTCCCACCAATAGGAGGGTTAGTGGGAGGGGTAATCGAGGAGATATAAGGGGAGAACGGACGGGAAGAAGGGGCCTTTGGCGGGGACGAGATTGGGACGGCTGGGGACAGGTGTGGATGGGAGAAAAGGATTAAAAGACAAACCCCCTGCAATCTTGTGTCGGCTCTCCTTTACACGTGTAACATAGCAAATTGTGGGTAGAAATAGGCTCGCCGCATATACGCGAAATTGCAAAAACCGAACCCGCATAAAGCGACGGAAATCTGTACATTGTCACTGTTTTCTCTTTTACAGCGGTCTTGCCAGAGCTTGTCCCGCCGCTAGAATTCTTGGGATTATCTTTTTTCCCAAAACAAGCTTGCTCGTTCTTCACGAAAATTGTCCGGCAGATGGTAAAGCAACGCCAGAAGGGGCTTCATGACATGGTGAGTCCGTTTCAACAATGCTCTTTTTCAATATTGGTTATGTTTGATATTACAATAAGACATTTTAACATAATTTTTCATACTCTCTGGTTCTTTCTTTAAAGTCACGTACGTAGAAATAATAATAAAAGAAACACGACATGACTTTATCGAAAGAACCAGAGATTATGGATTCCTGCAGTCACGAAAGCTTCAAATCATTATTTTTCATATATAAGTGCAGATAAATTGTAATACAGCAGTAAAGTATTGCATGACTGAAGGCACGTATGTATGTATGTATGTTGAACTTCTTTTGCACCGTACGTAGCCAACCATGCTAATGGGAGGTGCGGGGGAAGGACAACAAACTAAACACAAAAAGTTGTTTTCAATCGAGATTTTATGTATGGTACATCTGTTGATGTTTTGTCCAGAGAATGTGAAATCTAACATATCATAAAATTGTGGAATTTTTTGTGTCTAGGGGCGAGTCGACTTTCTTCAATTGATGGTGGATGTTCAACTTTCTAAATCCATGCAAAATGGAGCTAATCCTCATTCAGACAAATGTAGGTATTTTTTTTGACATATCTAATGAAATAACATTCACAGGTTCACTTTCAAATCACACCCATTCACAGTTTTTACTTCATTAAGAGTGTACAATCCAAGATATTTAGGTCGATTACGGTGAATAACGAACATGTATAAAAATGTCACTATGCTCTCAATGTGAAACACTGTAGTTCATGTTTACAATACCATTTTTAAAAGATTGTCCTGAATGCTCATTTTGGGAAAGAAAGCACTTTTTCAATGAACTCAATTGAAGGGGTTGTAATAACAATCATGAGGTCACCCGAGCCTATATAATTCCTAGCACAGTACACACAATACGATATAATGTACAGTTCTAGGACCACACCATCCAGGATGCACCCGATCTGATCATATCTCAAGCTTAGCAAGTCGTCATAGCGCTTATGGGGCTAATATCAGGTCGACAGACAGCGGGAAAACGTTTGGATATCTTAAAATGTAGCGGTCACACCAGACCCTGCCACGTCTACAAGATGCGCACAATGCACCTTACAAACCGTCTGCTGGGCAGAAGACCTTATCTGGTCAGCGACGGAAACCCACACGACTGGAGGAAAGCAACGGTCCAGCCTCTGTGACGGGCGGAATGGCAGAGTGCAGCCAGCCACCATCAAAACAACGGCCCTAACCATCAAAACCACCGCCCCCACCATCAAAACCACCGCCCCCACCATCAAAACCACCGCTCCCACCATTAAAACCACCGCCCCCACCATTAAAACCACCGCCCACCACCATCAAAACCACTACCCCCACCATCAAAACCATGGCCCCCACCATCAAATCCACCGCCCCCACCATTAAAACCACCGCCCCCACCATCAAAACCACAGCCCCCACCATCAAAACCACCGCCCCCACCATCAAAACCACTGCCCCCACCATCAAAACCATGCCCACCATCAAAACCACCGCCCCCACCATCAAAACCACTGCCCCCACCAATAAAACCACCACCCCCACCATCAAAACCACGACCCACCATCAAAACCACCGCCCACCATCAAAACCACCACCGCCCACCATCAAAACTACCACCCCCACCATCAAAACCACCGCCCACCATAAAAACCACCGCCCACCATAAAAACCACGCCACCATCAAAACCACCACCCCCACCATCAAAACCACCGCCCACCATCAAAACCACCACCGCCCACCATCAAAACCAGGATCGCGCGCAACTGTTGCCTGGCTGCTCCTCCTGAAGGGGGCTTCCTGAAGGCCTCCCTAGACTGAACGACACAAACCCTGAGACCGTCGCACCGTTGATGAGGAACTCCTCATGAGACTAGGACCTCAGCGGGCTCTTGCCGTTCTCTTGTTATACTTTTTGTGCTCTTCGATCGCATGCGATGAATATGCACGGTACAATCGTGCAAATTACCAAAACAGTCGGAATTTAACTCATTGTGCGATGGCATATTAATGCCAGGAGCTTTTGCCGGGTAGTGGCGGCGCACGCCTGTAATCCAGCACAATAGAGGCGAGAGATTGTGGATCACACGAATGTTGTTGATGCTCCCTTCTGATGCATGTCGAAATGCCATACCCTGGTTTGCCAGGAAAAGGAGGCGCAGCAAAGTATGGACTAATATCACGCGTCTCTTCTGTATGGGATAGAGTGTTGCCCCCTCGCATGCATTGCTTTTCTCCGGGTAATTGTTGGCACCAGCTCGCCGCTGGACTGCTGTCCATGCGTTTGTAGGTTCCTCATAAATTGTGAGATGAAGTGCACTTAACAATGCTGTATAAAACGTTACAGAACAAGATATATTTCACACTGCATCTTCCTTGTTGTCTGTTTCATTTTACAGATCTGACCGACAGTGAACTGGAGGCGCAGGCGATCTTGTTCCTTCTGGCTGGTTATGAGACCTCAAGCACAGCCATCACCTTCGTGGCCTATTGCCTTGCTTGTAACCCTGACGTCCAGACTAAAGTCCAGCAAGAGATCGATAAATTTCTCCCGAATGACGTAAGACTTACCTTTTCAAATTAAATTGAATCGCCACAGTTCAAAACACTATTCTACACTGCAATGAGAAAGGTGTATTTACATGAGCTTCATGTTTCAAAGTCTGAAAGGCATATACTATATAATAAACTATTCTAGAATGTGTTTCGAATGAAATGATAATTATTCATTAATTTGTGTAAATATATCTATCTAACCTTTGTGCAGACTCTTCCAAGTTACGAGATTCTGAAGCAGATGGAGTATCTGGACATGGTCGTGAGCGAAACTCTGCGCATGTACCCACCAACATCTCGTACGGACCGCGTCTGTAAAAAGACGACGGTTGTGAATGACCTGGTCATCCCCAAGGGTATGGTTGTCGCCGCACCAATATGGGTGCTCCACTACGACCCGCAGTACTGGGACGAACCTGAAGAGTTCCGGCCGGAACGGTGAGCAAATCTCTTTCAAATTTGAATGCATTTGAAAACTGAATTTTACGTGTCAAGTATTTAAAACATGGATCAATTCTATCTGGAAATACTTGAAACCTAGGTTTCAGGTCATAGCGTAGGCAACGGAAAGATAGAGATATAGTTAGTTCAAGCCATATGAAGGCCATTTTATGTTTTAATGGCCCATTGACTGCAGACAGGATTATTTTTTGTTCGCCAATTTTTCCCAAAGGTGTTATTTTGAACAGCTTACAATTAAAGTTGAAAGTGTGAGCTATGTCCATCTCATCTGTCTGTCGTGGCGTGGTCATGGTCTTTCTCATCGCGATTTATCCAATTAAAAAATGCTTTCATGTAAAGCTGTGTTGATGAATTTGTTTGATGTGAATACCTTGCTTTGGACCTGTATCTCTTCCACTTTGATCTCCAAGAGATCCAATTCCAGAGCAAAGTGGCCTCAAAAGCATGGATTGTCTTCCCTCTGTGTGAATTCCCCAAATGAAGGTCGATTTTGCTTTTCAATTTGAACTTCTCGTGACTATCTGGATAAACCGAATATCACTGCTCTTAAGCTAGCGCCACTTGTTAGTCAATGGATTCTGCGTGTGCACGACTGTGAATTGTGCAGATTCACCAAGGAGGCCAAGGAGGCGCGTGACCCCTACTGCTACCTGCCCTTCGGCCATGGCCCCAGGAACTGCATCGGCATGCGCTTTGCCCTGATGTCTTTGAAGATCGCTGTCTGTCGCATCCTGCAGCGCTGCTCCTTCCACGCGTGCAGCGAGACCACGGTGCACGATCACACCTCCTCCGCTCTTTACTATTCACAAACAAGTGATTTTATGTCATTAGACATCCTTTGCCAGTACCAAAATATAATAATAGGGGTTTTCCCCTTTTTTCTGGCAAACACAACTGAAACCTTTTTACAAGGATTCATGTCTGCATTAACCACAATACTTGCAGTCAAAATGCAAACAAAAAACATACTATGATAATATATTATATATTATATTTTGGTACTGGCAAAGGAGGACTAATGATGTAGATGCTCACCCCGGGCCCTCATTACTTTGATAGTGCATTGTCTTTGAGCTGTTCGCATGTGGGCGTCCTCTGGTCAAGCACCAATTGGGTCGAGGCTCAAATGAAAGCTGTCCCTGGTGTGGACCAATCAGTTTCAAGGACAATCCATATATTATCATATTATGTTTTTTGTTTGCATTCTGACTGCAAGTATTGTGGTTAATGCAGACATGAATCCTTGTAAAAAGGTTTCAGTTTTGTTGCCAGAAAAAAAGCAGAAAACCCCTATTATTATATTAAGTGATTTTATGGTTTTATGGAAACGCTAACATGTAATATTACCTTTTTTCCTTCAGATTCCACCAAAACTTACAAAGAATCCATTCATACAACTGGAAAAACCACTTTTGGTGCAAGTTTTGGAAAGAAAGAAAGGGGGCTGATGTACGAGCAAAATCAAAATCACGGCTCCAGAGAAAAAGAAGACTTGAGAGATGTAAAAAAAAAACTATTCGGAGAGCTACCTGTAGTGCCAATTCGAAGTGCTATCTTAACACAGTGCTGAAAGTTCATTTACAAACAAATTATATTATGCTATATAGATTTATATAGTGCTTTCGACCAAGACGAATTTACAATAACTACAAAATTGTACATTAGATGAGAGCGGTTAAAATAAAGTGGGGTAATTAAATGTATTTGTGTAGTTATGGCTCCAGTAAGGAGGACAGGTGGGAGTGGTGAAGGAGGGGTTGGGGTAGTGACAGGGGTAGTCGTAGTGACACGGGTCGGGGTAGTGATAGGGGTTTGGGTAGGCCTGGTCGTAGCTGGGGGGCAGGGAGTAGCAGTAGGATAGGCAAGGCAGAAGAGATTGATAGTTTTAAGGGAGGAACGGAAGCAGGTTATAGTGAAGCTGATTTTTTTTTATGTGCAGTGGGAATTTGTTTGCAGTGAAGGGGAGCAAGAAGGGAAAGGAAAGAGTGACTGGGCGCATGGCGAGGGAGGCCCATAGAGGGACAGTAGAGATTGGGAGCATGGATAGGATAGAGTAATATATAAGAGAAGCAAGATAAGGTGGGGCAAGATCACAGACTAGGGTGAGACATTTAAACAGACAGCGATAATATACAGGGCGCCAGTGTATTTTGGAAAGTCGAGCAGAAGTGTGGGAATTGTGGGGGGAGGTTAAAAATTATCTGGGCTGAAGTGAATTGTATCGGTTGGAGTGGAGGAAGGCGGAGAAGGAGATAGTTGCATTAGTCAAAGTGATATTGAAAACGAGAAAAGGAACGAAACCGTGACTGGGCGCAGGGTTTTAAAAATGTTTTTGCAATAAAATTTCTAAGATTGTTTAATAGTTTGCTGATTCATAGTTGTGTGTCTAAATGCAGTTCAGTAGATATCTGCTGTTTTTATTGAGTTATACTCTTCATGTGTTACACACCGATAATAAAGTGTGCGCATTGACATTCTGTTGAGTGTTGGGTAGTGCCTATTTCTGTGGGTCAATTTGAAGCAGTGGAAATTCCACATTCTTACGGTGGTGACCAGTACGACCTTAAAACAGCTACTGTTGAGTTACCATGTGTTATTGCTCACCAGTTGAGGCTCGATTTACAGATCCAATAAAGTTTACGTACTGACTTAATTATTGTTTTTTAACGTACAGTATGACTCGTATCTTGTGTTTTTTATAGAGTGCCTTTGATCAAGGCGCTTAAAAAAATACGGGTAAAACAAGGACACAATTCTATGGTTCTTTCGGTAAAGTCACGTAGATAGAAAAATAATAACAAAATAATAAAAATGAAAATAAAGTGAATAAAAAATAATAAAATATCACAAAGTTTCGATCGCAACACAAGCGGTCGTCATCAGGAACAGGGAGGTTAGCGGCTGAGTGCAAACTGTTTATAAAGGTTTAGAGATGGGCGAGGCAGCTAATGTTAATGTAAGAGAGGGCTCCAACACCGGCAGTAGGTCTGCACCAATCACAGAGCTGTTTATAAAGGTTTAGAGATGGGCGAGGCAGCTAATGTTAATGTAAGAGAGGGCTCCAACACCGGCAGTAGGTCTACACCAATCAAAGCATTGCATCTCGCTCCACACACCCACACTGCTGACGGTGGAGGTGGACAAGAAAACATAAATCAAGTCACGACCCAAAGTGGTTGATGACATCTTTCCAATGATTGCGGAGTTTAAAACCGTCTTCTCGGTTGAAATTGTGTCTGTGTCTGTATATATGGATGGCTTCGTGAACGAATCTTTGTTGATAGCCAGTCGGCTTGCAAAGTACCATCGTCTTAGAGAAATCAATTTCACGTGAGCCACCCGCATTAAAGTAATGATCAGCCACGGCAGAAGTATTGGTCCTGCCGTGTTTGAGATCTGATCTGAATTTATGGGGTGAAAATAATTAAATTTAGACTTTTTTAGACTTTTGAGTCCAAATAAAAGTGTGTGCATAAGAATTGGGGTTACCCTTTCTGGCAATTAAATAGGTGTTAAGATGTTCAAACACCAAACAGAAACCTTTTGCAAGGAATCATGTCTGCATTAACCACACATACTTGTGGTGAACATGCAAATAAAAACATGCATTGTCTTTGTCCTGTTCGCCTTTTGGCATCCTCTGGTCTAACACTGTTTGAGATTTGGCTCTAAAGAAAGCTGTCCCTGCTGTGGACCAATCAGTTCCAAAGAATGCATATACTACCAGAGCATGTGTTTTGTTTGCATGTTCGCCACAAGTATGTGTGGTTAATGCAGACATGATTCCTTGCCAATCGTTTCTGTTAGGTGTTTTAACGTTTTAGCACCTGTTTTATTGCCAGGAAGGGTAAAACCAATTCTTATATTTTGATACTGGCAAGAAAGTCCCAAAATGTGTGTGCATTAAAAAAAGTGTTTTTTTACTTTTTTTTTATCGTGAAAACTATTTTAACTATTTAACTGCTATTTTGTTTCACCAGGTAAGGCCCACTAGAGCTATATCAGTGGGTTTTTTTCAGAAGCGACCTGACCACAAATGAGAGGCCAACGAAGCGGCTTATCGTTTGGAAATTTATAGCAGCAATACTCGAAGCACATGTTTATAATTGTGGAGGGAAAAACCGGAGGACCCAGAGAAAATCTACACGACCACGGGGAGAACACGCAAACTCCAAATATACATGCGTGAGGGTCAACATCGAACCCACGACCTCCTGTAAAGAAGGCGAGGTAGTTAACATCCCGCGTGCCCACAGGCGTTGAGGGTTATAGCGATGCTGTTCTTAACATCTCGCGGTAGCTCAAAAAAGTGGCTTATCATGTGGAAATGTATAGATGCAAAATAATCTAAAAACGCGTGTTAATCCTGTGGAGGGAAAAACCGGAGGATCCAGATAAAAATCCATGCGACCACGGGGAGAGACATGCAAACTCTAAATATACAGGCTTGAGGGATGGGATCGAACCCATGACCTCCTGCATACGAGGCAGTTAACATCACGTGATTTGTTAAGTGAGGGTTTGCAGGTAGATAGGGGCCACGCCGTGCAGTTGCTTTATAGGTTAGAAAAGCAACCTCGAATTGTTGTAACTTTCTGACCCGGCCCGAACTGGACGTCTGTGGAAAAAGAGCTTCACAGCTCATCGGATTTCTCCAGGATAAATAATTTACAAAAAATCTGATTCTGGATGCGGAAGCTGACCGTTAGTCAGCGCAAGCCGCAGGTTTTCTTCAGTCACCACCAACACCAACCACCCTTTATCTCGAGTCCAGTGGGACTTTCAACCCGTCTTGTACCAACCCGGGTTGTAAAATCAGTTGCCTATATGGGGGACTCGTGGTGCCCTCTGCCCTGATTGCGCAATATTCTATTGCTGTTGCGCAACACGGGGTGGTGGGGTGGGAAGGACGTGACGGTGGTGGTCAGCCATATGGAGTTGCTTTTTTTTTTTAAACCACGCACTCAGCATCCACTTGCGCTGCAGACATTTTAAACGGAGGCCACAATTCGGAGGGGGAGGCTCGAGTCGAGCGTAACACCAAAAGGGTTTCTCATTCGAGGTGAGTTTGCGTTGCGTTACAATATACATAAAAACACGTTTGGATTTATGGTGCGAAGGGAAATATTTCCAGCATCATTACTCCTATTATCCGCGCGCGCCTCTTTATTGGGATTCCTCTCCTACCTTCCCCTTCGAGTCTTGCCAACAACAAGCCACGGCCGCGGGTGACAGGCGATTGAATTTTTAAAAAATAAAATAAATAAATAAAATATGCGCGGCGCTCTGATCAAAGCAAGTTTCGCCTGTGCCTTTGGCCGTTACAGTCGCTTTGAAAACTCGGAAGGGTTAAATTGTGATTTGTTACAACGGATCATCTCGTTATGAGTCAGTTGTCCGTGGCGATTTTACACGAGAGATGAGAAATGCGTTTGGAGCGTGAGAGCAGAAACAGCAGATAAACGCGTCAATATTGCAGAGGGCAAGTAAAGACAATTTCCGCGCACGAGGTGTATGTGAAGAAAACACACCGCAAATTTTAATTAAGCTAAAAATAACCAATTGCCAGTATTAATATATGACGATGAAACGAATCCTTCACCACCCGACTCCCCACCAGACGCGACTACATGTTCATACACCGCACACACACGCATACAGGTGAAGACGCACACACACGCATACAGGTGAAGACACACACACACGCACACAGGTGAAGACGCACACACACGCACACAGGTGAAGACGCACACACGCACACAGGTGAAGACGCACACACACGCACACAGGTGAAGACACACACACACGTACAGGTGAAGACGCACACACACGTACAGGTGAAGACGCACACACACGCACACAGGTGAAGACGCACACACAGGCTCACAGGTGAAGACGCACACACACACACACAGGTGAAGACGCACACACACACACACACAGGTGAAGACGCACACACACGCTCACAGGTGAAGACGCACACACGCGCACACAGGTGAAGACGCACACACACGCACACAGGTGAAGACGCACACACGCGCACACAGGTGAAGACGCACACACACACACAGGTGAAGACGCACACACACGCACACAGGTGAAGACGCACACACGCGCACACAGGTGAAGACACACACACACGCACACAGGTGAAGACACACACACACGTACAGGTGAAGACGCACACACACGCACACAGGTGAAGACGCACAGAGACAGACAGACGCGTAGATGAAGAACGATCAGAAACATCCCCAGGGTAACATCATCGCAGCGTATTTGTAATGCCCAGCAAAGTTCAGGCGTGCCTATTGAAACCTACAGCGCGCGTAAGGGGCCGTCCATAAATGACGTCACGCACCTGGGGGGGGTGGGGTCAGACATTGTGACGATGTGTGACGAGGGGGGGGGGTTTGAGAAATGTGACGTCACATCAAAATGCGCAACTTTAAATAAATGCAGGTAGTCCCCGAGTTACGATGCTCCGACTTACGATATTTCGATCTTACGATGGCGATAGCGATACGACAAAATTGCCATCAACAACCTAACATCGTGCAAGTGTGCAGACGACGGACAGCATCTTGGTGAGTACAGGACAATATGATACGTTACGATACGTTCAATGCATGTATGATACGTAGCTTTAGCGGTTTCCACGATACGATACGTTCAATGCATGTTAAAAGTTTTTTTTTTTTATAGCAGATAGGATTGTTTCCTGAAAAAAACTTTCGATTAAATTGCATTTCATATAGGTAGGCTAAGGATTTACCTTGTTTTTTTTTACTTGAAAATTTACTGTGCAATACAGTATTATAATTAGTTAATACATACGGTATATAGTTTATACAGTACGCTACTGTAAATTGCTCTGTTTTGCTAAACTATCACCATTCTTTAAGACTCCTGGGCAGGCTAGGCCATCTTCGACTTACGATATTTTCGACTTACGATGGGGTCGTCGTAACGCATCTACATCGTAAGTAGATGAATACTGTATAGACAACATGTTTTACTTAATTAAATAGGCTTTTTAATAAATGTTTTCTCCTACAACATTAGAGTGCATCGGCACATTAAATACGCACTACATTGGCAATAGTTTAAAGCGATTTGAAGCATGTTTTATTTGGGGGGGGGGGGGGGGCAGAGCTTTGTGACGTCACATTTGAGGGGGTGTCGATGGGGGGGGGGGGGGTCAAAATGGCATCCAGCATCATCGGGCAATTCGCCAGAATGGTGAGGCTCTGCTCTTGCTCCCAGCGAAACGTCGTACTCAAAATTTGTAAAAGTTGTGGTTTCACTCTTCAACACACCGGTGGGCTAAAGTAGTGAACTATTTGTCTTTTGTCAACGTGACACTCTTTTGCTGATTGGCCGTGTCGGGTGGTGGACGGTTACAACACATTTATAAATAACGCGATCTAACCCAAAAACGTTGATTATGAATAATATTGGTCGCGAAATCCTCCTACGTGTTAAACTGAGCATTTTTGTGGCCCGTATTGAAACCGCTGTACGCCGTATGGACCTGAAAACTCAGTTTCCCTGCACAAGAATACGGGGTGTAAACCGCGTGGTTTGACACGGTATATGCACGCACGGACACGGAGACACAAACACATCAGAGACGCACACGCAGACACGCAGAGACACAGAGATACACTGAGAAGGAGAGGCAGTGACCTGGAGGCACCTATGCACGCTGCGTTTGTCTGTTTGTTTCAGGTTTCTTTCTCGATCTGAACAATGGCTTACCTGTCCTGCCTGTGGGACGTGTCTCCCATCACCCTGGTCCTGATGGTGGCTGCGTTCACTTTGTCTGCGATGTAAGTGCTCGGCCTCAGCTCCACTTCCTTCACCTTACCTTAAACCAGTTTATGTAGTGCACGTCTTTGAAGTCTTTATTGCTGCAATGAATTTTCCTGCACAGCAATGTAAACGCTACCAGCCCGCCCTCGGCTAGTGTCAAATGGTCCGTCAAACCACAAGCCTGCTGAAAGAGCGTACACTTTGTAAGTTGATTAAAAAAAAACATTTGTAAAAAACTCACGCTATCTTGAACGTTAATTCTACAATTTCACGTTGTGTTGGAGATTGTGTAATGCACGCTTTTTTGATAGCACATTTGAGTTAAACGCTATAAATATATACTTTAAGGGCCAAGAGTTGTATTTAACCAATGTATCTCCGATTAGCATGGTTGGCTACGTACGGCGCGAAAGAAGTTCCAAGGCAACTCGATTTAATATTTAAGCACTATAAGGAACTGATATGCATTTTTAGATTTTCCACAATACACTGCTAAATATTCTAGATTTGAAGTTTTCGTGACTGCAAGGATCTATACTCTTTAGTTCTTTCGGTAAAGTCATGTAAGTGAAAAATAAAATTAATAAATATATAAAAAATAAAATTACAAAAATATATAAAAAATAAAAATAAAAAATTACGGCGTTTCGATTGCAACACAAGCAATCATCATCAGGTGTGACAACCACAGCAATAATTTATTTTATTTTTTCACCTACGTGATTTTACCAAAAGAACCAAAGAGTATACTGCTGAATAGCCACATAACCTTAACTTGACTGGAACTCTTGGTTCAATAATGCACACTCCTGTATTCCATAATTAAAACTCCTAAATAAATGTATCTTTCAGTTACCTGCTATGGCCGTACAGAATCTTCAAAATGATGGGCGTTCCTGGGCCAACACCTCTGCCGTTATTCGGAACCTTCCTCCACTACGGCAAGGTAGGTTTTCCCTTGTATGCGAAGGAATTAGATTTAGTTAAGACGACGCGAGAGCCAACGGAGACTCTTTTTAAATCCTTTATATTAAGTTCGCTTGCTTGCTTGCGTGCGTGCTTGCGTGCTTGCTTGCTTGCTTACGACCGTGCAAATCTTTCGGTCGTTTTTTAACCCACTTCCCGTGATCCAATCGAGCTGACATTTTGCACACAAACTCGTTGTGCGAGACAATTAATGTTCGTGAAATTTTTTTTTCCAAAATTTTACACTGTTTAGGGAAAAAAATTAAATATTTAATTACCAATTGCTTAATGGTGGCAGACAATCATCTGACCCATAGGTGGCAGTCATCTCAAGCCAGAGGACGAGAGGACTCTAGCTGCCACGCATATAAAGGATTTATAGTGAAAAACTTTGTTTTTACGGGTTAATTTTTATTACACGCTTTTATTTAACTCACTCTGTCTGTCGTTGTTGTTGTCGTTGTTGTATCCTCAAATCTTGCAACTCAATTTTAACCCACTTCCCAATGTGGTATCGACTGCAAACTTGGTATACTTATGTCATACTGATGACAATACTATATTCTATTATAAAATATATATTTTAAAATATTATTTTTTATATGTTATGTTTCGGCTTGGGTCTAATTGTCCACGGTCAACTGATGTTGGCTGTAATTGGCCAAGGTCCTTTACGTTATGGCAAGCTTTGGGCCACTTCCTGGGGTCGTGGAGTTCTTCCATTACTAGTAAATTTAATAAAAGCATGCTTAAAAAAGTTTTAAAAAAAATATTACTTTGACAAGGGAGACCAGGGAAAATTCAACAGTCAATTTTATATAATTCTGATTCATAACGTGCTCAGAGACCACGCATAAAGATGCTGTACAACTTAAAACCAGCAAAAAATACTACCGAGTATAAAAATAAGGAATACATGTAAGGACCTAAAATAATAGGCTATAATTGAAACTTCAATCGAACACAAATAAAGGTATACACTAAAGTGAGGTACAGCTAAAAAAATACATTCATATTTACAATTAATAGACTTAACTGATTATCCGAATTGTTAAGTAGATGCAGTATTGTTCCATGTCAATTCGACGAGGCTGCTCACAGCAATCAATTCCTGTAGGCCTAAGTTTTTCCTTTGAAACAACTTCATTTTGCTGTCAGTCTATCTGAAGGATTGTTTCACGAATAGCAATGTCAAAAGTTCTTCAGATATATGGATAGAATGGGACTGGCTTCACCGTTTGTTTCTACTCGTGACAAGGCTGATGCCGATATTTGATATTCACACTTTTTCATCATCGGTCATGTGGAAAGAAGGCCTCCACAAGCTCTGGTCATCTCTCACAATCCTACAGTGGCGTTCTTTGGTCTAGTATGAGAGCATATGTATTTGCATGTTTTACCACAGATATGTGTGGTTAATGCTGACTTGATGCCTTTTAATAGGTGTCGATTTGGTATTTTAACACCACTATTATTTCCAGAAAGGGTAAAGCCGTTTTTTAGTCATCTTAATTCTAGCAAAAAAAAGTCCCGCCTGCAACTCCCCAGTTGAAATCCCCTCCGTTGCATTTCCTTAATCTAGATTTGCAGTTTTCGTGACTGCAGGGATCCATACTCTTTGGTTCTTTCGGTAAAGTCACGTAGGTATGAAATAAAATGAATTAAATCACGACGTTTCTGGCGTAACACAAGCGTCCGTCATCAGGTGGGACAACCACAGCAATTGTTTCTTGCTACGCCCGAAACGTCGTGATTTAATATATTTTATACCTACGTGACTTTACCGAAAGAACCAAAGAGTTTGCATTTCTTCACCTGGATGCCACTCATTATTCTTGGGCATCGTTCATTCTCCCACGACGACATGTTCTGTCCAAGCCCATTTACCATTCTTAACGTTTCGAATGATGTCTTTATCCTGAATATGTTCCTTAATCCGTGTGCGTCTCTTTTAGTCTACCAATGTCAATTCAAGCATGCGTCTCTCCATGCTTATTTGTGCCCTATTCATCTTTTGTTTAGTTGCCTGTATGTCCATGCTTCTGAACCATGTCATTATAGGTAGTACGCACTGGGAAAAGCTTTCTTATTTAGGCAAATTGGTATGTTGATTTAGAGATTTTTTTCCACCCTAGGCACGCTAAACCCACTCCCGGTCACCTCTTTAGTTTATAACAGTAATTTTGGTTCACTTTATTTAGCTGACCTATGTGTACATATTCTGCTGTCTTTTCCTGTTATCTCCCTCCAACAGATATCTCCCGTCTGTTTAACAAACTTGTACGCGACTATTGTTTTGCGCACTGTACCGATCCTGAGACCGACTTTGCAGGTCACACTGAGATTACCCAATGAAAGCAGAGTACACAAATTATATTTTACAAGGAGAATCTGACAAGATGACACACTTTCAACGAAGTTATAATCAAAGAGACGGAAGGAATTTCATGAAAACTAGTTTGAAAAAAATAAAATAAAAGCAGAAATATTGATGGAGAACAAAAGAAAGATTTCAGATTTGCCAAGTCACATTGATAATGATGTTATGATAAAATGAATGAGCCTGGATGTCTGCTCATATATGCACTTGCGTGTTGTGCATAGGCCAGCTGTAAAACTTGTTAAAATGAATTCATAATTCTGTCGCTTCTATCTGACACAGGGCTTCCGAGCATTTGATGAAGAAAGTTTTCAAAGATACGGGAGAGTCTGGGGGTGAGTTCGTCTTGCTCGTCATCCCATTGTGTTGCTTGTTCAATTTCTACCAATTCTTGATTTCATTTCCACCAATTGCTTTTTGTTTGCTTTTCCATTAACCTATATGGTTCATTACATCAATAAAACCGGGGTTAATCAACCATTACAACACCTGCTTTGCAGATAAAAAAGGAGTTTTTGTAACAGTTAAAAAGCACCATTACATCCACAACTGAGTGGCTACTTTTTTATGCGTTATGGTGTAGAGCAGTGGTGAGCAATTTGTGGCACGTGGTTCGCAAGGTGTATCGTGGTGGTGTCGCAGAACAAAAGAGTGACATTATGAACGTATTTTTACTTATCAATCATGAAATAATGACCCTTACATGTCTTTGTTCTAAGGATAAAAAACAGACAAAAGATAAGGGATTTAACACGAATATATCATTGTAATATAATTTGCATAAATATAAATCATATAATCTTACACACCACCCAATTTTATGAGTGTATTGAAGCCTTAAGTGATTTTATCAAACCCCTAATATATTGTGTGAAGCAGTTTTTAAATCAGTAAAGATGACAAAAGTGCACAAAAATAGGCAGATTCTGTACTCATTATGCTACAGTCCTTTTTAAGGATTTTTCCATGCCTGGTTTTGAATCCGATCTTAATTGTCTGTATCAAAATCACTGTAAATAAATAAAACATAAAATGGGCATCTGAACCTGCATTGATCTCAGATTCAGCATAGCGTCTATGTACAACATGCCAACAATTGAAATAATGGAATACCCTTCTCTACATATCTACAGGATTTACGATGGCCGGTTGCCCGTGCTCATGGTGGCTGACACAAGCATGCTCAAACAAATCCTCGTGAAGGATTGCCTGGAGTTCTTCACCAACCACCGGGTAAAGCGGTGCAAACAGGAGTACAAATTAGCGATGCTGACGTGAGGTTCACGTCACGTACATATACTGGTAGGAACCTCCTGGTTACAGCAGCCCACATGGGATTATTGTGTCCGTCCGTCCGTCCGTCGTGAATCCAAAAGTGGGAGGGGTGGGGCTGGGTGGGGAGGGTGGGGAGGGGCTGGGTGGGGAGGGTGGGGAGGGGCTGGGTGGGGAGGGTGGAGAGGGGCTGGGTGGGGAGGGTGGGGAGGGGCTGGGTGGGGAGGGTGGGGAGGGGCTGGGTGGGGCTGGGTGGGGAGGGGAGGGAGGGGGAGTTTACTATATGTGTAATGGTCTTGTTAATGTTATTAGCCATCATATTCACTTAAGTTAAATTATGTATGTAATTACAAATTACAAAAACTAATTTTTAGGAGAAACAGTACACGTGTCGAACAATGATATCTTCAAATTCCTGCCTCTTATCATACACGTCATTGTTTTTGCAAACAGTATTGTGATTTATTGTGTTTGAATATGTTTTATTTTATAAGTGCTTTGGTGCTGCCTTGTTCTTTCATTTTTACATAGAAAATCGGGCTGAATGAACTCTTCGGTGAAGGTTTGTCCACAGTTGACGATGAGCAGTGGAAGCGCATCCGTAGCATACTCTCGCCAACCTTCAGTAGTGGCAAAATCAAACAGGTAAAAAAAACACGAGCAAAACACTTCAAATTGTGTTTTTGTTAAGTTGTATTGGTAGATCCAAAATATGTTTTATATCAAATAAAAGACAAATCGCCCCCCTCCATTTCTAGATGTGCCCACTGATTTTACGCTGCGCTGATGTGCTGGTGAAGAACCTCCATGAAAAATGCCAGTCTGGGAAGTCAGTGGATCTAAAAGAGTAAGTGCATGAAGCATTTGGGGGAAAAAAACACTTAAAAACTGCCAGTGATTGACACAAAAAACTCATCAGAGGGAACGGTGAGTGGAGGCTGGAAACAAGGACGTGTAAGACACGCAAGTTGATCTTTAAACATCAAAAGGTGTGATCGTAGCAATTAGCTCTCTCCTGTTATCAGGTCTTGCAGGTCATGTGAAATCACCAAACTGCACGCATAATGCAATATGCTGTACATTACAGTGTTACGCATGTGTGCATATGGATAAAGTACAATTGTAATTTCCAATTCACTTAAATAGAGAAGCAAGCAATATTGATCTGAAATAGATCTGTCACTGCCCATAAAAAATATATTCTTTACACAGGCCATTGGCCGCACAGCCTTCTGGGAATGCATACTTTTAGCAGCATTAATTTAGTACAAGCAACTATCGACCGGATTCAACATACATTATCTCATAATTGAAGCATCATCAAAATAATAGTTGAATTATGCTATTACATAATTTTGCGTTGAATTACGACCCGTATTCTCAAGTAGTGTTCATTGCAAGGCCCGCGGGCCACTGCGGCCCCTGGTGGCCTTTAGTGCGGCCCCTGACAATACACAAATGTGAACACACCCCATCATGCTGGCAAATTCCAATGGTATCAAATGTGTGGCGGTCCCTCACGCTGATGATGTCTTATCGGCGAAAGTGGCCTCCCCCCTCTGAAAATTGCGAAGAACACTGTTATAAAGAGAGGGTCACTGCCTATATAACATCTTGTAAAATTTAATAATGTAAGATCAATTCACATGCCAAGTTTTGTAGATCACTGCATTGAGGGGCAATTTACCCTAACATCGTGGTATTGATTCTAGATTTGAAGTTTTCGTGACTGCAAAGATCTATACTCTTTGGTTCTTTCGGTAAAGTCACGTAGGTGAAAATAAAAATAATAAAAATAAATAACATAACTAAATTAAATCACGACGTTTCAGAAGCAACACAAGCATCCGTCATCAGGTAGGACAGCCACAGCAAGAAATAATTTGCTGTGGCTGTCCTACCTGATGACGGTGGCTTGTGTTGCTTCCGAAACGTCGTGATTTGATTTAGTTACTTTCATTTTTATTTTATTTTTATTATTATTTTTATTTTCACCTACGTGATTTTACCGAAATAACCAAAGAGTATCGTGGCATTGATTTCAATTGTGCCTCTTCTAGGACATTTGGGGCGTACAGCATGGACGTGATTGCAAGCTCGGCGTTCAGTACGGATGTGGATTCTCAGAACAACCCCAACGATCCATTCGTCGTTAACGGGAGAAACATTTTCAAGATCAGCTTGTTAAACCCTTTACCTATTATAATTAGTAAGTGCTATAACTTTCCAGTTACAATTTCACGCATATGGTGTTATCTTCACTTAAAATTTATGAATTGAACTTACATGTGAAGACCAGATGGCCAAAATGAAATTATATTTAAAAAAAACATGTCATTGTATGCATATAACAAGTTTCACATGTTACTTATACAGTTAATCAAACGTATGTTGACAACAAAGTCATTGCCTGTTAATGATCAAGCAGTCGTGGCATTAGGGTTACACGAAATAGGCGATTGCCTGGGTTGAAATATATTTACATTTGTTGCACACACTGTATGTAGCCAACTATACTTTTGGAGGTGCAGAGGAAGGACACAAAGAATCAAACATAAAACGCAGTTCATATTCTTAGGTTTTTTCGGTAAAGTCACGTAGGTAAACAATTAAAATTAATAAAAGTAAAATAAAATAAAAATCACGACGTTTCGGAGGCAACACAAGCTTCCGTCTTCAGGTGGAACCGTCACAGCCCGACAGCTGTATCAAGTAAATGAGAGATTACAGGAGATACCACTGTTGCCTCCGAAACGTCGTGATTTTTATTTTATTCTACTTTTATTAATTTAAATTTTTTACCTACGTGACTTTACCGAAAAAAACCTAAGAATATGAATCCTTGCAGTCACGAAAGCTTCAAATCTAGAAATAAAAAGCAGTTCTAATGGAATGAGTTTTTAATCTAGATTTACAAGTGCATCGATCCAATAGCTTCCTAATATCGGAAGAGCGTTCCAGACGGCCGCAGAAGCACATCTGAAAGCGCCACGATGCGGCGACCGTCTTTGTTCGATGGTTAGCCGCTGCGAGGCTGACCAAAGTTTGTGTGATGATTTATGCTCCTTGACTCGATCAGCAAGGTATTGTGGTTCATTTGTGGCAAGTACTTTGTGTGTAATTAGTGCGGCCTTATAATGTATCCTTTCGGCAACTGGAAGCCAATTGAACTCAGTGAGCACCGGACAGAAATGGACGGATCTTGCAGTACCCGTCACGACACGTGCTAGAGAATGTTGTACACGCTGCAGCCTGGAAACATTTTTGCAAGACTTGCCGTAGAGTAGCGTGTTGCAATAATCGAGCCTTGTCGATACTGCTAACTTAATAATACCACAATGATCTGTGTATCACTGCCTGCATTGCCTTAGTTGTGTTTTTGGGGTGGGGGGCTGAGCACAGGTGGTGTTGAAGTATAGTTAAACGCCCCCCCTCCTCCTTTTGTTTCGCAGTGAAATGGCAGAGGCTTATACATTAATAGCATATTTAATATGCAACGATTTTCTCTTTCAGCACTCTTCCCAGTTTTTGTCCCACTTTTTGAATATATGGGATTATCTTTGTTTCCAAAAAAAGTCTGCATTTTTTTCAAGAACATCGTTCAGCAGATGAAAAAACAACGTCAAAGGGGACATCATGACATGGTGAGTCCAATTCAAAATTGCTATTTCAATGAACTATTCAATGTTAAAATTTTATTTAAAGCTTTCGTGACTGCAGGGATTCATATTCTTGGCTCTTTCGGTAAAGTCACGTAGAAGGGAAACAATAAAATAATAAATAATATATAACAATAAAATTCTCACGACGTTTCGACTGCAACACAAGCAATCATCATCAGGTGTGAAAAACACGGCAAGAAATTTTGAAAAAAGTAAAAATGTAAAAATTTGTTTTATTTATTATTTTTATTATTTTATTGTTTCACTTCTACGTGACTTTACCGAAAGAACCAAGAATATTCAATGTTAGTTAACGTTTAGATTCCAATAAGAGTTCATGTCACTGACAATATATATATTTTAGTGCAGTGCCATGTAATACAGTCATGTATCGCAGAGACTGAAGCCACTGCTGTTGTGTTTAATGTCGAGAGAATGTAAAATCTAACATTTAATCAAATTGTGACTTCTTTTTTGAAGGGACGAGTCGACTTTCTCCAATTGATGGTAGATGCTCAACTTTCTGAAACCGTGCAAAATGGAGATAATCCTCATTCAGAAAAGTGTAGGTATTTTTTATGGCACATTTGATGGAATAATCAAATTTACACCTTGATCTGAAATTTACACACATGCCGTCTGTACGGTGAGCTATGAAGCTGTGTCTCATAGGTGTCCAGTGCAATATATTGTGTGCAGTGCAATGCATTTAGCTGATGATAAGTAAATGATCAAATCATTGATAATTATATATTTAAGATATCACTATATTCTCAAAATCAAACACTGACATGCATTCTAGATTTGAAGCTTTCGTGACTGCAAAGATTCATACTCTTTGGTTTTTTCGGTAAAGTCACGTGACTTTACCGAAAAAACCAGAGTACTATCATGCATGTTTGTGATAAAATATTTAAAAAGCTGTCCCGAAGGAGTATTTTGAGAAAGCAGATTTTTTTTAAAACAATTAACTCCACTGAAGTTGTCATAACTTGAGGTCACCAAAGCAAACCTAATTGCCAGTATAGTACATAACTATATTTACACATTACTGTTTGCAGTGGTATGGCTAAATCACCCAGAATGCACCCAACCTTATCAGGTGTAAAAAGAAAGACCAATAAGACTTGAGCCGGTTTCATCCCTAGATGGGTGGCCACCACACACAAACAGGGCATCGTAGAGCTTGTGGAGCCCGCATCAAGTAGCTGGAAAGCAAGAAAATATCTGAAATTATTCAAGTTCAGTGCTCACCACCACCAAAATGCGTGCGCACATTACTAGGACAGCAGGAATAGAACACATTGCATGATATAAGAATCGATGTATATTACATTTCAAGGTATATTCGAAACTAATATTCCCACTCCATTTTATTTCACAGATCTGACTGACAGTGAACTGGAGGCACAGGCGATCTTGTTCCTACTGGCTGGTTTTGAGACCACAAGCACAGCCATCAGCTTTATGGCCTATTCTCTTGCTTGCAACCCTGATGTCCAGACTAAAGTTCAGCAAGAGATTGATGAATTTCTTCCGGATGACGTAAGACTTCCAATTTTAACTTAAACGTAAATTTCATAGTAACGGTGTGACACACACTAATTACACGCAAAGTGCTTGCCACAAATGAACCACAACACCTTGTCGATCTCGTCAAGGGGCATAAACCATCACGCAAACTCCAGTTCGCCTCGCAGTGGCTAATCATCGAACACAGACGGTCACTGCATGGTGCACTTTCATATGTGCTTCTGTGGCCGGCTGGAACGCTCTTCCGATATTCGGAAGCCACTGGAGTTAGGTATTTTTTTTATCTAAATTGAAATCAATTTTTTTTAGTTTAGTTTGTTGTCGTTCCCCCGCACCTTCGATTAGCACGGTTGGCTACGTACGGTGTGAAAGAAGTTCAACATACAAACAAAGTGCAATAAGATATGTTTTAACCAAATGAGCTTGTATTTCAAAGTCTGATAAGTACAATGTATACTACAGAATAGTCTAGAATGTCCTTAGAATAAAACGTGTACTTAATTTTTGTCCCTTTGTTTATATATATATTTCCATTCCACTCGCATGCAGAAAATTCCAAGTTACGAGATTCTGAATAAAATGGAGTATCTGGACATGGTCGTGAGCGAGACTCTGCGGATGTACCCACCGGCCGCGCGTTTAGACCGCTGTGTGTAAAAGGACGACTACGGTGGACAACCTGGTCATCCCCAAGGACGTGGTGATCACTGTCTCCACGTGGGTGCTCCACTATGACCCACAGCACTGGGAGGAGCCCAACGAGTTCAGGCCAGAACGGTGAGTGAATCACGTTGCCAAAATTGGGTGCGTTTGGAAACTCGCGTATCATATTTCAAAAACAAAGATCCATATTGGAGCCTGACAATACTCGGAATCAATTATATTGGGCCATGGCATGGGCACTAGAATCAAAAAGAGTTGCTTGTTCAAGTCATGTACAGATAATTGTATGTTGTAATTGTTTCATGGACTCTATACAGGATGACATCATGTTTGCCTTGTAATTTTCCCAATCTTGTGCTTAATAGACCTTCCAACTCAGGTGGAACGCGTGAATGAATGAGAGTCGTCCAGATGATCTGCCTGTCCATTGGATAGGGTCACAATAATAACTTTAAAGATGATCCAATAAAAATGTAATAGTGCTAAGCTGTGTTTCAATTTGGGACTTAACGTAGATAAAACTGGAACAAAAAATGGCCAAGACTCGTCAATAAAATCCAGCATATAATAGCAAAGCGTATGATGTCATCTCTTTTTCTGAATGTGATGATATCATATGCCATCACATTGGCATGACATGATATGGTGTAATTTTCTGACGTCATGTGTAGCGTGATGTCATCTCATTAACCAGCTCAAAAGCTAACACCATCAGCCATGAGCAATCCACTGCTGGATGAAGGCCCCAAGTTGCCGCAAGTTCGCACACACAATGTAACAATCCACCATGCACCTTCACATGAGCCGACTCCATCGCTTCATCTCTGCAGCGGATCTCAACCAAACCTGCAGTATTAATTTTAGTTAGATTTTATTTTAGTCAGTCTTAGTAAAGTTGACCACAGCCTGTGGAATTTTAGTCAAATCTTAGGCTGTGGATTTCATTCATTCTCTTCGACTGCTTGACTACGTTTTGATTTAAAGCTTTCGTGACTGCAGGGATTCATATTCTTGGTTCATTCGGCAAAGTCACGTAGAAGGGAAATAATAAAATAATCTAAATATAAAACAATACAAATTCTCACGACGTTTCGACTGCAACACAAGCAATCATCACCAGGTGTAAAATCCACAGCAAGATATTTTTTTTATTGTTTTATATTTTTATTATTTTATTATTTCCCTTCTACGTGACTTTACCGAAAGAACCAAGAATATGCTTGACTACGGTAAAAAATGTCGTCCCCAGGGTTATTAAGTGTTGGTTTGTCTAAATCCCGCCGTTCATGGATTCCGTGTGCGCACCACTGTGAATTGTGCAGGTTCACCAAGGAGGCCAAGGAGGCGCGTGACCCCTACTGCTACCTGCCCTTCGGTCAAGGCCCCAGGAACTGCATCGGCATGCGCTTTGCCCTGATGTCCCTGAAGATGGCTGTCTGTCGCATCCTGCAGCGCTACTCCTTCCAGACGTGCAGCGAGACCACGGTACACGATCACACCTCCCTACTCCTCCGCTCTTTACTGTTTACATAGAAAGGACTTTGTGGTGTTAATATGGATTCTGGTATTGCTCCAGGAGACAACTATTATATGGCAATGTTTAAAAACTATATCCTTGCTTTTGTTTCTTTCAGATTCCGCCAAAGCTCGTCAAGGGTAGCCTATTACAAACGGAAATGCCACTTTTGCTGAAAGTTTCAGAGAGAAAGAAGGCTGATTAGAAACCAATCAAGGTCACAAAGCTCCACAGGAACAAAACAAGATTGAGAGAGGATTTGAGACGCATTAACACTGTAGGACCAATTAGGATCACGACTTTTTAAAAGATGTTACTTTTAATTACTTGTGGATCTTAAAATAATTACTTGACAAATGGTGTTTCATTTTTTAAATTATTTTTATATACTGTAATGTTTCCAGTCGAAATACAGTACTGTACTTGTTGGCTTTATACAAATAGTACACGTGATTTAACAAAGATGTGAATTTTTAAAAAAATTATTACACTAATGCTGGTGAGTATTGTGTAGTACTCATATTCACTGGGGGTTTTGAGCAAGTGGGTGAAGTTCCACATTGTTATGGTGAAGATCGGTGCCTCTTTAATACAACAATTCCAGATGCCTGTGTAAAAAGAGGGCTACAGTTTTGCCCAATCCTGGCCAGCTGGCTCAAAATCTTAAAAATAAACGAAACTGTTGATGTTCAGCTCAACAGGCAGTGCTTAATTTTACAGATCTCACGGGGTTTACGGACTGGGTTTATCATAATGGGAATTTAAACGTATGGCCTTATGATTCAGAGTTCACTAAACTGTCCAGGAAGCAGTCCAGCTACAATATAATTTGATATATTTTGCATAAGTAAAGATTTACGGCAATTAATTTTCCCTCGATTTATAAAAATGCGTGTTGTAGTTCAATAAATGAGCAAAAACAATAACGTGAAATTTTTACGACTTATTTTTTTACTGTCACTCGGGCTATGGTGGCGGTACGTGGATCTTGATTTCTGGTGGAGGTGAGACCAGAAAAAGGATGGAAAGCCACATTCAAACTGTGTACTGTTCCAGCGAGCACGACTGAATGAACACCTCACCTTTGCTGAAAAACATACTGTAGATTTATTATTGAAATCTAAATAAACGTGCCTTTTGGGTTCACATGGTGTGCCTCCTATCGGAACACATTTGTTCACACAGCGTATTTCTCAGTATCATTGGACAGCAAGGATTAAAAAGACATAAAACTAGTCTTTAAATTATAAGGTTCTAGGAATTTAAAACATTTGAAATTTCCTTTGATCCGGAACCTAATTGATTATCCTTTAACCCTGTTGAAATTATAATTAAGCCCAGGAATACATCACTAAATGCAATGTACCAGCAACATTTTATAACACTGTACTGTAATACAGTACTCTTAATACAATAGATTGGAATTAGAAACACATTTTTTAATATGGAAGGGTGTGTTACGTAACACCTACTCATAGGTAACTATTGATATGCCCACGTAAAGCGGGTTATCACACTAAACGTTTTAATATAATTATCAGACACCACGGTATCAATAAGTGTCCGTCTCCAACTTTTATTATCCACTCCATTATATGTTTCCTTTGAAGGCAGTGAGTGGTAGGTATGAACAGATGTGTTGCGTTCTTTCGTTTCAATAAAGGTGTGTCGCCCTGGGGCATTTTGCAAGCAGCTTCTCGACCGGAGAAACTGGATTTTTGAAAATGAAATAGGCGGTGGCAGGACAGTTGCAGCCGTAGCGGGGTGCGGTGTTTAAGGTCGTGCAATGTTTTTTGGTGAATTTACTTAGCAACTTCACACAACCTACCTGGCTTCCACAAATGCACAGTACAGTGTTAAGGCATACTATATACGAGATACTTCAAAGCAATGTTAAGTTTCAATATGAAAGTACTGTTGTGCGACGAAATTGACTGTACATTATCATGATGGATTAAAGTGCTCAAAATGCATGATTTAAAAAAAATTCTTACTTGGTTCCATTCCGACAATATTACATAATTAGTACAGGATTCGTTACGAATGTATATATTACTAGGTTGCAGAGTCATTTTCTGCCGTGTTTACATAATCCGTTTTGAACGCTGTGGTGGAAGTCAGAAATCCGAATGGTTATATCCAAGTGGAGAAATCCGATGAGCTATGAAGGTCTTCGCAGACTCCAGTAGAGACATTGAACATGACAGGCGTACCAATATAAAGGCGCATCAACTGCACGTGTATTTGCATTGAGTTGCAAGTTAAAACAACATGCCGCGTGCTGTACGAGTATGGTCTAAAGCCAGTGGTTCTTTACCCTGGGGTGCACGCAAACCCTGGGCGTGCGAGATGCCCTTTCTGGTGGTGGTGCTAGACATGCCAGATTATTTTTCTTGTTTTAAGGTAAGTCAACGAAACACAAGTACAACTACGTTGTTTCATAAAACCTATGTATTAGCATTACACATTTTTGTTTTTACTATTGCGAACTAAAGGGGTGCAAGGTTGCAGAAAAGGTTAAGAATCACTGGTCTAAGAAATAATTGTCCAAGAAGCTAATTTCTTGCGATGTACGGTATAAATGAGTCTTTTTGAACATGGAGTAAAAAACAAAGTAGTATGCATACAGTGCCGGATTATATCCTAGTAGCAAAAGTAGCTACATAATGCTTCGGGTCCCGCACTTTCACGGGTCCCGCGCTAAATGCTTTCAAGCTATCAATTCCGTTTCAGTGATTCTGCACTTGCTCTATTACTATAGTACTATACCGCCTTCAACTTTTATGAACGACTGGGTGTTTAAAGTTAGCGATTTGTCGTATTATCTGGCTGTATAGCAAATGACAAAAATACAATTACTTTACTATGCAAGTAAAAATGTTACGTGTTTTAATGTTTATTTAAATTTAGGGCCCATATATAACAACGTATGCTACAGGCCCCTCACTCGCTTCATCCGACACTCTATGCATACACAGAGTACACACACATACATTTACTTTAGTCGCTGGAGCGTAATTATTTTTTATTACAGGGTGCTTAAAAAATATTTTAACACTTCTGAGAATTTGCAACAAACACCCATAGCCCCACGTAAGTCTTTCGTGACTGCAGGAATCCATACTCTTTGTTTCTTTCCCTAAGTGTTAACATTTTCTTTTTGTTTGCAAGCACCCTGCATTCGTACGGGGTGTTGTAACCTTCTTCCGCGGTGTATAAGCAATAATAATAATTCACCGTCGACAACCAAAGACCAAAATAGCCTCCGGTCCTCACCGATGGGCGTTTAACTTGCGCGCCTTCCGATATTTCTGCAAAAGGAGGGGTCCCATTTGGTCGTATTCCTCCTCCACTGACACCACGCAGCAAACGGATTCCAGTTCTCATCGTTACCCACTCACTCCCAACCCTCCTCCTCCCGCGTTATACGGCCCTTCAAACGAAGACACAAAAACAAGGGGGAGTTTTTGCAGCTCTGCGTGACATTATTATTATTCGCCCCAAGACGCCGGCCGGTGATGTCCTCCAATTTTCCAAATTTCGCCACGACCGCTGGGTTCGTGCGCGGCGTCGGACCCCACCAGGGTGGTGGTAGTGGTCGTGGCGGTAGCGGCAGCGGCGGCCAATTTACCAGCCGCTCCTTCGCCGGACTCGACAGCAGCCAGCCGCGAAGTGAACGAGGGACGTGGAGCAAATCGAGCGTGCCCGGCGTTGTCGGCAGGAGAAGCGCCCTCCTCCTGGGCTACCGGGGTGGTGGCGGTGGCGGTGGTGGCTCTGCGTACACCGGTGGCTCTGCGTACACCGGTGGCTCTGCGTACACCGGTGGCTCTGCGTACACCGGTGGCTCTGCGTACACCGGCGGCTATGGAAGGGGCTCGTCGAACGTACGCGCGCGCGTTCCCGTCGCCGTCGTGGAGATCGACCGCTCCGTCCTGCCGATTCGGGCCCAGGAGAAGGAGGAAATTAAGATGCTCAACAATCGATTTGCAAACTTCATTGATAAGGTATCACCACCAGCAATACCACCACACACACACACACGCGTTGTCCCAACCGATGCAGCATGCGCGTTGTGTGGTGCGTGCGCGCGTGTGATAAAAGTCAAGCTTTTCTGAACGGTGCATTTTTATTTATTTGTCAGATAAAAAAAAAAATTTGTACTGGAAGAATCCGACGAACAATCAAGCAATTTTTCACAGATGTCCAGTAGGGACAAGTCAGCACGTTACAAAAACAAACAACGCAAAAGTGATGCGTATTGAATGTAAAACTACTGCGTAAAGGAACTTGACAGCTGTCCAAATTTGCCTGCTAAGTATTTTCTTCTATTGCCGGACCACATCTCAGATTTTGTTCCGCCAGTAACATGGAACTGACATGCATATTATTGCACACATGACAGTACAGTACCTCAGATTAGCGCGGTTGGCTACGTACGGTGCGAAAGAAGTTCATACAAACATACAGCCCTTCCCGTTCCTTGAAAACGTCCTATCATGGGTACTCTCCCATGGCGATTCCAGAGATGTGATGAGTCACACCGTCGTTCCTCACAACTTAATAATCTTCTCACTCTTAACGCCATTGACCTACTCCATCGGATGTGACCGCCCGAATAACCATGCACAAGTACGCATCTCAAAGCACACCCATCTCTTAACATCAAACCCATCTGTATTCTTGGTTCTTTCGGTAAAGTCACGGAGAAGGGAAATAATAAAATAATAAAAATGAAACATAATAAGATAAAATTCTCACGACGTTTCGGCCACAACGCAAGCAGCAGTCCTCAGGTCCTCAGGTGAAGAACAGGTCCTCAGGTGAAGAACAGTCCTAATGTTAGGATGCTGTCTTTCTGACATCCCTGTTCTTCACCTGAGGACGGCTGCTTGCGTTGTGGCCGAAACGTCGTGAGAATTGTATCTTATTATGTTTTATTTTTATTATTTTATTATTTCCCTTTTACGTGACTTTACCGAAAGAACCAAGAATATGAATCCATGCAGTCACGAAAGCTTTAAATCGAAATCCCATCTGTGCTTTCCATAACGAGGGCTGCCCTCCTCTCCGAAGCGTCTGTGCCACGTTATGCCGCGGGACTTATTTCAATGTATACAGCGCCTTCACTAACGGCGCTGAACAAACAATTTGCTATGTGCACGGCAGAATAGCATGACGAGATGCGTCGATGCGAACGATGGTGGTGCCTGAGGAAGATGATGATGATGATGCGTGAAGTCAACGATGATGAGAGTGACAGTGAGCGGTTGATGATGAGCGAGTGCGATGGGTGGGTTGGGAGGTTTGGGAAGAGGGATGGAGTTGGTGATGGGGAATGGGGTAAAGCTAGCTTCAATAGGTTCCTCCACTTGACAACATCATCATCTCCGCACCTCTGATTAACGCGGTGAGCGACATATGTACGGTACGAACGGTGTTCAACATACATCTCCAGCTTCAACAATAGCCACCATTCCTACGCTGATGACTCCAAACTACATATACAGTACTAATTGGCTGTGTCGGGTGGTGGCGGGTTTAACGACACCATAATGTTTACCCCATCTTACCCAAAAACCTCTATTATGGATACATATACAGTCATATATATGTCAACTCTGCACAAAAAAATTCTTGTCTACTGTCATATACCATCTTAAAGCAGTCTCATGCTGGATTGGTTGACTCTTCCTCCAGCTGAACATATCCAAAACTGAAGTCTTCCTCCCTGATTAAAAAAAACATCTGCTCTCCCAAGATTTTTGTAAGGCCGCCAAAGCCCTCACTCACACCTGCCCCCCTCTGGACTGGAATTCCTTCCCGAGCTTCTGTGCTGCCAACTACTGCTACCTGTGCAAGTCCAGGCTCAATAACTGCTTCTTAACCTTAACCCACGACTGACGATCCCCTTTCTGCAATATGTCTTTAATCGCACCTTTCCTTAAACAACCCTCCCCATTAACCAATGATGTACTACATTTGCCAACTTGTTGTAAAAACCCCTTGAGATGCAGTAGTTGCATTTTATCACTATGTACAGTAAACAAAAAATTTATTGTCTGCATAAATCCAAAGAAATGAAATACGAAAACGATAACTACAATTTCACAACATTTTTGTTCATGTATATTTAATTTTAAAAATCAAATACTTGCAAACCAATGGGCCAAATAATATAGAACGTGAAACAATTTTTTCGTGCCTGTACAGACCTGTACTTCAAATGAAGAGGGCCTCAATGTGTGCCCGTGCGTGTTCCCGTTGCGTAGGTGCGCATCCTTGAACAGCAGAACAAGGTGTTGGAGGCGCAGTGGTATGTGCTGCAGGATAAGGGAAAGGTCGACTGTAACATGGACGAGTTGTTCGAAGTCTACATCGAGGAACTGAGGAGACAGCTGCAGAGTCTGGGTCATAATGGAGCCAGAATGAACAGTGACCTGCAAATGATAAAGCATGCCGGCAAGGACTTCAGCAGCAAGTGAGATGAACTTTTAATTGAATGAACCAACAATTATGGGAACTGGGATACTAAACGAAACTAAACTTCAATTTAAAGCTTTCGTGACTGCAGGGATTCATCTTCTTGGTTCTTTCGGTAAAGTCACGTAGAAGGGAAGTAATACAATAATAAAAATAAAACAAAAAAATTGTTTTATTATGTTTTATTTTTATTATTTTATTACTTCCCTTCTACGTGACTTTAAATAATAAAAATAAAACTAAAATAAAAATTGTTTTATTATGTTTTATTTTTATTATTTTATTACTTCCCTTCTACGTGACTTTACTGAAAGAACCAAGAAGATGAAACTAAACTTTATTTGTACTCGGTAAGGCTTGCTGAGCTATATGGCTCTTATTCAGAAACGACCTGGTCGCGAAAGCTCAATGAAGCGGCTTATCGTGTGGAAATGTATATAGCAGCCAAATATTGAACATGAATAAACCATGGCCTTGTTATTCCATTGTTCTCTCTCCCTCTCTCTTTCTCTCAAAGATATCAAGTGGAAGTTGCTACTCGTAAGAAAAAGGTGGAAGAACATGAACTGGTGAAGAAGGTAAAGTTTGTCACTTGGATATTCACCCTCAGCACTGGTCAAACTTCTGCTGGATGAAGGCCTCCTCCTCCCCCCCCCCAAAACCATCACCATTCCATCTCTCAATTATAAACGGATCATTGTGCATCAAAAAACACAACGTGCATACCATTGTACGTGCAAAAACGAATGTTTATCATGTAATGACTGTACTTTTGTTTTTCTTTCGGTAGGAAGCTGTTGAAGCTAGCTTTGTCAAAATTGAGCTTGAAGCCAAAATTCAGGGTCTTATTGAGGACATACATTTTCTCAGGGAAGCCTTCGCACAGGTGAGTTCCGTTTGTTGATGTTTACAAAGTTACCGATGTCCCCTGCAGATGCGGTGATGTCACAGTCTCCGGCACCATTTTCATTCTTTCATTTTTAGTTCAGCAGAAAGTTCTGCCTCTGTTCCCTATCTCTCCGCATCATCATCATTATCATCAGCAGCAGCATCATGATCGTCAGAAGCAGCAATATCAGCAACATCAGCAGCATCAGTATGATCAGTAATTGCATTAGAAGCGGTACCTTCTACACAATTAACAATAGTATCATCAGAAGCACCACCATCATCAGCACAATCAAAAGCAGCAACAGCATAATTTCCTGCACTTCCTATTACCATGGTTGGCTATGTACGGTGTGAAAGAAGTTCAACATACATACATACGTACATACATACATTTTAATTATAATGTTTTATTCAGTTATACAGCATATTTTCATCCAATCACAGACCTTGGATTTAAGTGGAGACATGAAAGGTCGTTGGCTTTCGTATCTTTGTTTTGTTAAAAGATATTGGGAATTGGGCAGAGGGTTATGGATTTAGGGTTGAGTTCCAGATACACACCAGCCTCCTTCACTACAGTTCTCTGCGGTGAGTACAACATCTTTAAAAACAACGGTGCTATGTCTTTCTCAATAAAAAAAATGACGTTGAGATGCTTGCGCATTACAAGATTCAGCGGTGAACGGGATGCACCCTGTGATTTGCAGATGTCTCGTAATGGCAAAATGGTTACACCACGTTTAAATATGAAGCGCATAAAATTGAATAAAAACATTACTCAAGGCTTCTTGTTCTCGGAGGAGATATGCTCACCCTCCCCATTCATACAGGAAACTGATCCATGTTGTCCATTAACAGGAGCTACGCGAGTTGGAGGCGCAGATCAAGAACACCAATGTTCTCGTAGAGATCGACAACAGGCGGAGCCTGGACATGGATGGGATTATTTCTGAAGTACGAAAGCAGTACGAGTTCATCATGTCCCAAAGCCAAGCTGAAGCGGAAGCAATATACAAGCAGAAGGTGATTTTATTCATTAATTTTGCACGCTGCCAAAATGGATTACGCCAGCCCAAAGGGTTGCGCAATCGTTTGTTGAACGTCCGCACATTACATATCCAGATTGAGGACAACGAGTCGAAGCTTTCTCCAACATCACATTGTCACGTTGGGAGTAATTTAACGCAAAATGCCAGTCCACACATGAGGCTACGAACATTAAGGCCATTGCAGATCAGGTAGATGGTGTCACCCAAACCATAGGCCCCAGATCTGACCTCCTTAAGTGTTTAGTCTGTTGAGCTCCGCAACGCACAGCATACACGAGGAATTGTTTAGAAAATAACGGCGCTGTCAACGGTGTTGTTTATAAACGGTTATTGGATAGAGGGATCACTTCACCAAGATGGAGTGCTGAACAACCTGTGTTCCACATTGGCAGGAGTGCAAGAAAGGATGGCTATTTTTAAGCCTCCAAATGTTAATATAAGAATAAATATAACAAGTTCCGCTCAATAAAAAAAAAGTTATTGAGAAACAATAGGAGGCATGACTTTTGGGAGCATCCTTCAGTAGACTACAACAAAGAGTTTGCATGACTTAGATAATCGGATTTCTCCAGAATAAATAGAGATTCTGATTCAGATGCACCACAACCCCTTATCCACTGGCACATCCGAGCCAAACCAGTGCAGGGCCCTCACAGTACACATGGTTTTCCACTGGCTACATTCCAGGAATCAATCAATGAGACATTTTAACATCAGACAGCACCGCTCGGGTTCGGCAGTGGAAAAACAACCCGGTACCTGCGGAGCTGGGCTAGCTCAGCAGGTTGTGTAGTGGAAAAGGAGGTTTTTTAGAATGGCTAGATAATTTGCCTCACCTTAGGAGTGAAGTAACCTATAGCCTATTTTTAACATACAACCTATTTTTATATTCTTGGTTCTTTCGGTAAAGTCACGTAGAAGGGAAATAATAAAATAAAACAATAAAATTCTCACGACGTTTCGATTGCAACACAAGCAATCATCATCCGAATTTTTTCCAAGTTTTTTCTTAAGAAAAAACCGCCACTTTTTAAAAATGTTCTTGCTGTGTTTTCACACCTGATGATGGCTTGTGTTGCAATGAAAACGTCGTGAGAATTTAATTGTTTTATTTTTATTATTGTATTATTACCCTTCTACGTGACTTTACCGAAAGAACCAAGAATATGAATCCCTGCAGTCACGAAAGCTTTAAATCGAAATGTAACCTATTTTTATTTAACCTGGTGAGCCCACGGTGCTACATAGCTCTTTTTCAGAAGCGACCTGGCCATAAATGATAGCTCAACGAAGTGGCTTATTATGTGGAAATGTCCAGTAGTCAAATGCTCTCAACGCGTGATTCTAAATATGGAGGGAAAAACCGGAGGACCCGGAGACAAATCCACGAGGTCAACTGGAAAATGTAAAGCATTGCCTGGGAGAATACGACCACTTAAAAAAAATGTTGGCTTGTAATTGTCAAATTGACATTTAAAACATTTAAATGTTTGGTTGTCGTCCGTGTTTTACTCCAGTTTGACAAACTCCGCTCAGAGAGCGATCGAAGTGGCGAGGAGCTGCGCAAAGCCAAGACCGAAATCAACGACATAAAACGTCAGATCCACCAGATCAATTCGGAACTCGACATCTTGAAAAAGCAGGTAAGGATTATCGTCTTGAAATGGGTTTGGAGTTCACGCGGTTTAAATGTCTTTGAGCTGCAGTGAACCAATTATTATGCCGAGTACGTAATGTCCCATATAGCTGTTGTTCACAATTGCACCCAATAAAAAACACATACTGGAAGTGGTACAAACAGCACAGATCTTGAAACACACGAATAGTGCTTTTATTATTGTGTTGAATTACTAGTTACAACAACTTGCGTCTATTAGGAATAATAATATCCTTTATTTACCCAAGAAAGTTGCAGTGAGTCCCGAGACCCAGGAAAGTCCTACCCATGTTTTTGTGTTGGACGTGTGAAGAGGAAAATGCAGTACCCAGAGAAAACCAACACACATTGGGTCTGCTGCTGCCATCTCTTGCCTATTGCACAGCCCAAACCGACGAAAGCTGGTATTTCTAGACTCTCAAATCTCCAATAAAAGTACAAACAAGGCTCTGGAGAAAACCCACGTTGCACTGGGAGCTCCGTACGGACAAATTTGAGAATGAAAAATCCATTGTCGCTCTGCCATCTCATCGTTCCTTGTAAAAATAAATCAATCAATGGACGTGCGTACGATGTTTTTTGTTTTTGTTTCAGCGAGAGAAACTGGAGGCGGCAATTTCTGAGCGAGAGGAAGGCGGTGCGAAGAACATCGGCGAGGCAAAGGCAGCCGTAGCAAAGCTGGAAGAGGCCCTGGCAACAGCCAAGCATGACATGGTCAAGCACGTGCGCGACTTCACGGATTTAATGAACATCAAACTGGCCCTGGACACGGAGATCTTGACCTACCGCAAGCTTCTGGAGGGAGAGGAAGCTAGGTGATTGCACTTCCTGTTACTCTTTGACAACGTTCCACTTGGCACATCTGAAGTAGGAGCCAGTACAGGGCTCTCACGGTACAGCTGGTTGTCCGCTTGCGATTGGCAGGGGCGAGCCAGAAACAAACCCACGCTAGACTGGCCCCAAGACATCCAGATCTGATTTGGGGGCAGAGCAGGCCAGGGGTGGGACTAAAAATGCATTAATTGCAGTGACGTGAGTGGCATGGCTCTGCTTTTCAAGGGGGTAATACAATGTAGCGTCTCCAGAGATACGTCGATCCGGAACAAACTTCAGTCGAGACTCTTTTCATGAGGATCCTCATGCATTGGAATGTTTATCCAGTTGCATTGATGAATGTTGAGCATTGGGTGATGGGGGTGGCTGGTAGCCAGAGGAAACCCATATACACAGAATAGTCACTCAGTACGGCCATCTCCTGGCCACTTAACATCAGTTGTACGTTATTAACTTATACATCGACTGGTTTTTTATTACCACGATTTTTCAGTTTGCATGGGACTCGTCTGTTTGCGTTCATAGTACGTTCACGATTGCATTGTATTACTGTCAGTAACAAAAATATTGACACAATGGATCTTGACATAATGGATATTTTGTTGCCCTTCTTCCGCCTACTCCGATTAGCACAGTGGGCTAAGTATGGTGCGAACGAAGTTCAACAAACACACATACTCCGTTTGTACTAATTTCCCCAATTTGTAAAACGATTGCTTTTTGCCGAGATATTTTTGTTCAAGATAATCTCCACGTGTGTTCGTAGGCTCAATATATTTGCATCACGCGGGGGAGGCGGCGTTGCCTCATCCTCACCGGAGCCCGGCGGGGGTGTGAGAGAAAGACGAGGTGGGAGCTATGGGCAACATATTGGCGGCAGACACGGCAAAGATTCGAAAAGCAACAGCAGCAGCAGCAACAACAACAATGCGTACGACTCTCTGGGTAAGAGCTCTCCGTGAGGATTTAACCCCATTGTGACAGTCAAACGATGTCAGAAAATGTTCCAAAATTACTGCCAACTGTAGGGTAAATGGAGCTGCATGGGCCTTCATAACTTATTATTATATGGATATGCTTTGTTAAATTATATTTTAGCATCTCCCTTAATTATTGAATGGTTGAAGAAATAAAAAAAAGCTTGAACTGACTACTGCCGCTAAATTGGCAAAAATCATGTTTTTACAAAAAATAATATTTTAAAGATGAATGCAGGTGCATCATCCTCAAACTGTTAGAATAATTTCACATCTATCACCTATGTTTATATTTAACAACCGTATCCATGTACGATAGTTATATCTAGTGCTTAATTTCAGCTGAAACAGTCCAGCATATTTTGGATTTCCACATTAATTACCTTAGTCTTTGATACTATTGTCCCCATGATCCTGTTCATATGACTAATAACAATACCATGCATGTAAAGGAAAACAATAAGGAATAACCCGGGAGACAGGGAAACAAGAGAAACAAGATGAAGACGTTTTTAATATGGGCTCTTCAGCCAGGACTTAAATATCCTCCCATCAATTGCAAGTTCATGACCTCCTAGGGTGGGGAATTCCAGAGCCTGGTCGCAGTGGAAATTAAAGCCTGCTGGTCACCCCAGGTTTGAAGCCTGGAGCGCTGTCACACTGACTCGGGGCACAATCGGTAGATTTCAGAGATCTTAGCAGAGTGTATGACTGCATGAACTCCGGGGATATGAAAGCGATGTCCATTCGAAGCCAAAAAAGTAGAAGAATACTTACATTCAATGCAGGAAACCAGTGCAAAGACGTGATCACAGGTTCGATAGGATCCCCTGAAAAGAAGCGTGAGTGAGCACTCTGGTGGCCACAATTTGGACAGATTGCAGTCTCCTAGGGAGATTACTCAGGTCTCTGGAAAGCAAGGCGTTGCAATAGTCAATTTGTAAAAAAATATTACTAATTAGAAGATTACCATGAACCTGTTTCTAGTGGTAGTCCCTTATACCGATGATCCGTAAGTTAAAGGTGGTCGAGCAGCATTCCAGACATTTTTGAAATTAAGCCCTCATCTAAAACACAAACTCGTATGAAATATTATTGAAGTTTTTTTTTGCGTTGGCTCTCACACGTGCGTTCTCCTTAAACAGACAACGGGGTATTTGAAGCAAGCGCAAGAATGAACGGAACCCTTGGAAGAAGCGTGACAGTGGCCAGCGAACCACCAGAACAAGAGTTCAGAAAAACGGTGGTGATCAAGACCATCGAGACCAAGAATGGCCGAGTGGTCTCCGAATCATCCGCAGTGATTCTAGACTAGAAGTTCTAGCGGCTCTGGGTCATTTAAAATCGATTCTGGCCCCAGGAATGGCTCATTGTTGAAACGAAAATGTTTATTGGGATTATAAAATACAGGTATGCAAGGTCAATCGTGATTAGAAGGCAAAGGGGGGTGAGAGGTTATAAAACACCACGATCGTTTCACAATCTTGCAATGCAGGCAAGTGACCACAATATAGTGTCGAGACTTGCCTTTTACGGGGTATTTTCTTAACAAATGGCCATATATAGTAGTTCCGTAATTCTGTACAGAGACGCTCCATATACGGCAGGATGCTATTGGTGGATGTAATGTGTTTGCCCTGCGACTTTCAATTGGTAGTCTGATGTGGAGGGGGAGGGTAAAGACGAGAGTTTGGCACAGGTGTTGCTCAATATTATTTATTAAACTGCTCATCCCATGATTTTCGATCCACGTCACCACGGGAACTTCAACTGCTGCCGTTTTTGGTTGATAATTCCCAATTTTCCATGGATCAGCTCATTCTAATAAACGTGTAAGCCGAGTGAAAATATCGTCGAATGGTTGTACAAAAACGGTGTACCCTCTTTGGTCGCAGACATCTTTTCGTGGCCAGATGGACATTGTTGCCAAATCAGGAAGCTTTATTCTTCACTCTTTAGGGGGTGGTATCTGTTTTGTATAAAAATGCGATGTAGAATTCATAAAAGCATACGGGGTGTTTTTTTTATTAGAAGCAAAGTGAGAGATTTGGCATTTAAGCAGTTTGATGGATGTAGCCTGTCCAACAACCGCCACGATGTTACTGCAGACGGTTGTGGTTGTGGTGCCGTTTTTCAAGTTGTACCGCTGCTCTCGTCGTTTCGGGCTTTTGTGTTGCATTGCTTTTCGCGCCGCATTCTGGGAGTTTGTTCACGAAACAGATTTGCAATTCCCGAAAGCTTCCAGCACGCCTCGGTAAACGATACCGCACTGTTGTGTTTACCAAAATGACCAAGCCCATTTGATCCTTTTTCGCGATTAAAAACGTGCAGAGCAAGTGATGGGGAGTCCTTTTTATCTACGGTTTTATTTCAACGGTTTAACTTAAATTGATTCCTGTGTCGTGGTCAAATCTTGTAGTCAAAATTTAGTTCACTTCCCGTTGTCTAATCAATTCCATATTTTGCACACGTGCTCCGATCCGGTGACAATGCATGCCTGTATCAAAACCGGCATCGATTAATCAATCAATTCGCTACTTTAAAGCAATTCACATTTTGTATGGACGCCACATTATTTATATATTTATTTGTGTAGGTCAAAAAACGCCGCGTGCCTCTAAACTCTCCAATCGCTTCGCCCAAGAAGCAGGTGGCACGTGTCTCAGGCGCGCGCCTGCTCTGTGTCGACGAGTTACTGGCACCCTCACTCCACACAAACAATAGTTGTACATTGAAGATTCATTTATAAAGTAATCAATGAATTCAAGTAAGCGTTGATGTGGGAGCAGGCGTCGCATCATTGACGTCCTTCTCGACCGTGAGTTTAAAATCGTTGAATTTTTTTAAGGAGTTTATTTTGTCCTTTGAAGCCAAACAGTTGCACGTACACACACACACACACGCTCGTATCAGTTACAGGATGATGTTGCAAAAAACGGAACCCAAGTTCACAGATTAGTTTGGCGGTCACTGCGATACAAACATTCAACGTAACACCATGGAGGTCTGTTCATCAACTGGGCAAAAAGTCCTCATCTAGATCTTGTTATTGCAGTCGGTTCCATTATATTGTATTTAGCATATCCCAAGATGGTGAGTGGTCATTTCTTAAACTTAAAACGTGAAAATCTAACGACAGCAGTCACCCAACTAGTCACCTGAGAAATCCGCAAAGCGTGCGAACAACTTCACCCAATTTGAAGTAACAAATATGGGGAGAAGGTAGACTGGGTGTTTAAGGTTAGCGATTTGTCGTATTATCTAGCTGTATAGCACATGAAAAAAATACAATTACTATGTAATTTAAAAAAATGTGTGTTTTAACATTTGTGATTTATTTATTTAGGGGCCCCTTTATAACATATGCTACAGGCCCTGCACTAGCTTAATCCGGCACCGTGTAACACATTCCTGCGGAGGGAGCTGGTAGGAACGTTGGGTTGCTCGGTCAATGGCCAGGGTCAACGGCGGCGTGGTGTATTCCGCAAATATGGCCGACTGTGAGGGCGGGCACAAGCCGGCGTGAGTAGGTTAAACGTTGAGTTTTATAAGGGCAGCACGGGGTGACCAGCCCCTCCCCACTCAGCCCCTCCCCTCCCATCCCCCACCCAGCCCCACCCTCCCCTCCCCACCCAGCCCCTCCCCACCCTCCCCACCCAGCTCCTCCCAACCCTCCCCTCCCCACCCAGCCCCTCCCCACCCAGCCCCACCCTCCCCTCCCCACTCAGCCCCTCCCCACCCAGCCCCTCCCTGCACGACGGACGGACACAATAATCCCCTGTGGGCTTGTGTAACCAGGAGGTTCCTACCAGTATAATTGTCATTCTGTCGCATATTCATGTCATCCTGTGACAGCACTACAGGGCAGAGGTCGCAAACGGGTTTTGATTCCTTACCCGTACCCGGCCGCACCAGGGTCGCAAACGGGTACCCATACCCGGCCGTACCCGTACCCTACCCGGCCGGGTACGGGTAGGGTACGTGTATCGGGTACCTGATTGCGACCTCTGGGACGAAGCCATGTTGCAGGCTCGTGTGGGTTGATTCTAGGAACTTGAATTGTGAGAAGAGACAAAACGTTGGGAAATGAGTGACAAACGGTTACTCACCAGTGACTCACGGTCTACCCGTACCCGGCCGCACCAGGGTATCGGGTAGGGTACGGGTATCGGGTACCCGGTTGCGACCTCTGCTACAGGGCCAGATGTTTTGATTGTTGTGGCGTCGCACGAGCGCCATCCCCTGGGCGCTTTGGCCTTCTGCAGTGCCGAACGAAGCCACAAAGACCCCCCCCCCCCTTGTTGTTAAAGCCTTGAAGTAACTTCCGTTATTTCAAGTTCATTTATTAGGTATAGCCCTGTGAGCCATTCGGCTCTTGAATCGGGTGCAACCGCAACAAACAAAAAAACATGAACAAAAAACATCTTAAAGTGAATATGTGACTAAGTGCAAACAGAAAATCCAAGAAAAGACAGCAAAATATTGCAGAAAAAAACACCGTACACCAACGCTGTGTGCAAAAATCCCAGTGGGATGCAAGTCAAACAACAACAGCCACAAGACAACTTAGATTAAGGCCATCAGTCTAACTCTGTACTACAACAAACAAACATGGCTAAACCAATACACTTTTCGAAATCACCAAAATAAAGCCATGAAAGCAATGAAAAAGCAATCATAGGAACTGTGACGGAATTTTCACAATGGCATAAACAACATGTACTACCAAAACCCTGCAGCCATAGCTGGCTGCATGAGTCACTCCACAACAGCAGGAGCATCAATCGGAGTATTATAATTTTTCAATGCACCTTTAAGATCAGCACAGGTCATACTGTGTAGCGATCATCCGGAGCGAAACATTTGGGGGGCAACATTGACTGTTAGCTCGCAGTCCCTGTGAAGGCCCCCGTACGGCACAATGAGGGGGGTGGGTGGGTGGGTGGATGGGTTGGCCAGTACCACGCACGGCCGCATTTTGTCTCCACACACTTGCACCGAATAAACATTTTTTGAGACGGGGTTGACCTCGAGTGGTGGTTCTCAACCGGGAACAATATTCCCAGGCGGGTGCGTGAGGTGCTTTATGAATGTGCGAAATTATATCAGACATGATGAGAGAGTCATCGGTGAATAATCACGTACGAATCTGGCAATATAAAACGACGATAATTGTTGTATTCGTATGGTAGCCTAGGACGAAATAAAAGACATTTCTAAACTGCAGAAAAAACGAATTCAAGCGTCGGCTGGTATAAATAAAGTTGATCATTCGGCAACTTAAAAAAGTGCCCTTAAAAATCTGAGAAATGTATTAAGAAACATGAAACCCCACCCAGTCCTACAAAAAAAGGTAAGAACGTTGTTAGACAGCAGCGAATGGATTTTTACCCCTCTCAATTCACGTGAAGACAAGGGTGAGGTAAATGTGACACATTCATGAGCGAGACAGCCAACACAAGCACCTTGTACGGGACCTAAGCGATTAGCTCTTGTCTGTTGAAAGATTAAAACAAATGCCTCGGTCAACTTAGCACCACAAATGTACACACGCAAGCACCAACAAAGCCATAAGAAAAGCAAAGGTTAGAAATGACAATTGCACGAGAGAAAAAAATCCCATGAAAATACATATAAATACAAAAAAATTCAGTTTCAAGATCCAGGGTTCAAAAGTGTTGTTTCACTAACTGCTTAGCTTCGGTCCGAGAGCAGAGTTCATTGACGGCGTTAAGTCGCATTGCAGTCGATTGGGACAAAACAAATCAAGCATTGGTGGACAAAAAGGCAAGTTGGCAAAGTTGACAAAACTTCCAAATTGCAGAACCATCTGCAGATTGAAAATGGTTTCCAAAGGCAAATAAATAACATATATTGATCACGATACAAATTATACATCTATACACTTTTTTTTCCCCAGGTAAAGTCGACTGAGATACATAGCACTTTTTTAGAAGCGACCTGGCCACAAATGATAGCTCAACGAAGTGGCTTCTGAAAATCTATAGCGGCCAAATATACTCTAAACGCACGTGGATTCTAAATGTGGAGGGGGAAAAACCGGAGGAAAATCCACACGACCAAGGAGAGAGAGAGACTTACAAACTCTAAATATACAGCAGGCGTCAAAGTCGGGATCGAACCCACGACTGCCTGTATACCAGGCGAGGGAGTTAACATCTCACCACCGTGGTTATGCCTCCCTTCTCCGCTTTTCCTCCACTTAACCTGCCAGACAGATAAAAGCCTCCTCGCCGAAGCGAAACCTCTCGGGGCGCAGCTTTAAATTCACGGCACCGAGCGCCATTCGGTATCTGCCGTCACGTCATTTATCGAAGTGGATGAACGTCTTGCTGACAGCGGCGCATCCTAATAAAGCAATTAAAGAACGACAGAGATGCACATTATCAGAGTTATGTTTTTGTTTGCATTACCACTGCAGGTATTGTGGTCTATGCAAACATGACTCCTTGTAAAAAGGTGTCAGTTTTGTTGCCAGATAGAAGGGTAAAAAACCAATTATCATATTTTTACTGGCAAATGAGATTCCCATAGTGTAGATGCACGCACGTACATGAGCGCGCACGTGCATGTGCTGCTCCCACATTTCGCTGTATTGCCATCTCCTGGTTTGCCACGAGATGGGGGTACATCTAAACGTGGGACTCCACCTGCACGCGAGGTGGTGCGGTGTCGGGGAGGGCGATGTGGGCCGCGATAAGCGGTGGTGGGGGATGGAGTTGGAGCGGGAGAGATGGAGGGGGATGGAATGGAGGGGTCCATCACAGTCAAAAGGTTGCGTGTGGTGGAGTAACGAGAGGGTACTGCCACCTCTTCGAAGACGTCTGGCCAGCGGTGAGGAGGAGTAGGCCAAATACCTTCATGAAGAGGCTCGTCGGTCATCGGTGGTGTGAGCAAGCATCTCCGATTGGCACGGTTGGCTACGTACGGCGCGAAAGAAGTTAAACACACCTACTGTACATACAAGCATTATCTGAGTGTTTGCACCTTGGCCTGACAGGACTGGGCATGTCAATGATTCCCAGGTGTGTGTGGGGCACAGCTGTTTGGCTTTCATAACACGTGGAGAGGTTGACAATGAGATAAAGGCAATACATTTGGTACGGAGTGTAATTTAATCTGTACTATTCGCCATAGAACAATGGGCAACCTGCCATGTGGATGAGCAGACAATATGTTCCATGTGTCCTTTTTCATCACCCTGGTTTAATAAAGGATGCCAACAACGTTACGGAGTAAGAGTCAAGGCCGTAGCCATGGAGTCAACATTGATCTACATTTGAAAACTAATTTCCTGCTATTTCCTGCCTAAAATATAAAAAAAATTCACTAACACATGGGATGGATTTTTTTTACAATGTCTAATAGTGTTTTGTATTACATTGCTCTGTTTTTACTTTTTTACCAAGTACAACCATAAACACAATCATATAAACAGAAATCTATGCATTGACTTATATGAAGACAAGTCCAGATATTGTGGCCAAGGTTTAGCAAATTGTGTTATTTATTTACATAGCATAGCAATTATTATTACTTTTTTATATTTTTAGAGCAATATATTGGGGGGGGGGGGACATTTTAAGCATATTTGAATTTACTACCCAGCTTCGCCCAGGACTTGGATTTACCACGCCCGGCCGCCTTTGTCTCCCCAGTGGTGATGTTCACACACCACACCAGTTGAGGCTGAGTCGACCTAGGGAGGCCCAGGACCGGTTATAATGAGTGAAGAACAACAACAGATTTGTACTTCTAGATTTGAAGCTTTCGTGACTGCAAGGATTCATATTCTTAGGTTTTTTCGGTAAAGTCACGTAGGTAAAATTTTTTTTTATTAATAAAAGTAAAATAAAAATAAAATAAAAAATCACGTTTCGGAGGCAAACACAAGCTTCCGTCTTCAGGTGGTATTTTACTTTTATTAATTTAAATTTTTTACCTACGTGACTTTACCGAAAAAAAAACCTAAGAACAGATTTGTAATCCATTGCTGCACTTCGCCCTTCAAGCTCAGCGGGCACGGGGTGGGTGGGTGGGTGGGGGTGGCGGTCGCCGAATCCCACGGACGAGGCAACGTCGCCCCCTGGCGCTCGGTCCGCGTCGCACGCGCGCGTCGCCCCAATGACGAGAGGGCATTTGTTGAGTTGACATTGGACAGCAGCAAGCAGCAGCAGCATCACCATCATCATCATCAGCGCGCTCACTCGCAGCTTCACATCGCCGGGCCAAACACAATCACCACCACCGCCGCCGCCTTGATGACGCCCAGCAAACGACAACACGAGCTACTCCAACAACAACAACAACCACAGCAGCAGCGGCGGCGGCTGCAACAACAACGACAACCACAGCAAGAGGCCATGATGTCCAGGTCACTGCCGACGGCCACTCTGTGCGCACTGCTGCTGCTGCTCTGCCTGACGACAGAAGCAGCAGGAGCAGGGGCTAAGATGACAGCCAGCGAGAAGCGAGAGACCGGCGGCGGCGGAGACTGGAGACATCCCATTGGACCGGAAGATCAACAACAACAACAACATCATCATCATAATCATCACTATCAGCAGCAGCAGCAGCGGAACAGAGGGCCGGCTGAATTGATTCCAGCTCGACACATCAATAACAACAACAACAACGGCATCAGCATCAGCAGCAGCATCAACAACAACGGCATCATCAGCAGCAGCAGCAACAGCGGCATCAGCAGCAGCAGCCGCTGTGACAGGGACACGGACGTCTCCACGATGAGACGGCGAATAATCCGTCCGCAGGACTCGGTGGCTGCCGGGGCGCGTTTCGTGTCCGCGCCGCGGGGCGTGCGTCGATGGGGAGGATGCCTGGCCGCTTGCTGCTCGCACGCAGCCTGCTCGGTGGCTGTCCTCCAAGGAGCTCCAGGAGATGATGATGATGATGGTGGTGGTGATGATGGTGATGGTGATGATGGACCGGAGCTGAACTGCTACCTCTTCGATTGCCCGCGGGGAGATGATGGACGTGACGTTTGCTCGTTTTCAGCACACCAGGGGTACACGAGTTTTGTGCTGAACGGGAATGGCAGAGGTGGTGGTGGTGGTGCTGATGGTGATGATGGTGGTGATGAGAAGGAAGAGGTGGATCAGGAAGATGGGGAGCAGACGCGGGGGAGACATGTGGACGACGGCACTGTCGGTGCGGTGCCCTTCACAATTGTTCTGTGTTACGATTTGTATTTATTTACAATGACCAGCGTGGTGAAGTATGGTTACAACAACAACAACAGAAATACCCCCACGTGATTAAGGCCCTTCAACAAATTGTGGGATTGAGAATGGCCTTGAAATAATTGTTTTAATTACACCGTGTATGCTTTGTACGCTATCTAACACCACTGTTGTGTTTTCCAATTTGTATCGTGTTCCTAAATGCGGTGTTCGTCTGATGTACGCATGGCGAAATTCGACATCGCAGTGTTTGCTTAGCCGTGTGTATAATGTGGTGTACTTGCACCTTGGGCCATTTAAAGTAACGGTGTAGTTTGTTCGTCCGACGGTACAGGCTGGGACCTCAACGTGGAATTTCCTCCCATTCAACGAGGTAGAGCCACGATGAAGGCGCAGCCCCTGCAATGTCTCTACAGGAGCCTCCAACTACAAACGCTCATTGCCGGGTTAAGCTAGTGCGGGGCCTGTAGCATATGTTATAAAGAGGCCCTAAATAAATACAAACATAAAAAACATTTTTTACTTGCATAGTAAAGTACTATAATTGTATTTTTTTCATTTGCTATACAGCCAGATAATACGACAAAACGTTAACCTTAAACACCCAGTCGTCCGTAAAAGTTGAAGGCAGTATAGTACTATAGTAATAGAGCAAGTGCAGAATCATCGAACCGGAATTGATAGCTTGAAAGCATTTGGCGCGTGGGGGGCCCTTGAAAGTGCGGGGCCCGTAGCTACTACATGTGTAGCTGCTACATGTGTAGCTGCTACACATGTGTGCTACATGTGTAGCAGCTACGGGCCGCGCACTTTCAAGGGCCCCCACGCGCCAAATGCTTTCGAGCTATCAATTCCGGTTCGGTGATTCTGCACTTGCTCTATTACTATAGTACTATACCGCTACTGGGATAATCCGGCACTGCAAACGATGGGGGGCAGCTCCAAGGCAGCCGTTGCCCCCGGGCTTGACGCAAGTTTGACGCTGCCGACGAGAATACAACAACAACAACAAAAGAGAGAGACTTTTAAAGTTGCGGTCAAAGGCCCCTTTGTCATAGCGCGACTGTGACGTCGATGCACTTGACGCAGTTGCGTTGGGGCGATGACGTCGTGGGCGATGACGTCATAGGAGCTGCGATGACGTCACAGGAGCTGCAATGACGATCGTGATTTTTTTTTTTCTAAAAGTATATTTTTTTGTTTAAAGCAAGGTCACGCAATTGACCCCCGTGACCGACACGGCGCGGGGAGGCCTTCATCCAGTAGTGGATGGATCAAGGGCTTCTTGACATTTAGTTATTAACACGACCAGTTTTTGTTGTTGTGGATTTGCTGTGGGATGTATGTGATTGTGACCGGTGATTGTGCGACCCAATGGTGATCGTGATTGTGACAGGTGATTGTGTGCCCACGGGTGATCGGAGAGCGGTGGCGAAGCGGTTCGCGCGCTGCGCTACGAACCCGGTGACCCGTTCCAGGGCCTAACCTAGGTCGACTCAGCCTCAAATAAGTACCTGGTGCGGTGTGTAAACATCGCCACTGGGGAAACAAAGGCGGTCGGGGGTGGTGCTGGCCACCCACTCGTGTGCGTACGGTGCAGGCATTCATAGGTGCTCGCTAACAGCACTTGCCCCAACAGTCTGTTAAGGCTACACGGGGGATATTTGTCTCTTTTTCTATGGGTGATTGCGTGTACTTTTGTGCCCATGAGTGATTGTGTGTGATATATAATGTCCCCTTATGTGATTGTGTCTGATCAGGTGTGCCATGAGTGATTTTGTGCCGCAGTGTGGAATTGCGTGTGATCGTGAATCGAGTGATCGTGTGTCTGTGATTGTGTGGACCGTGTCTGATTGTGTGCCTGTGATTGTGTGCCTGTGATTGTGTGCGGATGTGTGGCAGCGTGTGCCCACTTGCATTCACGTGGAGGGTGGGTGTCCTATCCCCTGTGCCAGATAAAGACAAGCCACCGCAGGCCCAGGCGGGCGCCGACGTGATGCTTCGCGTGCCCGAGAGCGACGCCACCCTGAGCGGACTGGGCAGCGTGGACGACCACGGCATCACGGCGTACCGCTGGAGGCTGCTCAGTGGAGATCCCTCCCTGCAGATGGCGGTCCGCACATGCCACCCACACGCAAACTACGGTCACCCTCGCAGCAGCGGCGGCGGCGGCTTTTGGCTCGCCGTCGAACAAAGACGGTCACTGCATCGTGCGCTTTCAGATGCGCTTCTGGAACGCTCTTTCTTCCGATATTAGGAAGCCACTCATTTCTTTAAAAGTGTTTTTTGTATTTAGTTTGTTGTCCTTCCCCCGCACCTCCGATTAGCACGGTTGGCTACATATGGTGCGAAGGAAGTTCAACATATATACATACGCCGGCCAAATGACTGGCATAATCAAAAGGCCCAAATTACCAAGTGGGTCAACTACAACACGCTTAAAGTTGTAATGGATAAGGGTTAAGTGTTCTAGAGTTTACCAGAACAAAAATATTAATATTCACAACCCCCATGCTTTTTATCATGGATGTTGGCTATCAACAACAAGGCAACTCCTATGACTAATTGGGCATGGGACGCAAGCGTAGGATTGATCACCCTGTCGCTGGCCGCCTTTGGGGAGGGTGTATAGTGTGAAAGGCCGAAACACCCTAAGAACCAAAGGTACACTACTGACGATGCGCTCCTCAAATTTCACCAGGCTCACTGTTCATGAACTCTTGGAAGTGCTTGCACAAAGGATAGTAACATCTCATCCTGTGTTCTTGGAATCAATGTATGTATGTACGTTGAACTTCTTTCGTACACAGTCAACCACCCTGGACCATACGGGATACGTGCTTAAAGGAAAGGAGGTAGACTTTAAAAAAACATGGGACCCATTCCTGAACAACTCACTTTACAATCAGAATCTTTATTTAGACTGGAGGAAACCGATGAGCTAATGAAGTTACTTAAACTGTCCTCATGTCTGAAACCCTCATGCCCTGTATGACCAGGACACACGCTGTAGAATATACCATGTGTCAGAAATGTGAATTTAAAAAAATCTATCTCCGTATTGGCACCGTTGCAAGAACGTACAATATCGTCGCTGCCTTGTGCGTTACGATGGTTCGTGTTGTGCAGAGCTCGGAAGATGGACAGCTGAAGCTGTCTGGCCTCAGGGAGGGTGTGTACGTGATGCGTCTCACCGTCACGGACACGGCAAACCAGCAGGGATCGGACGAAGTTACCATCACCGTGCTCCCCTCGCCCGCCCACACGGACGTGCCTTCGCACGATCCGCCCCAGCCTGCGTTGCCTGCCAAAGCACCTACAGGTCCAGTAGAAGCCGGATATTATCATGCCGTATATATGCACTGGGGTCGCCCAGAGAGGCCGGTGTCAGAGCAGGCAATTTGCTCCCCAGTCATACACAACTGGCCTGTTCTTTTTGTCGCTAACGAAGAAGGAGGCCCCACACAGCAGTCTGCGCAAGGCCTCCAGCCCCAGGCCTCCTGGAATCTCTGGGCTGGGCTACAGAGAGCCCCATTTCATTCTTTGCACCAGGGCCGGATGCCAACCACGCTATGCCATCGCCGTGTGTTGTTCGGCATGAGATGATGTCCGGCGTTTTGTTCCACGTACTGGGAGCTTCTTCAGGAGCTCAATTCAACGTAGCGAAACTTTGGACATCATGCCGAACAACACACTGCACAGCCCGAAAATACTTCAGATATAAGCACACACGTGGCCTTGCTCCCAAGGGGTGTGTGCTTCTACTTAACAGTAATCGTCGGGTCGTATTGGCTATGGTATGGTATTGACAAGGTTGAAGGCACTGTCGCTTAATTGACTGCCTTGCCGGTGTGTACAATGTGTGACATCATTGCGCTCATGGCAACTAAGTGCAGCTCGGTGCATTTGTTTCCCTCCTGTATCAAAGGTCATGGGGCTCTCAGTGTTTACCAAAGCCACTGAATGGGGCCTTTGCAACCCGATGTGCGCCTTCACCTGGCAGTCAGGTCGTAGGTCGCATGCTGTACGTGTGCCCCCCCCCCTCCCTAACAAAGATTATTGGACGTGACAAAAGGGCACTGTCATCTGCAGCTGGCCTGGTGTACACCAATGCAGAAAATACTGAACGTTTACAGCCCTTTGTCAGTTCAATAGTGGGTGGTCTCTCCACACCATGCCAGTCATGTTTGTTGTTTCTATGTATGTTGAGCTCTTTGTTGCACCGTACGTAGCCAATCGTGCGAAACGCCATACTAATGACCATACTTCCCCACACTGGTCAGTGTGGGTTGGTGAAGGCAGGCGGGCCCGGGACCGGTTCAGATGTCACCTGCGACATTGACGTGAGCTGCGGCCGGCAATCGAACTCAAGATTGTCGGGTGCTAAACACAATTCCGACAGACGTATGTACAATTATTACTATTTTAAACCCACAGTTGAAACCTTCAACCTGCACTGACGGATTTGGTGAAGTATGGTCAAGCAACCCCCATGACTGATACGGCATGCATGGGGAGGCCTTCATCCAGCAGTGGGTTGACAGAGGGCTATAATTTACATTGAACTATTTTAAGAAAATAGCGAAAATGTCCAGCATCTGTTTTCATACTCTTTGGTTTTGTCCTCAATTGTCTCCAGTGGCCCAAGATGTGCACAACATCTCGGAGAAGATGTATCAGCAGCCCTTCCAAGCGCAGCAGCCTCTCTCCAGTAAGCCGAGCAGCATTCACTCAGCTGTTGGCCCAGTCAGCACCGCTTAGGTGTAAGCACATGGTAGCCAAACCGAGGTAACATAATTAACGTGGATGATGGCTGTTTGTTTATATTTTGTAGAGCGCCTCCACTCAAGCCACTGAAAAAACGGTGACAATACAATCATTTTTAGATGTATCTTTTTCCTCTCGAGACCGGGAGATCGCTGATCGATGTTCGGTTGCCGGGTTGCTGGCATTCGCCGTGATTTCTCACTTAGCAGAGTGGGCCACGTGAAGGCTGCCATTTTCCACTCAGAAATGTTTTGATGGCAGGGGCGTACCAGGATTGAGGATTGAGCGACAGCAGTAGAGGGTAGGGGAGGGACGGGAAGGAGTGGAGGGGCTTAGAATGGAATTACACTCAAAATGTCCACACAGATGGGTTACAAACCCGGTTTGAATCTATAATGCCATCTCATGAGCACCTCCTACCGTGGTGGGGGTGTGGGGGTGCTGGAGGGGACTAAACGCCCCCCCTGCAGAAGGCTCAGCGCCCCCCCCCCGCCTCCCACCTACTTCTAACTTCCCTTAGACAAGGCTTTGAGGCCTTCCCTAGTCTACACAGGGGTAGAGAGCTCGAGCAGAATGCACGACTCAAGGTGATCATTACCCATTAACGTTTCATTTAGAGTTCATGCCCTCTTGAGTTTTTGTATCGCCCCCCCCCCCCCAACTTTAAACAAGGGCACCACTGCAGGGTTGGCAGCAAATGTACGCGATCCACCCCCAACCGTTGCCTCCCAAGTGCTGGATTACAGACGTGTGTGTGTGTGTATGTGCCACCATCCCGCCGGATCTAACGCGGTCCTCATCGGAAGCGAGAGTTTTGTGACGCGAGAATCTGGTCACCTGGAACTGCAACGGCCGACAAAGAACTGCGCGTGGGTTTGTACTTCGTTCGAATTATCACAGATGTGAGACATTCATAGATAATTATCGCTGGGTAGACAGGGCAGAGTTCTTTCGCTGAATTTGTATTGCAGCGCAGAGCGGTTTTGTCTTTTGTGGTGTAATTCACAGTGATCTATGTGCGTGTGTGTTGTGCGTATTGCAGTTCACACTAACCCCGGTGCCACGCAGAAGCAAGTGGATGCTGTTTATGTCGCACCAGAGTCTAGTAAGTTCAACTTTTGGAACACTCATTACATACGGTTCAGTAGTGCTGACGAGTGAATCGGTGAGTGAAGTTCGTGGGAGCCTGTAACCGTTATAATAACGATAGAAGAGTAATATGGAGGTGACTGAATGCTGGTGAGCTAGTGACAGGAGTGAATCAATGGCTGATGAAGTTAATTGGAGCTGTAACCATGTTAATAGTGATAGGAGAGTAATGTGACTCGCTGTGCGTGTGTGGGTCTGTGAGGAGCGGTGGCGCAGCGGTTAGCACGCTGCGCTACGAACCTGGCGAGCCGAGTTCGATTCCCACTCGTGGCCAACACCAGTGACGATCATCTGAGTCGGGAGGCAAAGGTGGCCGGGCGTGGTGCTGGCCACCCACCCCCTCGTCTGCTATGGCCAGCCTTCATAGGTGCTGCTTGCTAACAGCACTTGCCCCAGCAGTCTATGTGAAGGCTATACGGGGGATCTTTGTCTTTGTGTGAGCAGGTGCGGTGCTGCCACTGGCGCTGGGCCTCGCCGTGACGGTGCTGCTTCTCGTGATGCTGGGCGGCCGATTCTTCGTCGCTCGGAAGCGGCTCAAGAAAGGACGACCGCTCGTGTCCGAAGAGTCGGACTATCTCATCAACGGCATGTACCTCTGACGGCGCGCGCACGTCTCTCGCATCGCCCGCCCTCCTCACACGTCAACTAGTTTTTTCCGCTTTTGTGTTTTGTGTCAGGGTTTTCGTTGTTGTTTTGTTCGTTGTAGCAGTTTCTGTTTTGAATCACTTAAATTGTACGCGTTAAATTGCGACCTCCCGCTGCATCGTGTGTGAGCCGCGGTCTAGCATGCCTAAAGCACCAGGCAACTGGGTCAGTAATTCCCACCGGTTTGATCCGTAATCCCCAACAGCATAGCTACAATAGCAGAATTGTTATTTCCTTAACCAGGCTATAGGGCTTTAACTCAAAGGGTGTGCGCGTCGGCAAATTGGGGGTGAGAGACAGCGCATTGGATCGGCGAACGATATCAGTTGGGAAACTCGCAACGCATTGCATAGAATCGCCGGAGAATCCATGAATGCAGATTCGTATATACATATTGTGTGCCGTGGTGTTCACGTGACCCCCAGAAAGCCACTGGAGGCCGCTACAGTCACCACATTGTTTAGAGAGGAGAACCGATTATAGTAGTAGGGTTTTACCTGTTAAACTGGTACAAAACTGTCAGGGTTAAAACCTACGACTATATTTTGCCACTGGTTAAGGAGGTCTCATAGAGGAGATCCGATTGTTGAGTCGAAATGCGTTCCCCGGATCGTCACAATTTCATCGGATTACCGGCAGGGGCAATCGTTACATCCCTAGGTCAAGGCCGCCCAGAGTGGCGGTGGGGGGGGGGGGGCAGATTTCCCCAGGCCTCAGCCAAAAAAGAGCCCACAACGGGGGGGGGGGGGGGGGGGGGGCGGTCCATGTGGCATATTTCCCTCGGCCTCTCGCCCCGGGCCTCTGTGGCTTCCACCAGGCTCACTGTTCATGAACTCTTGGAAGTGCTTGCACAAAGGATAGTAACATCTCATCCTGTGTTCTTTGGAATCTGGGTGACCGTGTCCCGAGCGTATCTTTGAGGAGCTCTCGTTTATACCCCCACTGCTTTGTCAGCACCGCACTTGGTACTCCGCACAGGTTTTTAGCGTGAAGCAGGTCTATCGCTGGGGAGATTTCACCACCTCACCGGGCCATGTCTAGGCACGTGTGTATCCGAATAAACGAGCACTGAATTGCGTCCCTCATGTGGAAATTAACGGTTATAAGTGTGCAAAGGAACTTATCAATTTAATTGAAAATAATACTTTAAAACAAAGCAAAAAAAACCTTGAAAGTCCTGGGATTCTGAGTGGACGATTTTGTAACTGGTGGGCTCGGTCGGACCTGGCAGCAAAGGTACCTGGTGGCAGGGTTTTTTCATGCATCGTTTGTGAACATGAACAATGGTGTTTGTGATTGCGTTGCCACCAGCAGCCTTGTATGCTCTCGGCGATTTGCACTGGTCAACAAAAAAAAACATTTTTTCTGGACTGGACTTTTGCAGCTGTTTTAGACTAATTTCAGGGTGCTAATTCCAAATCTGATCTCAGATTTGCTCCATCGCATCTCATTTTTATGCTATCGGCATACCCCATTTTCATTGATTTTACCCGAAATTAACACTGTCACTTATGATTGCAAGTTGTTGCGAGTCAGTGACTGCTTTAGTGTTAAAATATGGTGCTGTATGTTTAGGATAGTGTGTTTATAATATCATTTTATGTAGATATCCACATTTATTTAATATTTTTCTTCTGCAGTTTTTATTGAAAATGCAATATTTGATATCTCAAAAACCTGATGTTATAGACAAAAACTGATGCCAGATTTGGAATCAGCACCCCAAAATTACCTTAAAACCGTTGGAATACCTTATGCCAGAAAAAGTGTGTTGACCAGTGTTATTTATCACAAGATACGTGGCATGCTCCCTCTCGCCGCCTGACTTCTCCAAGTTCCCGTAACATTGCTCGAGTCCAGACAGAGGTAGATTCATCCCTGCCGTGGCATCATTAGTGTTCTTCGTTGCAGGCTGCTTTGCATGATAAGCCTGTGATCAAACTTAACTTTTTTCTATTCGACTGGGTGATATATAAAAACATATATATATTCAGCTCTCGAAGGTATTTAGTCTACTCTTCCACAGTGGCCAGATGTCTTGGAGGAGGTGTGAGTACCCACACTTTACCCCACCACACACAACCTGTCAACTAACTAACAGTCTGGCTGGACACCACGGCCGCGACTGGGGAAAATAAGAATCATTTTTATTTCGCTTCGTGGCACTGGTACCTGGGCATTCATTTTCACGTGACCTCATTTCTTGAGCTTACCAGGGATGTAACAACGCATAGATTAGACTATCTTGTACATAACGAGTTCACGTGAACCCTGACGCTAACTAGAAACCGCTACATTCAATGAAGCGGGGAAAAAAAAAATACTCGACTCTTGAATCGAAGTGTGACCTCAAATCGCGACAATTCGCCACCTTGGCAGAGGGTAGGAGGAATCCTTATGAACGATCCTGGCCCTGGAACGTGTGGTGCTGTGGCTCCTTCTATGCCATCAGTGTCGACGGGGACTCAGTTGCTGTGAATGCCAAAGCTTGAAAGGACAGGTCTCCTGATCCGCGGAGGTATTCGGGGTTGTGCTCTACAGCTCTCCGTTGTGTCTTCGGGTTGTACCGCGCGTTTTGCCCGGCACGATGTCTGACTCTCGGCATGTGGAGCCAAATGTAATGTCGCACATCGTGCCGAACAGCACGAGGTACGACAGCTGCTGTGCAGACTCGAGAAACTGCCGTCAGTAAAGTTGCTCAGTCGATCTGTGCAGCTTCAGGGCTGAGTGGGAAGACACGCATTTCTAAAAGTGTATTTTAATGGAGTGGAAAGTCTCTTTTTCTCCTCTATTAACACCAGAACCAAAGTTTGCGAACTGAACTCCGTGTTTGATAAAGCTGCTGCGTTAATGCACTTAAAAAGTTGGGGTATAGACGATATGTGTTTTTATACGTATAATTTATAATGTAAATCGCAAGCATATCAATGCATTACAATTTCTAAGAATGCATTTCCTAACGTCGATCTACAGTTGGGTAAATTGTTCGACCACAAAATGTTGGCAACTTGTATCGAGAATGGCAAGACGAAAAATCAACGGTTTTGAAATGAGTTGTTGTAGGACGCTAAGTTACTTCAATCAATCCAAGGAGGCAGCGGTAGTCACTGTGTGGATCGCAGCGACACCGCCAGGATGTTGCATGGATGGCGCGTTCGTCGGTCATGCGTTGTTTGATCGTTTTGACTTCACCGCAGTCGCAGTTCGGCGATTCTTTCAACATCCGTTTGTCGAAGGTGTACGCGCGTCTCCCAGTTGTATGTACGCCTGTTGAAATTCTTTCGCACCGTACGTAGCCAACCGTGCTAATCAGAGGTGCGGGAGGACAACAAACTAAACACAATAAGCAGTTCTAAAGAAATTCGTTTTCAAACGAGATGATTTAAAAGTGCATAGCTCCCAGTGGCTTCCTAATATCGGAAGGAAGAGCGTTCCAGACGGCCACAGAAGCGCATCCGAACGCGTGCGATGTGGCGACCAGTCTTTGTTCCGTGGCTTATCCAAAAAAGCTGCTGCTGCTGCGGCGAGGGCGAGAATGAAGCTGCGTTCGAGTGTTGTTCAGCGCGGTCCACAAGTTAAATTTCGATTTAAAGCTTTCGTGACTGCAGGGATTCATCTTCTTGGTTTTTTCGGTAGAGTCACGTGACCATACCGAATGAACCAAGAAGATGGGTCCACAAGTTGCCGCGAGACACAAGAGAGAGACGGTACCGGGCGCAGTCGGCTCCTCGATGAGGCTTTTTCGTTTTGTCACGTCGCCGAGTATCGAGGTGTACTCTTTGTTTTTTTCGGTAAAGTCACGTGGGTAAATTTTTTTAATGAATTAAATCACGACGTTTCGGGCGCAACACAAGCATCCTTCTTCAGGTGGGGACAACTTAGTGAAAGCACAACCGCTTAAGTGTTAAGCGGTGTGCTTTCGCTTGTGTTGCGCCCGAAACGTCGTGATTTAATTTATTATTTTTTTTGCCTACGTGACTTTATCGAAAAAACCAAAGAGTATGAATCCTTGCAGTCACGGAAACTTCAAATCTAGAATGTCGAGGTGTAGACAACGCCGACGCCGCAGCATACGATGCAAACTCTACTCAACTCAGTCGGGGGAGGGGAGGGGGGGGAGGTCCTCAGATATTTTTTGCCGAATAATTTTAGATGTTTCGCGTGCTTTTGGTTTGCAGTATCATAATCATCATTATCAGGCTATAGCGGTTTAACTCAAAGTGTTCGTCGTTAAACCCAGTGCTCCTCGTTGCGTCGGCACGACGGGTAATTAAATTGCAAATGTCATGCGTTAATTTAAAATACATTAGGGACGGTATATGATAGGTTGAAGCGGGTTACAGGAGAGAGTGGAATATACGCTCATGTATTTTTTTTTATAACAAAGTGAATATTTGTTGGAGAGTACAGCCTCATAATGTCAGTGTTTAAGGTATTTTGTTGATAACACTTTTACATGACATCTTCGCTCAATTCTGTTCATCAAAGGGGGAAGTGACACATGCATATTCTGCCATCAGTTCGTTGAAATACTTCATTCATTATCGGGCTGGGTTTTTTCATTTAACCTGTATTGGCCTTGAAATCGAGACATATGCACGAAGCGATATAAGGTAACATGCACGCGCACTGCCTACAGCTGAAGGTGTAGATATACTGAAGTGCAGTTGATGATTTACCAATTAAAATGCCCGTATACAATGATGAATGTCATCAAGCAAAGAACATCTCAATTTGCGTCAACGTGTCTTCAAAACTTACGTGTTATAACAAATTTGCTATTTATTGCGTGTGTAATGTCTTATTTAATATTTATTAATACCCAAATAATAATAAAAAAAGCGCGTACAAATGGTACGTGTCCAATTCAGACTGTATAGTTGCATACTTCCATTAAAATGTATTTGGTGTATTGTGTCCCTCGTCATTTAACACAAAACATTCTATTAACTCGCACGTTTGATTTTTCTGCTGCTCGTTGGCACACATGCCATTGCATGACAACAGATATGCACTGTTCACAGAAGAGTTGGAAGACAGAAGGTCGAGATACGATTGTATTCTCACATGCGAGATAGGAGATGTATCGAAATGATTCTAAATATATTTAGAGAAGATGGCAGAGGTGCAATGAATTCGAAGAGATGTACAGAAGTACAAGCAAGTGGATCTCGGAATCTTGACTTATCCTGGATAAATCCCATGAGCTATTGAAGTATATTCTTAGGTTTTTTCGGTAAAGTCACGTAGGTAAAAAATTTAAATTAATTAAAATAAAATAAAAAATCACGACGTTTCGATAGCTGCATCTTACTTGATACAGCTATCGTGCTGTGACGGTTCCACCTGAAGACGGAAGCTTGTGTTGCCTCCGAAACGTCGTGATTTTTATTTTATTTTTATTAATTCTAACTTTTTTACCTACGTGACTTTACCGAAAAAAACCTAAGAATATGAATCCTTACAGTCACGAAAGCTTCAAATCTAGAGCTATTGAAGCTCTTCTTCGCAGATGTCCAGCAGGGGCACGTGATCAGAAAGTTATCTGCAGCAGTACCGCACAGGACAGCACTTATTGGCATCATTTTTAGCCAAGAACTCCACCCCCCACCTTCCAGAGATGATATTCCCCGTGATCAGGGGTCGGCATCCTGAGAATCTTTTAGGGACTGGCCTGGTGACGTCATTTATTAACACCAGTCTCGTATTCACCACAGTGCATAGCGGTTCTTGAAATATTGAGGGTTTTTTTAAAAACCAAATTAGAAAATGATTGCGCTTCTTGTTGTTATGATTGCCGACTCCTGGCCATGACCCAAACCTCCATCGTGTCACATGACCACAAACGCTGCAGGGTAGTAAGATGGGCCATCTAAAAAAACGATTTCAAATGCGCGGCTCCGGTTTTTAATTGGTTTCCCTCGAGGCCCGCGGCCTGCTCGTGACATTGCAATGCACACAAGAGGGCAACGGACATTGTTAATATTTTATTACTGCAGCAGCACATTGTAAAAAAAACAACACGTAGACACCAAAACCAAATTGACCCTCGTGAAGTATGGTCAAACAACCCCGCCCTCCCCCCATAACTGACAGCGGTAAAGGTGCAACGTTAAACCTAAGTGCTTGTATACCATTATAACAATTCCAAGTGTTTATGCTAACCAGCAATGGATGTCCCATCAACAAGCAGGCGATATATAACTCAACTGATACAAATACATATTTAACAGGTCCCTGCGGGGTGGGCTGGTAGGAACGAACAAATGAATGGCTATAATAAAATGAAATGGCGGGGGTACGATACGAAGGGAGAGTTTGAGGCCTAGTTCTAGGCTTTAGGCCTAGCTGTAGGCTTTAGGCCGCTGTGAGTTAATTTTTGATTTTAATTTTTTTATTAAAAACTATCTCAGGGAATTATAAGGGAATGTTACACTTGTTTAGCCAGGAAAGCCTCACTGAGTCTGCAGGTTTTGTTAGGGTCCTGCCAAGTGTTTGCAGTAGGGGGCGATGTTGCTACACCTAATCGGACATCGGACGGACGGACGATATAATCTATTGTAGGCTGGTTCACTTCGGTCCTACCAGTAAAATGTTGAGCCCATAACAGTTGATTGGCAGGTCACATGCGGTGGGGGTACAATGTGCGTATTCCCCACGCCTTCGAACACGTCCAGCCAGTTTGGAAGGGTTTGTTAAAAAAAAAAAAAGATCCTCTGGATGGGCTCCATGGAGTTGCCTCGAGTGGAGGCCCTTCTGCCAGCAGTGGCACGAGAAAATAATTTGCAGTGCTGCTCCTTTGTCATTTATAGCGTTGCAGATTGATACATCACAACGTGCAGAGCACGCATTTTTTTTTTGCTGAGCCACCGCAGAAAAAAATGGTAATCATACACCCCTCACGATACACACATTATACAATGAAGCAATCACGCCATTGAACCCTGTGGCACATGCCGAGCTCATCAGCTTCACTGTCGGGCAAATCAGGCCGAGCACACAGCTGTATTTGTGGGTGGATAGTGTTGTCACTGCAAGCCCGATACAGCTTAACCAATTTTTCAATTTAAAGCTTTCGTGACTGCAGGGATTCATCTTCTTGGTTCTTTCGGTAAAGTCACGTAGAAGGGAAATAATAAAATAATAAAAATAAAACATAATAAAATAATTCTCACGACGTTTTGGCCACAACGCAAGCAGCCGTCTTCAAATGGAGAACAGGTCTGTCGAGAAGGCAGCGTCTGCGGCGTGCCATTCAGACTCTGCCTTCTCGACAGACCTGTTCTCCACCTGAAGACGGCTGCTTGCGTTGTGGCCGAAACGTCGTGAGAATTATTTTATTATGTTTTATTTTTATTATTTTATTATTTCCATTCTACGTGACTTTACCGAAAGAACCAAGAATATGAATCCCTGCAGTCACGAAAGCTTTAAATCAAAATTTAATTGAGAGTTGTTCATGAATAGGGTGATAACCCACAGCATCTCATTGTCCAGCTCTCCAATGTGTTTTCAGACTGTACCGCAAACATCATTCGGCACAAGGTCTGACGTTTCACTCAACGTGCTTGGAGCAACTTTGCACGCGCTGGGAGCTTCATAGGATACGGGAGCAGAACGTCGGACATCATGCAAAGCAAACACGCATGTACAACCCAAAAACAAATTGGACAACTATGTAGGACAACAGTGAAGACCGACGCAAAGTTTGTTGCGAGTAGGCAGATCTCTCGCTGACCATGTGTGGGGGAGATGGTCAACAGTGAATTGCAAAGTTCCAATGAAGCTAGCATGGGTTATATTTACATTTATGGGTCATCAAACAATTTATCCCTCAATTATCCTTCCATGTCACCTCTGACATTAGTTTTATTTAATGCATGATGAAAACTGGCATTTAGCATGCTGCTTTGAAAAACCCAACTCACTGGATCATGTATCGAACAATGCCGCAAAACTTGACTGCCTCTTGTAAAAAATGCAAAGGTATAATGATTATATAAATTTTCCTTTTGTGACGTCTACATTTAAGACTGTGATATTATTCAGTCATTTGCTACATGCAATGTAAATATAGTATATTTTAGGAAACAGTACAACAATTGTGCATATTTTAGGATTTAATGTAAACAAAATCAATAACAGCAAGAGACGTACCTAAATCAAAAATAATTTTCACATGTTAATGGGTTTAGATGCCATTAGTATCTACGTATTTTAAAGTATTATCTTTGTTGGGAAAAATATCTGGGTTTGGAAGCGTAATTTCACACACCATACGTATTATACTCGTGGTAAATATTTCCTTTGCCGTGCTGAGATGAAACCCACAATACGAGTGGCACATCAAACAGGTGAATTGGTGTCAGGACAATGTATGGAAAAGTCTGGCTGCTCCTGTTGCAGTTATTTTTCAGTTAAGTACACCCAAAGCGAGATTATTTTAAAAACAATTGTGCACTCTCTCGCCTACTTCAGCATTTTATTGCTGTGGTTGTTCCACCTGATGAAGATTGCTTGTGTTGCGATCGAAACGTCGTGATTTGTTTAATTTAATTTCTACCTACGTGACTTTACCGAAAGAACCAAAGAGTATAGATTCCCGCAGTCACGAAAGCTTCAAATCAAGAATGTTCATCACACCACAGTCAAACGGATTCTTATTTCCCAGGGCTGGAATCAAAGTGCAGAAACCAAAGTTAATGTTTTGTATTTTTTCGTGCCATCATTGCCCATCAGGCTGAGACAATGCACTCACTGCACCTGAAGGTGGCTGTGATTAAATGGCCAACGAACTAAGACTAAAACTATCTCTGATTAAAGTTGCAAGCGTGTAGTGTGTTTGTTTACCATCCATCCATCCAAGGTTCTGAATATATAAATAAAAAACTTATCCTGGCTCTGTTACTTCACCCACCTACAAAGCATTCTAGAAAACACAACTACAATAACGATTTGCTCGAATGCATTCACACCAAGAATGAGTTTCGAGGCAGCACTCAGTCGATTTGGACAGATCCCGTGTGGTGGGGTAAAGTGTGGGTCCTCCACACATCTTCCAAGCAGGCTGGCCAGCGTGGAAGAGGAGACCAACCATACTCTTGAGAGCCCTCTTGAGCGGATTCCCTTCAACCAGCAGTGGTTCGAGCAAGCAATTGCGATGAGATGTGTTTAGATTCTTTACTTGTATATCGCAGTTCTTAATCTACATCGTTACATGATCTAAGCCATCACTGTGTTAGTAATAATTAACGTCGTTAAACCCATGTTATCTTTACTGTGAAAGTTTTGGAGGTGTAAATACCTTGCCACGTTTGTGTCACCACAGCCAACTGTGACTGATGCCAGCCACCACCACTTAACAGTTTCACCCACCCGCTCCACAAAGTTAAATCTCACCACGGTGATATATTACAAAAGCCCGGCCTTCCGTTTATCCGTCAACTAAATGATGAGAGCCTTCCAGAAGGCCCGAATCAAAAGGTTATAGAAAGTGGACACCCCCTCCCCCCGGATGTGGGGGTAAAAAGTTGATCCAAAAGGTTTCAAAAAATTGACCCCCCAAAAAAATGTGTTTCACCCCACCCCCACCAAAAAAACATTTTGTAGGCCTCTATGCCTACACATCCTACATACAATAGAGTCGAGATTTATTTTGTCGGCATTTATGTCAACATGTGTCTGTCAACTCCCCCCCACCACCACTGATGTTCAGACGTCTCAGTTTGACTGCTCGGTTTGGTTTGGTCAAGGCTGGTGGTAAACAGGCGCGTAAAATACCAACACAGACATTTGAATGTTGTACAATTTCCATTTGCATCTAATGATGAACATTGAGGTACAACCCAGTAGTATCTGCACACATGGGGCGGGAGGGAAGAGGACATCAGTGGGGCGACGGGCGAGGCGTGAAGAGCCGAGAAGCCCTTTGCAGGAGCTAGAATTCGATATTTGTATTTTTATTATGTCCACCCATAATCATATTTTACTGTCAAGGTTTGGGGTGTGTCACTCACCGACTGAACATCACATAACACGTTAAACCCGACTACGAGAGCAACGATTCGTGGCGCTATAACATAATAGAGCAAAAACATCAGTTTGGACTACGCATCAATCACCAATGAGCTGCTATTGAAATTGGCACTTGGAAAGATATTGGATGCGTTCGCACAGAGCTTTCATCGAAAATCTCACCACAACACCCTCGCCACACGCAGCACTTGCCCCTTGTCAATTGACGACGGGCAAGTGCCGTTTGCTCAATGGTGGTGAAAGTTAAAATGTGTCTTCTTATTGCGGGGCGCGTCTGCGTTGGGCATCACAGCCAAACGTCAGCCCACCTCTGGACTTTCGCCGTCGTCTTCCGTGCCACCCCCCCCCCCCCCCCCCCCCACATTTGAGACGTGGGGTCAACTTCTCGTCAAACGCGCTCGTCAAACGCCCGCAAAGTAACGCGTGGGCACGAAGGGCATCTTGCTGACGACGACGTCCACCAGCTTCTTACGGACCTCCACTCGCAGCCGCGTCCCAGGCTTGGCGAGTCCGCTCGGCACGTACCCCATGGCGATGTTCTTCTTGAGACACGGTGACGGACACCCGCTGGTCACCTCCCCGATCTTCTCGCCGTGCTCGTCGACGATGGGCGCGTGCTGGCGTGCGGGAGGCCCCGTCGAGACGAGACCGACCCTCTTCCTCGCCGGCTTCTGAGCGATCTGCCCGAGGATGACACCGGCGCCGGGGAAGTTCCCCTCGGCTCGCCTCCTCTTGCCGATGGTCCACAGCAAGGCGGCCTCCACGGGCGTCGTGCTCTCGTCGATGTCGTTGCCGTAGAGGCAGAGGCCGGCCTCCAGTCGCAGACTGTCGCGGGGTCCCAGGGCGGCGAGTTTCACCTCTCCGCCGTTGCGCATGAGCAGCATCTCGGCGAGACGCACCGCGTGCTCGGGTGCCACGGAGATCTCCACGCCGTCCTCGCCCGTGTAGCCGCAGCGAGTGACCCGGCAGCCGGCCACGCCGAAGACGCTCATCTCGGCGCTGTGCATGAAGGCGAGCCGGCCGAGGTCACCCGACACGCCGGCTTGCAGGACTCTGGCCGTGGAAGGGCCCTGCACGGCCAACAGAGCGGCGTCCAGGACCTCGAGGTCGACGTCGCGACCCGCGTTCTTGAATTGGCGCAGGCGCTCCTGCATGAGCACAAGGTCCTTGTCGGCGCAGCCGGCGTTTGACACCACGTGGAGATGACCCTTGGAGGTCTTGGTGACGATGAGGTCATCGACGATGCCACCGGCTTCGTTGGTGAACAGCGACAGGGTGCCCGTGTCGTCCTTCAGGCCGGCGACGTCGGCCACGGTGATGCTCTCCATGAATGCCACTGCGTCTCTGCCCAGCACCTTGCACTGCATCATGTGCGAAACGTCGAAGACGGAGCAGCGTTCGCGCGTGTGCAAGTGCGACGAGATGAGGCTCTCCTTGTACTGCACGGGCATGCTCCAGCCGGCGAACCCGACCATCTTGCCGCCGTGCTGCGTGTGGAAGTCGTGCAGAGGCGTGCGCTTGAGGGGGGCCGCGGCCGTCTGGGGGCCCGCCGAGGCGCGCCGGGTCGGGGCCGCCCAGCGCAGCCACCCGCGGGCACCACGGGAAGACACCCGCGGCCACATGGCGCGCACGAGTTGCGCGGTCATCGTTGGCGGCTCGCTCTCTCTCTCTCTCTCGTCTTCTCGTTGTTGATGATGTTGTTGTTGATGCTGTTGTTGTTGATGCTGTTGTTGTTGCTGCTGTTGTTGTTGCTGCTGTTGTTGCTGCTGTTGTTGTTGTTGTTGATGCTGTTGTTGTTGTTGCTGTTGTTGCTGCTGCTGTTGTTGCTGCTGTTGTTGTTGCTGTTGTTGTTGCTGTTGTTGCTGTTGTTGTTGCTGCTCTTGTTGTTGCTGCTGTTGTTGTTGCTGCTGTTGTTGCTGCTGTTGTTGTTGCTGTTGTTGTTGTTGCTGTTGTTGTTGTTGCTGTTGTTGTTGTTGCTGTTGTTGTTGCTGCTGTTGTTGTTGTTGTTGCTGCTGTTGTTTGCGCGTTCGCTTCTTACCCAGAGATCTGCTCCTGCGGGCTGAACGACCGTGAACGCGGGTGCGAATGTTTGCGTGCGCTGTATCGTTGAACTTCTTTCGCGCCGTACGTTGCCGAGCGTGATAATCGGATGTGTGGGCGGGGAAGAGGGGGGCGAACAAGCTAAACGCAATGAGCAGTTCTTAATAAATAAATAAACGCGTTTTCAATCGAGCAAGTTGTGAGTCCGAGTCCTATTTGTGGTGGGCAGTGTTGAGTTTGCTGCAAGCGTCAATCACCGCGGCACGACGAGTTACTTTTACGCAGAAGAGCTGTAGGACAAAGTCTGCAAAACTCTCTTTCTTTCCTGTCGTCCACGTAACAACTTGCTGCTGCCAGCACCGCGGAGGGACCCAGCTGAGCGAGGAGTGTGAGAGGAGGAGGAGGATGAAGAGGAGGAGGAGACCTCGTAATACCCCGGCAGGCAACACCCCCCCATCACGGCCAATCGCAGCCTCGCTCGCCCCCTTAAGGAGGAGTCATCTCGCACCATCGCATCATCAGCATCGTCGTATCACCAACATCATCATCATCGTCGTCACCATCAAAAGGGTGTCTGTGGGACCTTTTTTTTGTGCTGCCAGTAATCAAAATTATGGGGGGGAAACAATAAGAAATGGGCTTTAGTCCTTATATTCTTGTTTTTTTCGGTAAAGTCACGTAGAAGGGAAATAATAAAATAATGAAAATAAAACAAAATTCTAACGACGTTTCGGCCACAACGCAAGCTGCTTGTGGCCGAAACGTCGTTAGAATAAAATAATGTTTTATTATTTTATTATTTCCCTTATACGTGACTTTACCTGCAGTCACGAAAGCTTTAAATCGAAATTTAGTCCTTATGTTTGCCTGAAAAGGGTTAAGCCTATTTGTTTCATATCGATGGGACCTTTTTGCCAGTATGAAAACGATGGGGGGAAAAATAATAATACCGTTTAGCATTTTCACTGCCAGAAAGGGTGAAGCCTATTCTTATTTTTCCATCATTTTGATTTTGGCAAAAATGTCCCATAGATAACAATCCCCAACGACCCACACGGAATGGGGGAAGATGCCCCCATCCCAGCAGTGGATGAACAAATGCCCTGCGCGTGTAGACACGAATGAGAAAGTAACGACTGCCTTGTATGCATTTCCTATGCAATCTCAGAAATTCATCATCCCGCGTCTAATTGGATTGCCAGTGAGAGTAACACTACACTTTGTTCGTTGCATATTAATCATTGATTTGTTTGTGTACCAAAGCCTTGGCAGATTGTCGGCAATATTGGTCTCGCTTACAAAGGAGATGTGTTGTTCCAGAGAATCCTGTGCTGTTAATAAAGAATCTAATTGAAACATGTATTTATTTACGACGCAGTAACGTGGTGAAAAGTCAACGACGCTACACAAGTTTTGATTTAAAGCTTTCGTGATTGCTGGGATTCATATTCTTGGTTCTTTCGGTAAAGTCACGTATTATTTCCCTTCTACGCGACTTTACCAAAAGAACCAAGAATATGACGCTACACAAGTCTAGATCGCAAAGGTGACCTGTTGCATGCAAACGATAAGCACGCCGTATAGAAGCACATTCAACAACACCGTGGACTTAAAAAGAAAACCTCTTACACAGTATATGTTTTCCTTTTAAGGCCACAGTGATGTTTATGATGTTTTTTTCGTTTGATTTGTTATGCTTAGGCTTGCGCGCCACTGCCAATGAAGCAGCAGCAGCATCGCGGGACATTTCGTTTCGACCCAGGGTGGCAACTGCGCGCGTGTCCTCCTTAATTCGTGGAGGCTGTCAGAAGCGAGTGCCTTGGGCTCTCTCGCTTCGGCTCCAGGGGCCGCGTCCAACATGTAGCCGAGCGTCTGAACAATAACACACGTATTTATTCTAGATTTCGCTAAAGTCACGTAGGTAAAAATAAAAAATAAAATAAAAATAATAGAAATAAAATAAAAATAATATAACTAATAATAGAAATAAAATTATTATTATTTATATTATTATTTCAATTATTTCAATTTTATTATTTATTTTTACCTACGTGACTTTACCGAAAAAACCTAAGACACACGCATTGACAATATGATCGTGCACATTACAATTGCCGTCACAATTAAACAACAACAACAACAAAAAGCCCCCACCCCCCACATTGTAAGAGATGGTATCCGTTCGCGGTTGTGACACGTTGTGGAGATGGCGTTGTAGCTCACGTGGCTGTTACGTGCGACGATTGATGGAGGGGTTGAAAGGGGATAAAAAAACCAAGGCTTAAATACATTGTAAATAAACTTTATTTACGTCCCACGACTCGGAACTCCGTCTCGCTGCATCGTTACACACATCCATCGCAGAGACAACTCTTATAAGAACGGGAGACAGAACAGAGCCTCACCATTCTGGCGAATTGCCCGATGATGCTGGATGAAATTACCAGCGAAACGTCATACTACTCAAAAATTGTAAATGTTGTGGTTTCACGCTTCAACACACCGGTGGGCTAAAGCAGTGAACTATTTGTCTTTTGTCAACGTGACACTTTTTTACTGATTGGCCGTGTCGGGTGGTGGAGGGTTACGACACATTTATAAATAACGCGATCTAAACCCAAAAACGTTGATTATGAATAGTATTGGTCGCGATAACCTACGTGTTAAACTGACAACTCTTCCGCAAACTTTAATTCTTGAGTTCCAGACAACGGCACGCCGTCAATTTTACGTGCCGTTATAAATCTTCGGGTGGTTTTGGGGGCAGTGGTCTTTCGGATAACATACCGTGTCAACCCATACGGTTTACCCTGTATTCTTGTACAGGGAAACTGAGTTTTCAGGTCCATGCGGCGTACAGCCGTTTCAATACGGGCAACATTTGTTTGTCTATTTGTTTGTGTTTCTCTCCTTGTGATGGGCTTTGTAGTATGAATGTTGAGATTTGTAAGGCCACGTGGTGACCAATAAGGTCTGAATTGGTCTGTAATAAGGTAGGGCACTGATAAGGGGTTGACAGGTATGGGATAATGTTGCTGGCTGGGTCACCATGGTACAGTCTGACCCCGCCAGTCAAGGAACGAACCATTATCCTTCTCCGTGAGGCAAGCCATGACTCCTAGAATTCCGGTGATGCTCTCTTCAATGCCTATCTGTGCCTGGCAGAAGAGGAATACATTCGAAAATACATGTTACGATATATGCAGTGATACTTGAACTGGTCCTGAGTCCTTCTTTGACCAAGGGTCAATGATCAAGATTACACTGGTCAACAAAAAAAAAAAAAAATTTCTGGCCTGGACTTTTGCAGCTGTTTTAGACTAATAATTTCAGGGTGCTGACTCCAAATCTGATCTCAGATTTGCTCTATCACATCTCATTTTATGCTATCGGCATACCCCATTTTCATTGAATTTACCCGAAATTAACTCTGTCACTTATGATTGCAAGTTTTTGCGAGTCAGTGACTGCTTTGGTGTTAAAATATGGTGCTGTATTTTTAGGATAGTGTGTTTATAATATCATTTATGTAGATATCCACATTTATTTAATATTTTTCTTCTGCAGTTTTGATTGAAAATGCAATATTTGATATCTCAAAAACCTGATGTGATAGACAAAACTGATGCCATATTTGGAATCAGCACCCCAAAATTACCTTAAGACCGTTGGAAAACCTTATGCCAGAAAAAGTGTGTTGACCAGTGTTATTGAAGTATGTCTTGAGGAGTAAATTGATAAAGGGCTGTGTCTTTATGAAATAAAAACGAGACGTGGAGGGAAATATTTAGTAACAAATCATATTTTTCCATTGACAAAAAAGCAAGCTGAGCATGCCGTATCACACTTTGACATACTGTACATCATTCATGACATACAGCGGAGTTCTTCATTGCAAGACCCGTGGTTCACTAGCGGCCCCTGGTGGCCTTAAGTGCGGCCCCTGACACTACACAACATGTGAAAACACCACCCATCATCGTGCTGTCAAACCGCAATGGCTTCAAATGTGTGGCGGCCCCTCACGCTGATGATGTCTTAGAGATGAAAGTGGCCACCCTTTGAAAATTAGTGAAGAACGCTGATATGCAGCAATACATATCCACAGTGGCGAGATGTTAACTACCTCGCCTGGTGTGCGCGAGGTCGTGGGTTTGATCCCGACCATGACACCGGTGTATTTGGAGTTTGCATGTTCTCCTCGTGGTCACGTGGATTTTTTCCCCGGGTCCTCCGGTTTTTCCTTCCACATTTAGAAACGTGCGTTTAAAGTATTTGGCTGCTATAAATTTCCACGTGATGAGCCACTACGTTGAGCTATCATTGGTGGCCAGGTCGCTTCTGAAAAAGAGCTATATAGATCACTGGGCCTTACCTGGTAAAATGTAAAAAAAAATTAATATCCTACAGAAATGCAGTACATGTATACATGAGTTGCTCTCCGTTTAACTGCAGCCCGAATGGCCTTTCGCACGAGACCAGTGGTGCCATTTCAAATGGGGCATCTGTGGGGTGCGTCGAATGGAGCCACTTACTCGCGATCCACCCATTCTGGTCCTGACCCAACCTGGGTGCAAGGCCACGCACAGGATTCCCTGTTCCTTGAGCTCCTCGGCAAGGCATCTTATCAGCATGTTCAGGGCGGCCTGTGTCAGGCACAGCACGCAAATAGAGGGGTTTTTTGCACAGATCAGGCTGTGTAGGGTACAGGTAATGTAATACTTCATACCAAAAAATAATCATGGGTCTCACTGTGGAGAATATAAATGACAGAATAGATGCTCAGATGTCTCTTTCGTATATGTATCTCCACATAAAACACAATAAACAAAAGTATATTTTTTCACAACCCATCAGCTCGCAATAATCAGTGAATAAAAATTCTGAACATTAAGTTTCATCAGTAACACAAATTTTCATCTAAAGATGTTTAGATGTTAAACATTTAAGTTAAACATGACGTCACATGACACTACTTTTGAACGGAAGTGACGCAATTTTTAGGAAGAATGCAAAATACAACAGTTTTTCAGATCATCCAAAATTTCATATCATGTCCAGTTTTTTTTTTAATTAAAATTCTGAACATTCATCCAAAAATTGGGAACACATCCCTCCTACACAGTACCTTGCTGGCACGGTAAGGGTAGACCTTGGAGATGTGGAAGTTGCCAGGCACACTTGAGATAGACCCAGCCTCAGAGCTCACGTTCACCACTGCTGCCTTTTGGCATCCCATTGGCAGCTTCACATTAAAATCTGCTGCCCGGTTGAGCAGTGGTAGGAATGCCTGCAACGAAACACACCGACGATTGAACACACAAACGTGCGCATGTAAACAGATTTTTTTTTCATGTTAGCTTGAAGGACTGTTAGTTTTCTAAACACTGCTATGAGATGGTCAGGTGGCTAAGTGTTCAGGGGTCCGAGCATGAGGCTTTGAATGTAGGATTTGGCCACCAGTAATTATATTGAGCTTTCAGGTGAAGCGAGTTCATGGACTCAGCCTGGTCACCGATGGCCGTGCAAAATCAATGTTAACTTTGTTGCTTAATTTTTAAAAACTCCAGCACTGTGTATTAACATTTACTTAATGTTAAAAGCTCAGCTTGTTGGAGAGTATATTGAGTACATTGATTGTATTGATGTAGTTTATATTTAGTTTTCTTCACATCGGTTTATTGTATGGTCGTAGGGTAGTTGCAGTTCTTTAGCGTCAATATGCTAAATTCCTACTGTTGATATGTAAACTCCTTTGTCAAGGCACTCTGCTCCTCCCACCCAGCTGAAATACGCTGCCAAGCTTAGCAGTGTTCATTGGAGCGCTGTCTTTCCGACAGCTCTGTTCTTCACCGGAGGACGGCTGCTTGTGTTGTGGCCGAAACGTCGTGATAATTTTATTTTATGATGTAAATTTTTTATTATTTCATTATTTCCCTTTTACGTGACTTTACCGAAAGAACCAAGAATATGTGTATTAACATTTTCAGTTTTGCTTCACCCGAGACGAACGCTCTTTGCAATACATAAAATGCACACCCTATTTTAAGTGTGTTCAGCTAAATCGGGGCTACACGTCCCCTTGTCCATGGCTGTTGTTACCCGGACCACCTTGCTCTCGTCGCATGCACCGCATAGCTCCGTACCTCCGTGAGGATGGCAGGCGCCACAGCGTTGGTATGATAGCACTGCAGCATGGAGTCGGCCGACAGTGAACCGAGGGAGCCCGTTTGTAGAGTCCCGGCGTTGTTCACCAGAAGGTTGAGGCCTTCCTCCCCGACAGCCTCATCCACCACCCTCACCGCCCGCTCCACACTCGCGCGGTCTGTGATGTCTGTGCGAAATGCGTGCCAAGTGGAAAGCGAAACGCGAGAATGATTTCATTCACGAGGCAAAAACTAATTGCTGTGTTCACGTGCTCGGGATTTAGTTTCCACGAGTTAAAGCAATGTTTCCCTCTACGTGTCAAAGCACAGCGATACCACAGCCGTGATGAAGCCTAATCAGCAGCCAAGAATATATTCTAATTGAGTAATGAAACGTGTGATGTTTATGTATTTGTACATATACAGCCGTTTTGTCCATCTACTGCTGAATAAGAGCCTTCTCAACTAGTGTTGGGCAATAGGGTTGTTTGACCATACTTCACCACACTGGTCAGTGTCGGTTGGTGAAGGGGGTATTTGTGCGTGGCAATCAAACGAAAATGTGTAAATTTCACAGCTAGAACAAGCAAAATTAAGCGAAACATCAAAATGAGTAAGTGATTGGTGACCAGGCTGAGACCACCAACGAGCGGACGCGAGGGAGCCCAGTTTAACCACTGCTGGCTGCTCAGATTGTTACCCAAGATTTTCAGCGGTAGCAGTTTAGTTTCCTGACCACTGCACGATCCAGCCACTCATGAAACACATTTGCTGCCACAAGTGCAAATCGGATGCGGGTGGTGTGCGGCGTTCAACTGGACAAACAGCCCTGTCATATTTATGTAAGCTCACCCATTTCCACCACCAGCAGGCTTGCGTGGTGTTCCGCCAAATTCCGCAATTCCTAGAAATGCAAAAAACAGACCGAATGTAAAGGAGGTCACGAGCATTGTCATCACTGCTGGATGAAAGCCTCCTCCCCAAGGCAGTCGCCATCTCCCACGACCTCGCAATGCCAGCAAGCAGCCAGGGTGCCACGGCGGGCCTTCTCTCAACACCTCGCAACATCGTGCTCCATATATATTTGTAATGATTTGTTTTAACGTTTTACTTACATAGCAGGTAAGGCCCACTTGAGCTATATAGCTATCACATGAAGATCTATAGCAGCCGAATACTCTAAACGCATGTTGATTTCAAATATGGATGGGAAAAACCGGAGGACCCAGAAATAAATCCACACGGCCACGGGGAGAACATGCAAACTCCAAATATACAGCAGGCATCAGGGGTCGGGATCGAACCAACGACCTCCTGTATACCAGGTGAGGTAGTTAACATCTTGCAACCGTGGCACTGTGTTGCAGAGATGGACACCATCTGGTGATATCTGGTGTTATTGGGTGATACCAGCCCAGAAATAATGAGCTTAACGTTCGAGATGCAATCCATATAACAAGAGGTTTTACCTCGAAATTTCTCGTGTCATGTCAGAGGTTTTACCTTTATATCCCGAGTATCAGACCAGAGGTCTTACATCTAAATCTCTAGTGTTAGGACAGAGGTTTTGCCTCTAGATATCCAGTGACAGTGCAAAGGTATTTATTTATCTTTAGGGCGTTTTCCCCTTCTTTTTTTGAGCGACACTCTTGTATTAGATAATGTGATTCATAACCTGTGAATCGGCCGGTGGCGAGATGTTAACTACCTCGCCTGGTATACAGGAGGTCGTGGGTTCGATCCCGATCCTTAATGCCTACTGTATATTTTGAGTTTGCATGTTTTTGTCTCCCCATGGTCGCGTGGAATTTTCCCCAGGTCGACCGGGTTTTCCCTCCACATTTATAAACATTCGTTTGGAGTATTTGTCTTGCTATACATTACCACGTGAGAAGGCATTTCGTTGAGCATTCATTTTTGGCCAGATCGCTTCTGAATAATTAATAGCTATATAGCTCAGCAGGCCTTACCTGGTAAAATAAAAACAAATAGCAATATCCTACAGCAATGCAGTACACGTACACAGGAGTCGCTTTCATTTCGTTGATTTAATCTATGGATATTCTTTAGGTCTTTGGGTAAAGTCACGTAGATAGGTTCAAAGAAAATAACAAAAAATAACCAAAAACGACAATGATTTTCTTTGAACCTATCTACGTGACTTTACCAAAAAGACCAAAAGAATATGAATTCCTGCAGTCACGAAAGCTTTAAGTCAATATTTGATCTATGGACTATGAATCGTCATTGTGGGAAATGTTGTCACACGTGGGCCATTGTCTGTTTCTGCTGACCGCAAAAGTCACACTGCAGACCGTTCTTAATTTCGCCTCAATGAAGGAGGGGACGGCATCTGCCGTGCCCTTCTCTGCAGAGATTTAGGGCTCACCACTGGTTCCGGGGCACATCTAACCCCGGGGAGATTAGGTGGACAATCGTGTTCGGCAGAGCGAGGGAGGGGAGGGAGGCTAATCTGTCTATCCACAGTCGAGTACTTATATAACAGCGGCACCGCAGAATTGAACCGAATTGCAGTTTGTGCTCTCCACTATTGCATCACTTTTGAATGGTCAAAAACAAAAAAAAACCCACGCCAATGTACTTTGTATTTCATGTATTTTATTTCACTATTTATATCTGTAGGCCGAGTTAATATCCACTTACGCAAAGCCCTCAACGTCACAGTTGAGTGCTTTCATGTTCAATACACCCCAATATCCACGATAATTCACGTGCACATCAGTGGCGTGACCGCACTGGCAAGTCCGGCACAATGCACGGCCCCCTTTGTCAATCCACCGACCCCCCCCCGCCCCTACCCGCTGTAGTTGAAGCCCTTCTGCCAGCAGTGGTTGTAAGCAAGCAGTTGCCGAAAATCTAGATTTGAAGCTTTCGTGACTGCAAGTATTCATATTGTTAGGTTTTTTCGGTAAAGTCACGTAGGTAAAAAAATTTAAATTAATAAAAGTAAAATAAAAATAAAATAAAAATCACGACGTTTCGGAGGCAACACAAGCTTCCGTCTTCAGGTGGACCCGTCACAGCACGCTTGCTGTAATCAAGTAAATGAGAGATTCCAAGGGATACTACCCCGTATATATACTGGTTAAGGGGGGAGGGGGATGGGCCAGGATCGGCCCAGCAGTTGCAGGGCTGCACCTTCATCTTTACCTTTTAACACACACCGTGTCCGCATATTACCCGCCCCGTCCCGCCCGCTCTCCCACCTTTGCGCTCTGCTCGTCCGCGCATCGGCAGGTGGCGAAGATGAAGCGTGGAGACGCCTGCTGCTGCTCGAGGAGGTGATGAACGATGCCGAGTCCAAGGCCGCGGTTCGCCCCCGTCACCAGCACCGAGTTGAGCACCAGCTCGCGGTTGGCGAGCCCGTTCATGACGAACCTGCGCAGAGGCAAAGGTTGGAACTGACTTTGCTTGCGAGCATCTATGAAGGCCGGCACGGTAACACGGTGGTGGTGGGTGGCCAACAACACGCCCGGCCGCCTTTGTCTCCGCAGTAGGGTGATTGTTTACGCACCGCACCAGTTACTCATTTGAGGCTGAGTCGACCTAGGGGAGGCCCAGTTCAGATAATCGGTTCAGATAATCGTCAGCGGTGTTGGCCGTGAGCGGTAATCGAACTCGGGTCACCGGGTGCGCAGCGCAGCGCGTTAACTGCTACAATACGCCGCTCCCCACAGACACGCACGCATGCAACTATAGAGAGTCGGACGGTCCACATATTTAAGTAAAAAGTAAAAAAATAAACACGTTGGTCAATAAAACGGTGGCCTCAAAAGGAAAACACGCAAACGGCGACGTTTTTGGCAATAGCCCTTCTTCATAGCACATGTTACGAATATCTCTCTACATCGTCGGATAAGGGAGGGCCTGTCCGTTGGAACATTTTAAATCTGCGCTCAAGACAAATCTGCGTATTCACCTTGCTTTTGTGAGTTTTAGCATTCTCAGGAAGAACGTAATCAACCAGATAGGTTGTTGACTGTTATGTTATCCGACTCTGTTGTATTACATTACATTTCTAAGTATACTAGATTTGTGTTCCTATTTAATTTTTACCTGATGACGATTGCTTGTGTTGCAATCGAAACGTCGTATGCTAGTATTTAATTTAATTTATTATTTTATCTTTATACGTGACTTTACCGAAAGAACCAAAGAATAAGTTTTAATTCATGTTGGCGAAGCTGATATATTTTAATGCTATATATTTCTTGGATTTCAAATCTCATTATATTTTTGTAAGTGTACGAGTGCTAAAATACGTGCGTTCATTGTGCTCAATGCAATGTGGATATGTTTATTTATTGATTGCTTGTCACAGAATGAGAAGTTATGAACTCAACTCCGCCAACTCCCGGTCACCTCGCAGCGCCTACGCCTACCACACCTGGAAAGCCCCCTCGTAGTCACCCATCTAACGTACCCATCACACTCCACCCCGCTTAACTTCCGAGCTCGGACAAGATTCGGCACACTCAGGGTGACTTCGTTCGGAGGCATTTGGAGTTGCGTCGGTGTAAAGTCACAGTGTATACACAGAGCCCTGCGAGATCGTGACAGGTGGCGTTAAATCATACAAATGGTTCCAGTGTGGCACATGCATATACATGCGAGATAAGGCCCCCCCCCACGTGTGGACACAAAAGTGCACTTAAGTGTAACTGCAAATGTACTACCACATAATAGACATTCCTTTTCTTTCGGAGACGCAGACCTAGTTAACACGATAAGCCCGAAATGGCCTTCAACCATCCACCCTTCAGTCCACACCTCTTTATCACCCACCGCGTGACCCGAATAACAATTCTCAAACAAAAATCCTCAAAACATCACATCATCGCGTCGCCCGCAGGGATGTAGAAATGTAGGTCACCTGTTTCGAGTTGGAGGCGAGATGAGCGACGTCCCGTAGAAAAGACGGTGGAGGAGGGGGCTTTAGGGGGTGGGGGGGGGGGTTCTGCAACAAATCGGATGATGCCTCGCGAACGTCGAGGGAAGGTGACTTTAAACTTCGTGGAAGCGCAGAACGAGGGTAAGAAGAAGCAGGACGGAGGCTTTGCCGGAGAGACAACCTGCGCGCGATCTCTGCAGGTGACTACTGGCTCGTGGGTGCCGTATAAATACGAGCCGAGACGACATCAATCAGCGCGTCAGCAGCAGCAGCAGCAGCCTCTTTGTCTCGCCCGTGGCGGGGGCGGTGGCTGGGGGAAGTTGGTTGGGTGGGTGTCTGCGGGGAGTGGTGGTGGTGGGGTGGGGGGTGGGTGAAGGTGTGTTCTACAAGACTTGGCATCGGAGAAGCAGGCTAACACAACTCATTCTTTGGTTCTTTCGGTAAAGTCACGTATAAAGATAAAATAAGAAATAAAATTAAATACTAGCATACGACGTTTCGATTGCAACACAAGCAATCGTCATCAGGTATAAATTAAATAGAAACACAAATCTAGTATACTTAGAAATGTAATGTAATACAACAGAGAGTCGGATAACATAACAGTCAACACGCTACCTGGTTGATTACGTTCTTCCTGAGAATGCTTAATTTGAGAGAGAGAGAGATAAAACACAGAACCACAGTCACGAAAGCTCCAAATTAAATTTTAACCCAACTCACTTATTTTAGAAACCGCCAATACATTGGGCGCGATACGGAACGCTGTTGATACGAGGGTTTGGCGGCGGCTGCCAAGTGGGTGCGGTATAGGGCAAGATAGAGAGAGTGAAGGGCATTTCACCTGCGCGTGGAATGCGAATATCTATCCCTCTTGCACTTCGCAGAGGCAGGTTTGGATGCTGCCCCGCCGGTGTTGTGGATACGGCACGTTGCACTTTGCAAAGGCAATGGGTCACCGGGTTTTTATCTCACTGCGCGGCTGTTGAAACAATTGCCACGTTTCTTGAATTCCACTCCCCTGCACCCCGGCGCCTCTGGTCCACCCAGCAGCAGTGGCAAAATGGGTTACGGTCGGCAAAATCGCGTGTGGTGGGTTAAAGTGTGGGTACTCCCAGATGCCTGGCCAGCTTGGAGATCCTTCCGCGAGACAGATTTTACGGGGATCAAAGACATGAATCATGAATCTGCGTTGTTGGTTCCAAGCTCCAACACCGAGCAGTGAAGCCACCCATCAGGAGTAGATTTGTTTAGATCAGTGGTTCTCAACCACGCTCCTGTACACCTTGTTGAGTTTTGTTTCAACCGAACACCGCCCTTGCCTAACCCAACACGGTTCTGCGAAATAAACCTGTGGACGATGAACATCGATGCTTTAACCAATTGTCCATTTTGTTGGGGGGTATCCTGACTTAGCAAGCAACTGCAAGCGAATAGAAAAAAAACTAAATTCAACGGACGCTCTGGCACGCGTGGGGTAATTTGTTCGCGCTCGCAGGGTCACTCTGGGGAACCGCGTTGTTTTACGATCAATGGGCGAGTCTAGAAAGGTCTTCTACATCGTTCTGGGTTACCCCATGTGGATTTAAAATTGCATCGTAGTTATTTTATACTGGCAGATTCATACGTGATTGTTCGCCGACGACTCTCATGCGTGATGCAATTTCACACGTTTAGACATCACCCCACGTACCCCTCCCTGGGACATTTCCACGTTACTCCTTAGGAGGTCCGCGTAGAAGCCGACAAATGCGACCGAGCGTGACGCTTGGCCACCAACACCACCACCATAAGTATGCGGCCCTTGCCCCACCACCTTCTCCAACCATTATATAAACGGAGTGGTAGCTCCTGCAATCTCTCATTTACTTGATACAGCTGTCGTGGCTGTGACGGTACCACCTGAAGACGGAAGCTTGTGTTGCCTCCGAAACGTCGTGATTTTTTATTTTATTTTACTTTTTAATGTTTTTACCTACGTGACTTTACCGAAAAAAACCTAAGAATATACCACCACCACCCACCATCTCGTATGGCGACGCTGACCTTAACAGCCACCCAGGAGACCTTTGCGTGCTTGCGGAATATGCGGGTATTGTGGGCGTTATGGTAGAGACGCAAAGTCGCGCGCTTAGTTTGCCAGTGACCGTGTGCGTGGATCGCTCCCTCCTAGTAGAAGTTTACGCGTACCGGGTCAGCGCACCGCCAACGAAACCCCGGCGCCTACTCCAGTTCAAGGCGAGATAACCGCCGCATTCTGTCATGCAGTAACCCTCCTCAACGAACCAAAACCAAGGAACATTGACAATTTGTCAGAATATAAGTGCAGGGCTGTTTGCGAAGTCGTTGCAGGCGCAATTGAGTGTGAATGGCGTCAGGGATAAGAATACTTTTGAAACGGTATAGGAAAATCGCGACACACTTGGGCCGAGGGTTGCCACCCGTCCCGGATTTCTGTGGAACGTCTTCTTCCTTTTTAAATCCTTTATATTAAGTTCGCTTGCTTGCTTGCGTGCTTGCTTGCGTGCTTGCTTGCTTACGACCGTGCAAATCTTTCGGTCGTTTTTTAACCCACTTGCCGTGATCCAATCGAGCTGACATTTTCCACACAGACTCGTTGTGCCAGACAATTAATGTTCGTGAAAAAAAATTCCCAAAATGTTACACTTTTTAGGCAAAAATGTTGTATTTTACATATATTCAAAAGAACTCATTCTTGGCTTTGGCTGAACGTCACAGTATAAGAGCCCAGAGCATAACCCCTCCACAGGCCGTGGCGGATTAGCGCAGTTGGTAGCGCCCTCGCTTTCCATGCCAAAGGTCGCGGGATCGATCCCCGCGTCCTCCACAGGCGAATATATTTTTAAATCCTTTATATTAAGTTCGCTGCCACGCATATAAAGGATTTATAGTGAAAAACTTTGTTTTTACGGGGTATACTTATTAAAGATTGCTGCCCTGGGACACCTGTGAGTCTGTTGGAGGCGAGTTCCCTTGACACTCGCGGAACAACACGACCGGTGCTTCATTTTAGCCGGAACAATGCGGAACCCTTTGATGCTCGCCAATTCAAGGCGCCCCCCACCCGGCCCCTCAAGAAACAAAAACATGAGAATAGGTTTTACCCTTTTTTCTGCCAACAAAACAAGTGTTAAGATGTTAAACACCAAACTGAAACCTTTTTACAAGGAATCACGTGTGCATTAACCACATTCTCAAATGGTGTTAACACCGCTTGAGACGAGGCTCGAAAGAAAGCTGTCTCTGGTGTGGACCAATCAGTTTCAAAAACAACGCATATGCTATCAGAGTATGTTTTTTGTTTGCATTCTGACCACAAGTATTGTGGTTAATGCAGACATGATTCCTTGGTAAAAGGTTTCAGTTTGGTGTTTTAACACCTTAACACAGCTGTTTTGTTGCCAGAAAAAAGGGGAAAACCTATCTTCATGTTTTGGTACTGGCAAAGGAGGTCCCATTATATAATAATAAAAAAACATATTGGAACTCCCCCCCCCCCCGCGTTTCAATAAATGAAATCTTTGTGAAACGACGGAGGAAACTGTATACGGACGAGAGATACAGATGACGCGAGATGATAACACATGCTCGACAAATCTAGAGATGCGGGGAGATGAGCGATATTGGCGTATTAATAGTGATGGTAATCAAATAAAAATACGTGCCTATTACGTAACTGAAAGTCTCAGCAGCCCCTCATTGTGTCTCTGCAAGTGTTATTTCGCGTGTTCTCATTATATATATTTTTTAAATTTAAATTACGATTTGACTTTTACATGTGATGTACCTTAAAACTTTCGTGACTGCATAAATTCATATTCTATGGTTCTTTCGGGAAAGTTACGTAGATAGAAAAAGAAAAGTGAGTTGAAACATCACGACGTTTCGATCGCAACACAAGCGGTCGTCATCCGGAACAGGAAGGTTAGCCTCTGAATGCTTGCCTTGATATTTTTAATCACTTAATTTTTGTTTTATCTACGTGACTTTAACGAAAGAACCATAGAATATGTGATGTACCCATATGAATTGTGGGGGGGGGGGGGGGGGGGGGGGAGGTGCCTCTTGACCGACACGGGGCTCAAAGCTTTTGCTTGGGTCTGCTCTTGCCTAGCGCCATCACTGTCTACCGAGGCGTTCTTTCCCTGACCACTGTAGCGGAACCACCAGGGGTGTAACCAGCCTTGTGAAATATGCAGCGCTTAGCGCGTGCGACAACGGGGCTTAAGTGGGCACATGGCTTAAAAGCCAGCGACTGCCATGACTGTCCACAGTAGGCGAATTATTTGTTATCTTCTTCACATTTTCATGACCGGCATGGTGAAGTATGGTCAAATCATCTCCACGACCAACGCAGCTGATGCACAGATGAGAAGTTAAAAAGCTCCACAGTGTGTGCGACTGTTATCATCCAGAAGGGACCCTTAGAACGTCTAGCGACGCAATGCCCGATCCACAAATACGACGTAGACATCACAGGGACACACTGCTCGTGACGCGTTTGTCTGGCTTGACCACCCTGAATGTGCGATGCTGGTTGTCGCTCTGCGTCTACTACATCAGCCGTACGAAAGAAGAAAGAACGAGATGACCAACGCAGCTCGAGGAGGCTTCAATCGAGCAACAGATTGACAATTGACTCAAAATAGAAACGAATAATCAACAAATGGGTTATACAGTCGGCACTTTGAAAGAATAATAATAATTATAAGAATAGTCTTTCGTGACTGCAGGGATCCATACTCTTTGGTTCTTTCGGTAAAGTCACGTAGGTAGAATAGGTTTTCCCCTTTCTGGCAATAAAACAGTTGTGTTAAGATGTTAAAACACCAAAACTGAAACCTTTTTCAAGGAATCATGTCTGCATTAACCACATATACTTGTGAACATGCAAAGAAAAAACATGCTCTGGTAGTATATGCATTGTCTTTGAAACTGATTGGTCCACACCAGAGACAGCTTTCTTTAGAGCCGATTCTCAAACAGTGTTAGACCAGAGGACGCCAAAAGGTGACCAGCACAATGGCAATGCCACTATCAGGACATTGAGAGCTCGGGGCGAGCAGCTACATCAGTATCAAAATATAAGAAGTCTCGGGACGAGTTTCAGGAGAGTCTTGCAA